ATAGAATTACTGCACATAACTAAGAGTAAAATAATGTAAAACAACCCAGAGCCGTAATTCCAAACAAAGTGTGAGTTTTTTCTTTATTAATGTGCACATTACAATGAATAACAGTACCGATACCAATTAACACGGGCAGCCTGTCCGAAATCGGACTGCCCCGATTGAGAATGGACTGTACATTTAAATAGACCAGTGTAAACAAAATCACATTTTACTCGAGATATTACATAAATGAAGTCTAACTTTGATTTGTGTTGATCAAGGCTTCTCTGTACGCGCTCCTAACGCTGATACAACTTGATATATGTACTATCTGCTTTTGAACTGAACATATTTGTTTATGTCCCAGGTCAAAGACTTGTAGCAGCACGTCTCCATCTTTCAACTGGACCCGCTCTGCCAAACAGAGCCACTATGGCCTGTATCTGATTCCAGTGTTGACTATTAGTTATTTACTTACACTGTCATAACTATTAGGTGTTAATTCAGATTGCTTACTAAAAATATTTCTATAACAATCCTAATCTCTTGATAAAGATAAAACCTTGGTTTTTCTTAATCACTTATTATAATAATAAGAAATCACAATGATTTTGTAATTAACACAAAATCTAACATTTGAGAAACACACACAATAGTTAACTACTTTATTTCAATTATAAAACACACCTTTATATAACTTGCTTAGATGAAACACCTTGATGGGTACAGACGTCCTGCCTTCCGGGGGAGACGGAGGCGTTACTGGACCCGATGGGTCATCAGGCGACCCTCACTTCTCCCAGAATCGACGCTGTGCCGCACAGTTAGGACACTCAGCAGTGTGGGTGCACTCTCTTCTCTCCCTGAGAGTAGAAACCTGAGTAATGTGGATTTAAAATAGACTGGTCCAAAGATGGTTCCAGGTCCAAGCCTATCTATTGGGTCTAAGCTTTGTTATTAGATCTGTAACACTTAACTTAAACATGGATGCCTCACAATTTTCTGACCTCTGGCTTTCCACATCATGGGGTCAGAGGTGGGTGGGAGCATCAGAGTTAGTGCACTGATTGTCAATGCTTGAAAACCCTAGCATGTTTGTGTTCCACAACCAATGCTAAGTTGTTGCTAATCTGAATCGTACACAAAACAGTATCAAAAGCCCGCTTTTGACGCCAATGCTGAGTTTAGCCTCTCTCAGTCCTCCCCAATCTCTGGGGTGGGCGTCCCGGCTCCAGGTCAGAAGCCCGATCGTCCCAGTCTCTGACTCCGCTGCGTGAAAAAGCGCGGGTGGGGGGGGGGGAACAATGTACCTGACCCATGCTCTGAGCTTCTGTCTGTGTAAACAAGTTTTGTCGTGCTGGGACGCGGAGGTGGTTCCCTTCCTGCGCCGTTGGGTGGAGCAGCCTTACTGTTCTGGCTCTTTCTGCGTGGAAGTCGCGGGCACTGACGCCCCCACTTCTTCGCTGCCTCCTTGCGTTGGAGAAAGGTCCTCAGAACCCGTCTCGTTGGTCCCCTTGGGCTCTGGGCAGCTGGGGTCCTGCGGTGGGCTGGACCCATGATGGGGCGGCGACCTCGCGGGTGGGTTGGCCCGGCATTTTGGTTAGGGCTCCTCCTTGGCATTCGCCGGACTCAGAACCCTCCTCTGGCTTCGACCCCGTGGCCAAGGCGTGATGGCGCTACTGTGTTTCTCCCTCTTGGGAGATGTTATCCATACTTATGGAGGGGTTGGTCACGTTTCTAAACAATGTTTTGGCAATAAGGGGTATTTGTCCCCTGTCCTCTGGGTCTGCGCTGCCTGGGGCTTTAGCCGCAGTCTATATAATATTAATAATAATGGTTCTCCCATATAACTTCGTAATCATGGGGTTATCAGTTTGAGTTTCAAAACCCCCCTAACTCTTCTTCGGCCTCAGGGAGAGCAGATATCGTGCATTCTGCTGCTGTCTGCTCTTCCTCTGAAGTCTCTCAGCAAAAGTAGGCGCTCACTAACTATTTATTCTCTTATGGTTTAAAACAAAACCTATCTCTCTATAAGATCAAATAAAACTTTGAGTGTTTTGATGATTGTTGTATACAAGATGAAAAATCATGGAGACCTTGTTTTTAAACAAAAACCTAAATATTTAAATTGAAAAGGTGCTACGATCAACTTAGGGCCTGTCCTCTTATGGTGCAGTGCAGTGTGTTCAAACACCAGGCCTGTGGTCCAATTGTGGTCCGCCAGACATTGGAGTTAGTCTCTTCTGAATGGATTCTCCAATATAATAAGTTTTAACTGGCAGTTCGTAATTGCAAGGTTAATTTGATCCCAAGGCATTATCTAATTTTTTTAATAACATACTCACTCTGGTAAATTACCATATACCTTTAATGTGTTGGAAAATCCCACCTGATTGTTAACTTAACTAACTTTGTTAAATCTATTAAATCTATTTCTAAATACCTTCTTAATGTTAAAGAAAAAATGTGTATCCACAAACTGGGAAGATTCAACATTTATTTACTTTTTGGCCTTGGGTTTGTTTGTCTGTCATGACCTCTGCTCTTATCACCCTCAAGAGTCACGCTTTACAGAATGCATTGCTTTTTTGTTACATGAAAAAATCTACCTTACCTTCTAAATGTCTGAAATTGGTGATTTTTGTAGCGATTAAAACCATCGATGGGCTGGAAAAAACGAGAGACAGATCACGCTTGCAACAGGTAATCTAATAGGAGAGCCTGATTTCATGCCCACTTTTTTGAGAATACTACCCACAATGCCTTGCAGTCGAGCCTGAAGTTCGGAACACTTGATCCCTGTATCTGGTGCACTCTGGGGTAGTCTTGCACAGTTTTTCCAATGTGGTTTTACTGCAAATGGCAGATAAATTCTTGTATCTTGTAAAACTTTAGGTAAAAAATCCCTCTCTACGTCTGGCCTTTACTGAGTGTCAGCTTCAATAACTCCTGTGGGTAGAATACATGTCTTGGTCTTGGTCACAATACTTTAAAAAAGTTACACAATATCGATACAAAGTTGTCCGGTGAATGAAATGAAAGTATTCTGGCATTTGAACACACATCCCACACATAACTGGTGATATCTCTTCGAAGGCCAGAGCAGGACATGGTTTTGAAAAGGCCTTGTGTTGTGTTCCCCAGAGAACGCTTGAATCTGTCAGTTTCTTTTACAAGCTTTGGACACTCAGACACAAGCTGCATGGATAATAGGATAGATTTATGTATTTGAATGGGGCCGTGTGAATTAATGAACTGTCACTGCTTGTAATAAACCAAATTTATCTCTAGGATCATTGTCCATGTTTACAGGGAGATGGCTCCGACCACTGTAAGAGTTACTGTTTATGTTGATTTTGCCAATGGATCCATGTCCAGATAGGTGGTACATATTGAAGGCAAGACCAGTTTTTAGTTGGCTAAATAAAGCTCAAACAATGTGAATCTGTATTTGCATTTTCTTTATAAATCAAATTGTGCTCGTTATAAAGATGGTTCAACTGTTGTATCGGTAATTTTGGGATCATTATTATTTATGATGCTTTCTCCCATCCATTAAAATAATTAAAACATTCTTAGGTCTTTGCACTGGCTTCCTGTGGCTCAGAATGTATTTCAAATCAACTCTGCTTGTGAATAAGGCCCTGTTTATACTGAGACGCTGCGCAGACGTTTCCAGGCTATTAACAGAAACGACCAGGCTCCTAATGCAAATTTCTCAGCGTTCACATTAGGTTGAAAAACGATGTAGTTCTAGCGCCCGGCCAGTAGTGGGCAGAGAAACTTTACACACTCACACGACCCCCAGCCCCGTGCCCAGCCCCCCTCTCGGCAGTGTACTCACTTCCTGTACCAGACCCTCAGAACGCACCAACATCATTCTGCATTTTAACAGCAGCTGTGAAAATGGAAACAGAACCTAGAGTTTCGCTTGGTCTCGTTTGGAAGAACGAAGGAGTAGGATTATCCTCTGTGCAGCGCTGGAAGTCCACGAAGCTAGTTAGTTTACCGGCCGCCATTGTTGTTTATGTTTGTTCTCCGCTACTGCGCATGTCCAAATTTACGTGCGGGGAGCAGCGCGGAGGTGGGGGTCAGAGCAGAGGGGGATTTCACACCTTTTTCCCTCTCGCGGGTGTGAAAGAGCCCCCGCTGTGCAGCGTATCTGAGTTGTCCCACTCTGCAGGCTGGATCTGAACACTTACGTTTTCACCCCCCTGGAACACAGTCTCGTATGAACGGTTGGTAGCATCCGACATCCAACTATACCGTTTTACTGCCACATTGTCTCCGTGTAAACTCAGCCTAGGTCTCTTATTGGTCTCGCACCAAAATCTACGTATCTGCCGTGCTTGTGCTATAGGAACCAACTCGGACTCTGAGGAATAATACAGGGACCAGCCTTTGATAACTGATACTGGCGATTCTTACTTTCCTTTACTTAACTATGTCACGGATGGAAGGACACAAAAGCAAAACTGCAGAAATAATACAGTTTAATAAAGAAAATACATGAAAAGTTTAAAAATGAGGAACAAAACATTGCAAAATGACAACAATGGACAGACAACAAAAGGATGGGAGCACAGTGTATAAATACACACAGGGAAAGAAAGGTGTGACACATCAGGGCAGTCTGTTACACAAACAAAAGGACAGGCAGGAAGTAAAACTCACAACAAGAGAACATATATATCGAAATAAAACCAAATAAATTAATAAATACTCCACGACAATCTACAAAAATGAATTGAATATATTACGGCTTTCACATTTTCAGAATTTTGTCTTTTAATTCAGCTCCAATCAGACGGTCAGTGGCCTTTCAGACAGCTGGGGCGAGGTGTCCATGGGGGGGGGCACCAGAATACAAATGACCCAGGGATGGCTCCCCTCGGTGCGGGACAGGACCAGGGGCGAGAGGATGGGGGGAGGGGGGAGTCTGGAGCAGGTGGTCGACAGACACTCTCCAGGACTCAAATTTTTTTTTTTTTTTTAGGCTGTTGCTCCTTTTGAAACTAGCCCACATCCATCTTCAGCGCCAGTCCAGTCCTGATTCGATTAGGTCCTGTCCCGGGGGCCAGCAGGACAATGCACCCCCCCATGATGGACTCCTAATGGGGCTGTCGGGTGAAAAGAGGCAACAATCAAACTGCACTTAATAAACTGTGGGCAACATTTAGATGTAGTAGATGTTAGTGGAGCTCTGTTATGGGAAAGTCTTCATGGATACTCAAAAATTGTGAATATGGATTAACTTGAAAATAACGATCTAAGCACATTATTGGTCGAAAACAGTGTAATAAGGCAATTTTATTTATATAGCACAGCTAATTCACAAGTTCAAACACAAGCTAGAAATTGAAGCCGCAAGTGGCGTCAAAGTGGCGCCGCACCTCGCAAAAGAGGTGCCGCTGCCGTGCCATGATTTGCTCCCATATAGCTATAGAACAATGTGTGTAAAATTGTAATGAATATGATCAGTTGGTTTGGCTCCCCATGTAAAACTTTGGCTCACTCTGTAGAGGGCGCTAAAGAGCCAATGTAATATATCAAACCTTCAGGTGACCTAGGCCCAGGAGTAGATCAACCAAGTCAAGTTTAGCACAGCTCAGTGTGTAAACAGGAGCACATGTACTGTATAATCTGTGAATGTGTCCAAATATATAGAGTCTCCATTGGATGACCATGTGACAAATCAAAATTCTACAAACAACTATTGATGGTACAGGTGTTAAGATGATGTGGAGCAATTTTCAGCCAAATCGGTGAAATGGCTGAGGCTGGTTTGATATTTGTGCTAGGTGTACATTTGCCATTGACATATAGAGTAACAGGGTAAAAAACAAGTTTGAGGTTTCATTGATTTTTGAATCAAGAGGGCAAACAGAATTATTTGCAAAATTTCAAACATTTTGAATAATCTAAATGTGATGTTATAGAAATATTTTAGTAAGGCAACCTGAATTAACACCAAATAGTTATGAGTGTAAGTTATTAACTAACAGTGAACTCTGGATTCAGATACAGGCCATAATGCTCTGTTGGCAGCGGGTCAGTGATAGATGGAGACGTGCTGCATCATGTCTTTGACCTGGGTCATGGAACAATATGTTCAGTTCAAAAGCAGATTGTTACATATATCAGAGTTGTATCAGCGTTAGGACGCGTAAAGAGAATTCTTGAGCAACACATATCAATGTTGACTTCATTTATGTAATATCTAGAGTAGATATGTGTTTGTTTACTCTGGTCTATTTAATGTACAGTTATTTCCTCAATCGTGGCAGTCGATTTCAGACGGCTGCCCGGTGGTATTGGTATCGGTTCTGTTATTCATTGTAATTGTGCACATTTACTAATGAATAAACTCACACTTTGTTTGGAATTACAGCTCTGGGTTGTTTACATTATTTTACTCTTGTTATTACATAATTTCCACAAAGAGTGATTATCCCCATGTAAAACTTTGAAATAGTCTGTAAGGGGCGCTAATGGGCCAATTTCAATTATTTCACTTTCAAATTATCTAGACCCTCAAATTAAGGTTCAAAGTGTTTATTCGAAAGTCTCTGAGCACAGACTTGTGAAAGCAAAAGGCCCTCACCCCAGTAGGGGCTCGGGCGGGCCTAATAATCGACCGGGGCCGTGCGTTCCAAATGTTCCCCAGATTTTTATAGTCATTTTTTATCAGCTGCCTTTTCTCAGATTTTTGATGACATGGCCTTTTGTCTTCGTTTGGGGATATTTCCTTACAATCATAATATGTCAAGCTATCTTTGTCAAGAAATCCTCTCTTCAAAAGAGAGAATGATTACTTTCTATTTTTATTGAGCAAAACATGAGGTGAGTCCGTCACAAAACAAATCATTTGAATAAATCACAGAAGTCTATAATAGTGGAAATGGGTCGTGGTTAAAGCTGTTTAAAAATGTCTGGTGCACACTGGGAGACTTTTTGCACGTGTATTCCAATTTAGTTTTACTGTAAATGGCAAATAAACTGATTCTGAAATAAATGCTCAATGTTTAGATCAAGAGATAAACCTTTTTTATATAATTTCATAAACATGGCAAAAATGCAGGCTAAAGACAAAACATTTGCTACAATAGGATTCCATTGTGAGTTAGAGTACTCTTTTCCACCAAAGTGCTGGTTCGGGGCTGCTTCTGGGCTTTTTCAGTTTGAGCCTCACTAAAATGTTGGCATTACGTCCAGCTGCAAGCAAACATCCCAACCCTAAACTTCAGCAAATTAACTGTTCTAAACCTTAACCTTAACCTGACTGTGACTCTCCACTAAAAACTGATGTCTGTGATCTATATATGATGTGAAATGTACTGAATGTGTTAATGTATCATCTGAATGTATGATTGTGACATGAGACTGAGTAGATGTATTGTGCATGTGTGATGCTGGGAATGAGGTGTGGTTTTAACAAACAGGTATAAGGCTAAATGTGTGTGTCTGTAACAGAGAGAGTGCATTGTATTGCGATGTTATTTCTATTACATTGTACATCACTGTATCCATGTATTTTATTTATGTAACCAGGGACTGCAGATGGAAACTAGCTGTTGAGCTATAATCCGTCTTTGAGCTTAATGTCTCATTGTCCCTTCAAATAAAGACTAAACTAAACAAATAGATCAGATTAAAACACCACGATTTGAATCCCGTTCTGAAATGGGAAACGGCTTCAGCTTGGAGAGGCCAGTGGTGAATCCTGGTTCACTTTAGAATGTGAAAAAGCTTCCCTATTGTTGTGCTTGTGAGTGAATACTAACAACAAATGAGAAACATATTAGATGTATAAATATTTGAAATTATTATCATTTTTTTATTTTTTTTGCTTGTAGTTGTTGTTCAGAACTTTGGAAACTTATTGTTAATGAAATGTGCTTTATTAATTGGATTAATCCAGATGAAAATCAATTTAAAACCAGATCTTTGCAGGCGCAATAGTCCAATCTGCTGCTATGGTTTTCTGGCTGAGCACCATGGCCTCAGATTTTTAGGAGCTGGTTTAAGGCAAATAGTCAACAAGTCCGCAAACAGCAGAGATTTAATCCTAAGACCGGACTTCACCTGTGCAGCCGATGCCCAGGAGTGAAGACATTCTGTCTCCTCTTCATCAGTTAAAGACTACCCAACGCAGAGGAGCCAGAGATCTAAGGCATAAAGTCAAGAGTCTTCTGAAATGTGTGGTCAGAAGACATCAGAGGACTTATCCGCTGGTCAAAGCTGGCTCTGCTTCCTGCTTGGAATGTGTAGACGTGTTCCTTGCTGCTACGCTGCTTGCTTCGCTTTGTAATCTCTTTTAATCGTTTTATTTAAATTTTTATTCTACAAAACACGGATTACTCATTCTGCAGACTTCAGCTTTGTGAAATTTGTCAACATTAGTCATGTCCGGACGGAAGAAACGGAGAAATATCTGCGATGGCTGCTGCTCTCGGGAAAATCAGCTCAAATTTCTTCAAAAACGGATGGATATTTTGGAAACAGAAATGGGCCTTAACCCGACTCTTCCAATGAGTGAAAAAGGGATGAATGGACGGACTGTAAATGTAAGTTATGATGACGTAATTACTTTTCCCAAAATCAACAAAGAGAACTATTGGAATAAATGCGGCGCTAGACCCAAAGTTGACAAAGCTAAGAATGACAATGGGAGTGGAATTCTGCCACAAAATGTTTTGAAGACTTCAAATCGTTATGCTGCTCTGTTTGAAGAAGCAAAGCTACCGTCAGTTTCTCCCCCCCAGTCAAGGCCACGGTGTTTGCTGCTTTGAGATTCTGCCATTCGGAATGTATCTTTGAACTTTGTGCACACTTATTCTGTGCACTCGGCCAAAGTGTCTGAGATAAGAGCTCTGGTGCCAAAAGTGTTATCTCAAACCCGCGGTGTAGGTACATTGTTGATACACACAGGGGCAGTAGACATTCATGATAAATCCAGCGAGAAGTTGAGAAGAGATTTTTCTCTGCTGCTGGATGACCTTAAAAAATTGGAGTTACACGTGTTAACCCTCTAGGCGCCACGGTCGATTTAAGTCGACAAGCTGCGGTACTGTTAAAAAAGGCCGAGTGTGTCCAACTGAGTGTCAAAATTCATTCATACTCCCTGCCACTAGTTGGCAGACATGTCAGACTACCTCCCTGGCCTCAAAAAACTTCATGCTCTCATACAAAATATTTGAGCAAGACCGCGTTGAACCAGTGCGGAAATCATAGTGAAGCAATGCAGCTGCGGGGCAGCCTGCAAGTGTTGTACCGCACCAAACACTAACTTTAGACACTTTGCACAGAGTCTGCAGTGGGAACAGTGTTTCTTAGAGTAAGGCCAAGTCATTGGGAGGTTCGGAGACAGGTTAGATTTGCGGAAAACAAGCCTGGAACTCGCGTCGGGGCGCCGCGCCGCGACCTCCCGCCTCCGCTGAAGTTTCCGCCAAAGTCTCCGCTAAAAGTGCTTCCCACATATTTATTTTCAAGCCTCCCGTAATCACCGGGACAGTAACGTGTTGGATAAGCCTTGCCTTGTGTGTGTTAGACGAGAGAGAGATCAGGGGAGATGAGAGAGAGAGTGGGGGAGACATCTGCAGCAGGAGAGTCGCGGTGACGCGCTTCACCTGGAGGCGCGCGTCTGGGCAGACTGCTCAAAGCAGCACCATGATTTGTATTTTTTACTATTTTCATGAACATTTACAATGTTACAGTCTGTGTTCTGTGTATGTTCATGTATTAGTGATCAATATATGTCTGTCAGTTAGAAAAATACAAATATTGTATGAAAATTCTTAAATCCACTATTTCTAACGCCAAATTACGTCATAATATGCAAATTAGATGGGGGGATTTATTCTCGACATAAACTTTGGACCATCCTTAATATTTTTCTAATTTACAGAAAGCCTTTATCTCTTATCACTTTTAAGTTATAGCCTTTTGAAATTAAGATGTCAAAATCGAGCGTTTTGGAAAAAAAACCTCTGGCGCTTAAAGGGTTAATCAGTGGCCCCATTCCAAATGCAGATGGAAAAATCGAGAGAAGTTTAGCCGTCTGTACCAGTTAAATACATTTCTACACAATGAGTGTTCACGCAGAGGACTTGGATTCATTGAAAACTTTAATCTGTTCTGGAATAGGCTCGAGCTTTTTGAAGGGAAAGGCCCACATCTGAACAAATACGGAGTAAAAGTGTTGATGGATAACTTTGCATCTGCATTAAGACCTGAGCCTGCGCAGCGCGTGCAGCCGTTGAAAGAGGGGAAGACGCAAAGGGCACGACCTTCTCCACGGAACCCAGAGGTCTCGGCACCTCCACCGCCTCAAAAGAACTCAACACGTCCACCAGCATCATCATCAACAGCGGATACAGCACCAGCAGCAGCAGTGGCTGCCACAGCATCATCAGCGCCTTCAGCATCAGCGCCACCAGCACCAGCTGTGGCTGCTGCATCATCTTCAGCAGCACTTTCCCCACCTACAGCTCCCGTGAAGCCCCCCCCATTGCTCCAGGCTACAGACATGCCTGCACTGGGGGCCTCTCAACCACCTCCGTCTCCACCGAAGACTCCCTCATCACCTTCCATGGTCCCGGTTTGGGTCCCCCCCGCCACATCCACTCCATCTAAGGAAAATGAGGACGACCTTTCCCTGTGTTTTCCATCCCCGCCTTCACTACTGGAATTACCGGAGCACTCTACAAGCATGATAAGATCGGCGATGAAGACTGTTCCTCTCACACCCAGATCAAGAGTCCTATCAAACATTCTTAACTACTCCCCATACAAGGTCCAAAGCCACCTAGGGCGTCCAACTCAAATTCTCCCACAAAATCCACCGGTCCCTCCCCTAACCCCAAAACCATTCCAACCCCACCCCCACCCCCCCTCGTTTAGCCAACCTCCCCCCTAGCCCATCACCAAGAACCCCTTCACCTCCACTCCCCCCTCGTCCATCTCCCAACTCCTGCCCCTCCCCTAACACCCATCCACCTCCAACCCCCCACCTCTCCATCCTCCTCCCCCGCTTTCCCCTCCTCCTCTTATCTCTAAACACTAGGATGCACAGGGTCTCTGCTTCGCAGCCACTGGCAGTCTAGGTAGAGAAGAGACCCGGCTGGGGCCCTGTCATGAAGCCACCTGTGCCATTCCCTTAGTGATAACACAAAGAGTACATAACAGAAAGACATCTGAAGTTAGTCAGTCTAATCTGGAAAATCTAATTCTTGTTCCGTGTAAAAATCAGCTGACCACAACCGCTGATACTGAAACTTTGAAACTTGCTATGCTAAATGTCAGATCTCTTTGTAACAAGTCTTTTTTAATCAATAATTTTATTTGTTCTTATCTTGATCTTATGTTCATGGCTGAAACTTGGCTTGACCAAAATACAGGAAATGCAGTTTTAATAGAAGCATCACCACCAAATTTCAAATTTGAATTTGAAATACGGGAAAACAGAAAGGGGGGTGGCATAGCTGCCATTTTCAGAGACCACTTTGTCTCCCATAGAATGTCTCTTGGGAAGTTTCCGTCATTTGAATATGTGTCTTTTAAAATACAAAAAAAAAAACAATCTCCTCCAATACTCTTCATTGTCAAGCCACCGCAGTAGGGATGTACCGAATTCAGGTTTTTGGGGTTCGGCCGAATACCGAATCCAGTGGGCAGCCTCTTCCTCCATTGTTTCTATATCAGTGCTTATTTTATGCTTACGTGATAATTTTTTCAGTAATTTTCTGAAAGAGAGTTTGGCATAACACAGGGCCAAAAAGGATTCAACCCTATGAACAACCCTGAAATAGCAGCAGGTTATACTGACCTCATCAGAGTCCAGAGAGTTTCTGTATCTGATTTCATCCATCTTGTCCAACATCATGGAGTAGATAGACACTGCATCCGCTTCACTCTTATCACTCAGTCTGCTTACAAGAACTTCAGCCTCATCTTTGCTCAGGCTGGAAGATCGGGCAACTGTTACTGCTGCTTCATCCAGGATCTCTTTCACCTGCTCAAGTGCAGATGCAATGCTGGCCTGAGAAGCTGCTCTTGAAACTGGAGTGAGTAGAGTTTGAGTGTCTACATTGGAATCCTCCTCAGATGAACTCTGACTGCTCTCCTCCGAGTGCACTTGAAATGAGCAGCAGGTGTTTTCAGAGCTTTTAGTCACTCTCTTCCTTTTTATTGTTGTGCAGAAGCCTTCATTGCTTTTTGCTGCTGGTTTACAGACAAGTTGGTAATATTTTCCTTGTCACCCAAAGACACTGAAGGAGAACCAAAGCTCTTTTTTGGGGAGATGTGCTTGTGTTCTTCCTTTGATTGCACAAGGCAAGGGCGAAGGGCAAGGGGCTTGCTCTGGGTCTTCTCTGGGACTCGCTCCTCCATCTGAAACAACTCCTTGGGTACAGTTTTCTGGACTAAAGGTGCAGCCTCTTCACTCAAAGGCATTGAACAGGCTCCTGGAAGGTTTGGCCAAATAATCTCAGGAGTATATGTACCACTAGAGCTGTGAGTGGTCTGTTTGGTTGTCTCCTGCTCAGTTTCTGTTGGGAGACTCTCCACATGTGTTTCTTGTGTCTCAATGGTCGCAGAGTCGGATCTGGGTTTGATCTCTGGAACAAAATTTGAAATCCCAGAGGCACCGTGCTGAGACAGGTTTTCAGTCTCCACAGATTCAGCCATTCCCAGCCCGTTCCGTCTGAGTTCATTTCTGACTTTGAGACGTTTGGCCCTCTCTTGTAGCTCTTTGTCCACTGGCTTCTCCTCACCTGAGATATTTGTCCTGCATGGCCAACAGCATTGCATGAATTTCTGGGCATTGGAGACAATGCTGAGGAGCTTGTATCTGGACGGGGTGTAGCCTTGTTCTTTGTTTACTGTCAGTTTGCTTCCAGGAGATCCCATGCGACTCAGAACCGAGTTGACAGTGTCGGTCACCTCTGCGCTTATCTGCTCATGGACCTTCTCAAGTGCATAATACTCATCAGCAGAACTGGTCTTAAAGCTGGTTCGGAGGACAGCGCTCAGGGCGTCTTTCACGGCATCTTCTGAGAGCAAAGCATCACTTGGTGAAAGCTGTTTCTGGGCGATGATTTTCTTCCACACCGCTGAGGATTTAATCAGAGAAATTCATGATAATATCCATGAACAGCTGTGACATGTGTGTGCAAACCTGGTGCTCGGTGAAGCCTGCGGTCTGTACAGTCCTCCAAGAGTCAATCAGAGGATGGATCTGGTCTATGTTGATGGTGGGTATGGCGTTGTCCAGGGGTGAGCTGGGACGTTTACCCATCAGTCTGAATGATTGCATGAACTCTACTTCTCTGATTGGTTGCATTAGCTCATCCTTTCTGCTATGAAACCTGAAGTTTCATAGCAGAAACCTTAAGTTTCATAGCCATCTTGCGCATGCGTACTCCTTAAGGAGTACGCAGCCGGATTTGGATACAAAAAGATTTCCAAGCTTTAAACGTCTCAAGGAGCACTGTGCAAGCAATTATATTGAAATGGAAGGAGTATCAGACCACTGCAAATCTACCAAGACCCGGCCTGTCCCTCCAAACTTTCATCTCAAACAAGGAGAAGACTGATCAAGATGCAGCCAAGAGGCCCATGATCGCTCTGGATGAACTGCAGATAACTACAGCTGAGGATGGGAGAGTCTGTCCATAGGACAACAATCAGTCGTGCACTGCACAAATCTGGCCCTTTTATGGAAGAGTGGCCATTTCTCAAAGATATCCATAAAAAGTCTCTTAAAGTTTGCCACAAGCCACCTGGGAGACACACCAAACATGTGGAAGAAGGTGCTCTGGTCAGATGAAACCTAAATCAAACTTTTTGGCCACAATGCAAAACGATATGTTTGGCGTAAAAGCAACACCGCTCATCACCCTGAACACACCATCCCCACCTCAGCTTGTAGTTATCTGCAGTTCATCCAGAGTGATCATGGGCCTCTTGGCTGCATCTATGTGTGTGGGTTTTGTGTCTGTGTAGAGTATGTGTGTGTTTGTGTAGAGTATGTGTGTGTATGTGTGTGTTTGTGTAGAGTATGTGTGTGTTTGTGTTGAGTATGTATGTGTGTGTGTGTGTGTAAAGTGAGTGTGTGTGTTTGTGTAGAGTGAGTGTGTGTATGTTTGTGTAGAGTATGTGTGTGTGTTTGTGTAGACACTATTAAACCTGTTTGATACGTTTGGACTTGGTGAGTTTGAAAACAAAGTCCAGCTTAAACCTGACTCTGAAATTTCAGAAACTCAAAGTGAAAGTAAAGGTTTGACAGTCGGTCCTCTCTTTTGAATGTCTTTTGTAAAAGTCGCTTCATGGAACTTCTGGTGGGAATGAATCCACATGTTTCCACTTCAGTGTTTGTCCAGAAGAGAACAATGTTTTCAAGAGTCCAGTGGGTGAGAACAGAAAGTCACTGAGGGGGGTTGTGGGGTCAGAGCGTTTATCCAGGAAAGAATAGTAAAGCTGGTAGACCCTGAGTGTGTTCTCTATTAGTGAACAGAGACTTTACATCCATAGTAACAAGCAGAGGCTCACACACTCTTCCATTTGTAAAAGAACGTGTGTAGAATCTTGTAGAAATGATGCTAAAGAGCTCGTGAAGGGCTTCATGAAGAAATCCATGTATTTTCTGCAGGTTAAGCCAGATTCTTATGCCTCTACCTGGAATCAACACAAAAGATCAAATGGTTTATTAAAAACAGCCTTTTAGACTATGAACACAGATACACTGTAATCAATGAGTGACATTACAACCGTAGCCCACAAGGGGGCGCTCTAACACTATAAATGGTGTTACGTGGAACTTTATAATGAAAAGGCAAACTATATGTGTAGCAGAAACGGGCTGTTCTAAACTATACACACACAGACACACATATGTACATTATCCACATATAGCAGGGCTTATTATGGAGTGCTCCTACAGTCATGCACGTGGCGCACCACGTGTTGTAGCTACAAGGAGGAAGCGGACATTAAAGTATATAAATGGAGCATAAATATAGATTGGCACATGGTACTCACTTTGCATAGACGCACACAGAACTTATACACACAGGATTATTGATGGTTGGCATGACGCAACGCGCACAGGCTCCGCCCCTAACACTGTTAAAAGCAGCAGTAAGCGATTTGGTCGTTTCCGGCAGTTTCTTCTGCCTGAGCGAGTTAGTAGCCCCGCCCCCGTCCCCTCGTCACACCACATGAACGCGCATCGTCTTGGTGATGGCAGCAGCAGATTCATCTCCGTCAGGTCTACTCGTAAGTATATTAACAACAAACTCTGGGAGTGAAATATTAGCATAGAATAGCTTAGTTGTAACCTAGCTATAACACTGGAAGCAGCTTGGTGTTAACTAGGATAGCATCACTAAGAAAGAGATAAAAACAATCCAGTCTTTTATAGAATAATACCTGCTTTTATAGTTTGGCACACTGATAACTGTTTGTGATAAACATAATGTTGCAGATTGCAGTGTGACGTGTCTCAACATTATGCACTGTAACATCTGTTACAGTGCATATGTATTAGATGAATGTAATGCATATACATTACAACAACAAAGCTTTACATGAAGGTTTTTAAAGTAATACATTACTGCTTTCCTCACAATTTTGTATATTTGGAGTTTCTTTATAGACAACACTGTAGTAATGTATTATGTGAAAGTAAAGCTGCATCTCACTGGAAGCTGCCTTCTCAATGTCACAAAATAAAGATACATTTATTGATGTAATCAACATCTGTATTATGTGCTTATTGTTCAGAGAATGAAGACAAAATCAAAGTTGTAATCAGAGCTGTACAGTGAGATGTGGGACTGAAAAAACAATTCCAGTAAAGCTTGTCCGAAACGCAAAAGTACTGTCATAACTAATTGCGTTACACAATTACACTGTAAGGAAACTCACCACTTTGAAAGAAAAGCTACAAGTAAACAGAATAATAAAGTCATTTGTCATAACGGTTCTTTCAGGAAGCACTGAACGCCCTCTGTCCAGAGAAGCTGAGTGACCAGATCCTTTCCCTGATGCGTCTGTGAAAGGTGCCAACAGACATTGAAAACATGCTTTCCTCAGCGGCCCCCATGGTGCACGTCCTCAGCGGCCCCCATGGTGCACGTCCTCAGCGGCCCCATGGTGCACGTCCTCAGCGGCCCCCCATGGTGCACGTCCACTCTGTAAGCATGTTCTGAAATATGTTTGTAGTTGTACTATTACAAAATAAAAAAAAAATACATTCACCTCTTTCAATGTGCTTATGTTTTTATAGTAGGAAAACAAATACAGTCTGTAACGAGTCTAAGAAACTTTATTATGTTAAAAGAGATTTGAAGTTAATAGCCGGAAAAATAATACACAATGTCCCTACTAAGACAAATAGATTACAAGTGATGGTAAGGCAACGTTTGTGTATCACTTTTTGCTCAAATGAATAACACTGTTATTATTCAGGTCCTTATCCATCGCTGCTGCAGCGAACACTATCAGAGATATATAAACAAAATGTTAATCTTTATGTTGTAGCTTGTTTGAACACATTTCCTCAAAAATATAATTTTAAAGCAGCCACGCACACACAGCCACAAGCACACACAAGCACACACAGTCACACCAGGGACGTGCAGTCAGGGGAGGCAGGGGAGGCAAGCCTCACCTGCCATTATTGGAAACTAATAATTATTTTAGTTTAATATATAATTTAATATCCACTGTCCTATGCTTTTAATGTATATTCGGCCACGGTTCCCATCAGTTTTTGATCATTTCTGAAGTCCAAAATCGCCGAAAAACCCCGTTATTATCCTATTCAAAGAGACGAGGTGAGGCAGCGCTCCTGCGTGCCTCACCCCAGACCGCTCCCTCACAGTGTGTGTGTGTGTGTCTGAGTGCACTCAGCTCGTGCAGTTGATATATCACCGTTTGTTTTCAAATATCCTGCTTTAAAAACATTTTTTAAACTCCTCTTAGTGTTTAGTAGTGTATTGCACGTATGTGTGTACAATTTATATTTAGTTTAAGTCTTTTGATCGTAGATGAACACACAAGGAAAAAGCTTGGCGTGAGGCAGGCGGTAATCTGTGCCTCACCGCTAGGGGTGATAGTGAGCATAAAGTTCATACCAGAGTTGCTAACAAACAATCAGCCCAAAATGCCTATTTCTTTTGCTGGAAAATGGATGATTTGAATGAATGAGCACACACAGTCACACGCACACACAGTCACACACAGTCACAAGCACACACAGCCACACACAGTCAACAAGCACACACAGCCACACACAGCCACAAGCACACACAGTCACAAGCACACACAGTCACAAGCACACACAGTCACAAGCACACACAGTCACACGCAGCCACAAGCACACACAGCCACACACAGTCACAAGCACACACAGCCACACACAGCCACAAGCACACACAGTCACAAGCACACACAGTCACAAGCACACACAGCACACACAGCCACAAGCACACACAGCCACAAGCACACACAGTCACAAGCACACACAGCCACACACAGCCACAAGCACACACAGTCACACACAGCCACAAGCACACACAGTCACACGCACACACAGCCACAAGCACACACAGTCACAAGCACACACAGTCACAAGCACACACAGTCACACGCACACACACACAGTCACACGCACACACAGTCACACGCACACACAGTCACACGCACACACAGTCACACGCACACACAGTCACACGCACACACAGTCACACGCACACACAGTCACAAGCACACACAGTCACAAGCACACACAGACACACGCACACACAGTCACACGCACACACAGTCACACGCACACACAGCCACACGCACACACAGTCACACGCACACACAGCCACGCTTCAGGGGCCCAGGTTGAAGGAACTGGAGTCTTCCTCTGGCAGAGATTTTCCTTTGAAACATAATAGAAGAGACATCAGTTTTATCTACTCAAATATGACTTTGATATATTCATCATCAACATCATCAGTATTTATTGGTCACCAGGAGTGGCCCCTGATCCACAGGATCCTTGAACATGTTTATTTGGACTGTGAGAGACTGTGCATTGTGAGAGAAAGACACTTACATCGGCTGTTTTGGGAGTCGAGTGATTATCTCACTCCTCTTGATTGTTGAAGAAACTCAGCGACAGTTTTGTCAACACTGACTCCTGGAACATGATCGATATTCATTTTGGACCTCAGGGCAGCAACACAACTGTAGGGATGAACGACACACACATCACAACATCATTATCATAATCACTGCGTCCCATATATGCATTCACAACAACCTACATGACAAATGTGGGGTGTAAAGTCTTCCTCAGGAGATGACAATGGCCATTCTTCTAATTCTGGAAGCAAAGTCTTGTCTTCCCAGTCAATACTAGAGAAAGAAGAGGTCAGCAGAAAAGTATCTAGTCGTTATGGCATTTTTTTTTTTTTTTATAGTTATTTAACTTGCATTATGGAGGCTGTTGAACTCTTGTACATTGAAGACCTCATTCCAATTGATTTAGGCCATACTGGAAAAGATACAGAGAAAAGAATGCAATGAAGACATGTAAATTATTACAATGTCTATATTATATCATGCTCATAATTTATTTGGTAGTAGTCAGCAAGACTTTTCTTACTTATTCTCAATACATAATAATAAAAATGTATGTAGTGGTCACGGAAGTTAGATTTCAGGTAAAGAGATATTGTTTTTATAACAATAAAACTAATATACAGAGTGCAAGTTGCAAAACTTAGTCATTGAAGAATGAAATGCAGACCTACATATATATATATATAGTGCAAGCAACTATGTTTATTGGCAAAAACAAACGATTCATACAGATCAGAAGTGTTCGTAGCAGCCACATCATATTCACAACTACAGACAGCTAATGCTAACAGCAAACGCTAATGCTAACAGCGAACGCTAATGCTAACACCACTTCACGGGGGAACTCTGGTGATATGGTCTTACCAAATGGTACTCATTTAATTTTGTACATGTGGGGAACTAATAATTGACCGGAGTTTATGGATGGCTGAGGCTGGGCTAAGGCTTTGATGTTGTGTTGTCTGTTGTTGTTTCTCAAAGCTAAGCCAAAGTAATGCGCAGTTATTGCCACAAAATGCGGCCGTATTTCTACAACAGCTGGGGATTTTTAACTAGCTAACTTGGTGAAAGCCCGCATTACAGTCTCAGGCAACAATATGTATAAATAATACAACTACTACTGCCACTACTGAGTAACATGCTCACCTGTTCAGTCGGAGAGAGGAATCCACGGAGCTAGAGGTCGCCAACATGAATGCAGCTGGTCACCATGTTGCTCCTACTTTTTGTCCTTCCTCTGTTTCTGGCGTTTTGCCTGTATTTAATAAATCCATCCATGTATTTAGTCTGCAGCAGCGCTGGAGGCGGCTTTTCCTTCTCCGCCATGTTTGTTTTGAAGAGTGCGCGTGCACACACGGGAGAAACCCCTTATAAGGCGTGCTCTCTCGTTATTGGATAAGCGCATAGGATATGAGGTTTTTTTAATATATAGGTGGGAGAAGACTGGAAGGACTGAGAGATCCGTGTTTAGGTACAAACACTCTATATAAGTGATGGCTATTGGAATATATCAATATTTAAGACGTATATTAACACCCAAAAATCGCTTACTGCTGCTTTAAGGAAGGAATGAATAGGGCCATGTCTCGTGAGATGTTGACCTATAGTAATCGTTTGACCTCTGTTATTGCCAACAAAGGTTATATTACAAAGTATTGAGTTGAATTTTTGTTATTGACCAAATACTTATTTTCCACCATAATTTACAAATAAATTCTTTAAAATCCTAAAATGTGCATTCCTGGATTTTTTTTTCACATTCTGTCTGTCACAGTTGAAATGAACCTATAATGAAAATTACAGACCTCTGTCATTATTTTAAGTGGGAGAACTTTCACAATTGGTGGCTGACTAAATACTTTTTTGCCTCACTGTTGTAACCAAGTGCCTTTTTCCATTATGAATGTAACAATTCTGATATAAATAAATGTTCAAGAAAAATCTGACCTTTTGTTTTGAGGATAATGATGATAATGCGGTTGTGTCCAATTCTTTTGTAATTTTAGTTCACATGCACAGGTATAATACACTATTTAGACTACTAAACAGGCATGTCCCATGTTGAATAAAGTTAATACTGTAAAGTTGTGGAACCGGTTCTCTGATGTTTGCATAACATTTGTTTTGCCCCATAAGGATTGACTCCTCCTTCTTGAGGAATGGGGCAAAACAAATAACTCGTCCTTATCTAATTATCTGTGTATCAATCGTCATATACACTATAAAAAACCATTGAACTTGATAGAAAACATAAACAAAATAGGAGCATTTATTGCACAATTCAAGTCAGTTCAATTATTTGAAATAGTTCTTTACACGGTGAAAAGCAAAAACAAAAGCAGAGATTGAGTAGACTCTGTACAGTCCAAATACTTTCGTTTTGGAGGGAATTGGATTAATATGAGCTTTTTGCTTCATTCAATCCCTTTTCAAACCAAATCAAGGGACATTTAGAATAGGGAAAAAAATTGTGAGTTAACTGCAACATCGATGCGATTCATTGCGATAAATTATTTGAACCGTTTGACAGCACTAGTAATATTTTATTTGAGAATGGTTCTTTTTTTCTCTTTAGATACAGTTGATTATGTTGGTGTTATGTATACATACAATTTAAAGATATATTTAGGACTGTAACGATATAACCCCCAGGATCTTCTGAAGGGAAGTGGGAATCATTATATTTGAAGTCATTGCATTTATCTTATATTATGTATTATTGTATTATTATTATTATGTTTTATACTGATGTATTGTAAGTGCCTTTTTCAAATATGAATGTAAACATTTTCAAGAACAATCTCGTCTTGAAGATACTGTGTTTGTGTCCAATTCTCTGTTCATTGTAAGTCACATGAACTGGTATAATACACTATATTGAATTCTAAACGGTCATGTCCCATGTCGAATATCTATGCTGGTAAATGGAACTTGTGGAACCAGTTCTCTCAGATTTTTTCATATAATTTGAATCATCCTCCTTGTAGGATTGGGCAAAACAAATAACCCCACCTTATTTGATTATCTATTGCTCGCTGACAGCTGGTGTCAGTTGCGGGCGTCGCTGCTGTGAGACTCTTCCTATTGCAACTCCAGGTAAATATGTTGTGCTTTGTATCTATTTTAGAGGTATTTTCCCCCCATGACTGCAGTTTGGTTTCTACTTCCGTTGGATTTCAAATGTGAACATATTTTGTCTTTTCAGAGCTTGTCCAGAACCACCCACCTCCACTTTAGTCTCTACTTTTTCCTTTTTCACCATGTCCTCCCCTCATTCAACCTCTGATCATGAAGAGGCCTATGTCTCTCTGATGAGAGGAATAAAGCAGTTGGATCTCTGTGGTCCTTCTGTCCCAAGTGACTTGATTTTGACTGGAGACCATGCATTTCCGTTGGCGATGAACAGCCATGGACAAGTGCTTATGGCGGCTTCAAAGTACGGCTCAGGGCGCATTGTTGTTCTTGGGCACGAAGCTTTCCTGGGCTCGCTGCCTGATCTAGTAGAGAAAGCTCTACATTGGCTGAAAGAAGGAAAGGAGAAACATGTAACAGTCGGGTCACACAAAAATGTCAAGCATGTGTCTGAAAAACACAAATCAAAATTTCAGTTTCAAGTCATGAATGAGTTCAACAGTAGTCTGGGTGATGGGGTGTATGTCACTGATGCCTATTGTGTAGAAGGCAAAGAGAAGGAGCTGATAGCCTTTATGAAATCTGGTGGAGGGGTGCTCATTGCGGGACAGGCCTGGTCGTGGGCAGAGGGACGTCCCAAAGATAACCCACTGCTGCATTTCCCTGGGAATAAAGTGGCTGGAGTGGCAGGAGTCTACTTCTCTAAACATAGAGGAGACGCTGAGTGCATCCCAGTCTTCCCCACAATCCCTGCGTCCTGGATGTCTGTCGTGTAAGTCTATTTAATTTCAGTTTAGAATTTCACTATTTGATACTTATTCATCACAGTCAAAGGGAAAAGGAGAGAGTACAGAAGGTAGTTTATTCCATTTAACTCATTCTGTCTCACAAAGGACATTTTTCAAACAACTTTCTGTGCCACAGTGACCATAAGAAACAAAGATGACCCTAACTTTTCTTAGATACTTGTCTATTGTCATTTGTATGTGATACTCTTCTTTGTCTCATTAAGCCGGAATTCATTTTTCTTTTCGATGCCATAGAACTGGGATGGATTATGAGGACGACTTGGAGTTCTTACTTCAAGGCATCTCAGAGTTTGACATTAAAGGAGTGGTTGCCTCTGAGATCCTGATCCACGGACCGCTGGCCTTCCCCATCGGGACCATGCCAGACGGAAGCGCCTTCTTGGCTGGAGCCTACTACGGAAAGGGCAGAGTGATGGTGATGTCACATGAAAACCTGTTAAAAAGAGAGGTAGGAGACTGCTGTTTCGTACTAGAAATAATAAATAGTTTTGTGGTCAACAAACAGTGCCTTGCAAAAGTGTCAGGTCAGTTAGAACTCACATTTTGTCTTGTTGACACCACAAACAAAGGATCTTTTTAGGCCACAACAGACGACTGTGAAGTTCTGGGATAAAGGAGAGTTACAAACATGTTCAATAATCTTATGTGGGAATGGAAAGAGTTTGCACATCTACTAAGACTTAGCTGTCAGTACAAACATAACCTCAAATGAGGACAACGCTGATCACAGATGCAAACACGAGGCCCATGATTACATTGGATGAGCTGCAGACATCCACAGCTCACTTGGGGATATTGTACATGGGGCAGATATTAGTCATACACCACATACAAGTCTGCCCCCCCCCTCCAATATGGGGGTGTAAGCATCATGGCATCATGTTCATGACCCTTTCCCCGAACCCTCATTATTAACAAATCCTTTAAGTGGAGGCTGTATTACTGGGGTCAATACAAAAATAAATCAGTAAATAAATACTCCTGTACATACAGTACATACATGTACATAGGGAAAACATTAACACAAAAAAGGATAACAGGGCTAAGTAATAGAAGAACAACATTTGGAAATAGTTATACAATTAGTTAATTAATATAAAAATGAATTTTAGGGTGCTTATAAGACAAAAACAAAAATGACCCAAATATGTTTAAAATGTAAGTGAGTGAATGCATTTCGTTGGAGACAGGACCTTTAATGTGGAGCCAATCGGGGAATAATCAGTAACAGATCACCAGGAACATGATTCTGAAGAAAGTGAAAGCCTGAGACAGTTTCCATCAATGGATCCTCAAAGGTGTGCTGTGCTTAATTAGGTTATTAGAGCAAAATGAGGCGCCTACTCCACACTGTGCATCTCTTTCTCCATGGAAGAATAGATTGAGGTGAGACGTTTCTTTTTAAAGGGAGGAGGCTGCACACAATGGGATTGCACCGGACAAGCAGGTTTCTCCAAATAATTAAAATAACTGTATGGTAAATAAAGATTTTGGTCGACACCCATGATCAACTAAAAATAGTGTAGCTAAACTTGCATGAGAAAGCCAGATCCTGTCAGACCTCTAAAACTAAGCAGGGCAGGGGCTGGTTAATACTGTGATGGGAGACCTCCGGGCACACCAGGTGCCACAGTGGGGCGGCTGCGGCTGTAAAGTTCCAAACTGCCGTTGTGTCTTTAGGCAAGACACATCACCTACATTGCCCATGGTGTTTGTATGTGTGTGTGTGAATGGCTGGTGGTGGTCAGAGGGGCCACTGGCACATGCTAGTTGCCTCGCGTCTGTCAGTGTGCCCCAGGGCGTTTGTGGCTACTAAATTATTTTATCACTGTGTATGGAGTGAAAGAATAATGACATGAAAAGCGTCTTTGAGTGTCTTGAAAAGCGCAATTAATGCATTATATATTATTATTATTATTATTATTATTATCCTATTTAACACTTTTATATGGCTTTTTTCACAGACTTTTGCTCCCTTCATCAACAACGCTCTTCACTGGTTGGACGAGGGCAGACAGGGTGTAGTCGGAGTGTTTCCCAACCTGTACCAGGCCAAAGTGTTCAAGGAGTTCGACTTAAAGTGTGAAAAGACTGAGTTGCGAAAGGACTTGAGCGTGTATGTGTGCATGGTCTATAAGGACGAGAAGGTGGAGGAGATCCAGGAGTTTGTGGCCGAGGGAGGAGGCTTGTTGATCGCAGGACAAGCCTGGCACTGGGCACAGAACCATAAAGGCGCACATTTCATGACTGACTTTGCAGGTGTGTTTGCATTCTTGATTCATTAGTCATTGAAAAGATGCCCAAGGACATCTTACAATGGAATAAAGTAACACAATAGATTCAAAGATGAAACATTCAGAATAGAATACATTTACATGATGTAAATGATGTAAATCATGTAAATGTCATTTTATATTTCAATGGACAAGCCATATTGAAGAGGTATGAGATTTGATTTGAAAATTAGATTTGATTAGATTCAACTTTATTGTCATTACAAAGTCATAAAAATGCAACAAAAATGCATCCAATGATGAAGCCTATCAGTGTGGTGTCTTCTGCAAACTTGATGATGGAATTAGTGAGGGATACTGGTCTGCAGTCGTGAGTGAAAAAATAGTAGAGAAAGGGGCTTAAAACACAGCCCTGTGGGACTCCGGTGTAGATTTGGACCGTGGTGAAACTGTGCTTTTCCAATCGAACGTGCTGTGGTCTTTTAGTGAGGAAGTCTATGATCCAGTTACACAGAGCTGGATTGATGCCGAGATCATGGAGTTTGTTGATCAGCCTAGATGGAATGACGGTGTTAAATGCAGAGCTAAAATCATCAAACAGCATCCTGGCATATGTGTTGTTAATATCCAGATGTGTCAGAACGTTGTGAAGGGCCAGGGAGATGTCTTGAGTTTGGGGACAGAATTGCATTGTAAAACACTGACAGCTCCATCATCCATAATTCTGATTATTTGGACTACATGGCTAATTTCCAATTCTGTTGATAGTTCATAGTACATAAATCACAAACATGACATAGAAAGCTGGATATTACCATAATTACCAGTATATATAAATACTGGTCTGAAAGAATGCTTGCATCAAATGTATGATCTGTATTTTTCATTATTACTTTACCCATCAATTGAGGAAGGTAGATCTTAGAGTCAAAAGCTGAAAGTGAGTCATGAGCCATAATGCTCGAATTATGTTGCTTGAGCTTTGGGTAATGACCGAAAGGGAGAGATTGCAGATACATGAGTTCCCACGAGTGGCTGGGTGCTCCCTCAGAGGCCATACCTGCAGGTGGAAGCTAGATCTTGTCAGAGCTCTGAAGCTAAAGGGCAGGGCCTGCTCAGCTTCAAGACCCAGGACACGCTGGTGGTACCCTGTCTCTCTGCTGGCCTGGGAACACCTGGCATTCCCCTTGATGAACTGGGGGAAGAGGGTTTAGAAAACTCTGGATATCTCTTCTGACCTAACAAAAAAAATACACACACACACACTGTCCTAATCCCATGTATTTTTTCTACGTAATATTATTTCTTTTGTGTCCTTCATTTAGGAAACAAGATCTTGAACAAAATGGGCATGACTCTGTGGAACACGAAAATTACAGGAACGGATCCGGTTCCGAACCAGGCCAAAAATGACACTTACTACTTCAGACACGTCCTGCACAAGTTTACCCGACACGTGACTCAAGGAGAAGAGCTCACTGCACATGAAGAAGAGTGGCTGAACAAACTGGGCGGAGACTGCACCAAGTACCTGAACCTGGACGCATGCAACAACAACTTCAACCAGATCATGAGCACTTTCACAGAGATCATCAAGAAGGCGGGCTTGCCAAAGGTAAATCCACCGTTTATTTATCTCCTGATCATACGTTTTTGTTGCACATTATCTCAAGCGCCCCTTTGATAATAATGTTAATGTTCCAGGTGTGTGAGAAATGCCCCGTGAAAAGTGAAAGAGACAAGTTCCTGCTGAAAATTGGGGAAGTACTTTATAAGAAACATCACAATCCAGAAGAACTTTTACCATTCCTTATTAAAGACAACCCCCTGCTGCCCGTCCTTTACAACCAGAATATCAGCATAGACACAGATACAGGAGGTAAATATGTCTGAGGTGAAGAAATAGACAAATACATATATAGTACTGTTAGAGTCGACCTCAACAAAACACCTGAAATGTGATGGTATTTAGTTTTTTGCAGTTATTTCAGAAAGTGTTTTTTTTTTATAGTTCAATCTAATGTGTAATGTATCTATAAACAATAACAGCTGAGGGTAAGAGTTAAAATGCCGTTTTGGCTGTTTAACATCAAAGACATATTTGAAGTCATTTTCCCAATATTCTATTGTTTGAGAATGTCTGATATGCATTTCAGTATGTATATATATATATATATATATATATATATATATATAAAATGTATAAATGTATATATACATTTATATATATAATATATAAATGATTATATATTATATAATCTTAATATAGAAATATATTAAGATTAAGATTAAGAGATCCTTTATTGGTCCCACAGAGGAGACATTTCAGTGTTGCATCACAAGTTATAGAACAGAAGGAAAGAGGAGCACACAGCACAAGAACAATAGCTATACTAATTAAAATAAACAACATTCCTAACTCTAGCATCAATAAAAGTATAAAATCTCAATCTTGAAAATAATAATAAAAGAAATAAAAAGAAATGTAAAAGTTTTACATTTGGCAAAATAAGAGGCAAGTATAAAGTACTATGTATTCTAGTGCAAGCAAAGTGTAGTTATATGTTAGCATCAGTACATGTTAGAAGCAGTATGTTTACATCTGTACATTAGCAGCAGTATGTTTACATCTGTACATTAGCAGCAGTATGTTTACATCAGTACATTAGCAGCAGTATTTTTACATCTGTACATTAGCAGCAGTATGTTTACATCTGTACATTAGCAGCAGTATGTTTACATCTGTACATGTTAGCAGCAGTATGTTTACATCTGTACATTAGCAGCAGTATGTTTACATCTGTACATTAGCAGCAGTATGTGTACATCTGTGCATTAGCAGCAGTATGTTTACATCAGTGCATTAGCAGCAGTATGTTTACATCTGTACATTAGCAGCAGTATGTGTACATCTGTGCATTAGCAGCAGTACGTTTACATCAGTGCATTAGCAGCAGTATTTTTACATCTGTACATTAGCAGCAGTATGTTTACATCTGTACATTAGCAGCAGTATGTTTACATCTGTACATGTTAGCAGCAGTATGTTTACATCTGTACATTAGCAGCAGTATGTTTACATCTGTACATTAGCAGCAGTATGTTTACATCAGTACATTAGCAGCAGTATTTTTACATCTGTACATTAGCAGCAGTATGTTTACATCTGTACATTAGCAGCAGTATGTTTACATCTGTACATGTTAGCAGCAGTATGTTTACATCTGTACATTAGCAGCAGTATGTTTACATCTGTACATTAGCAGCAGTATGTGTACATCTGTGCATTAGCAGCAGTATGTTTACATCAGTGCATTAGCAGCAGTATGTTTACATCTGTACATTAGCAGCAGTATGTGTACATCTGTGCATTAGCAGCAGTACGTTTACATCAGTGCATTAGCAGCAGTATGTTTACATCTGTACATTAGCAGCAGTATGTTTACATCTGTACATTAGCAGCAGTATGTTTACATCTGTACATGTTAGCAGCAGTATGTTTACATCTGTGCATTAGCAGCAGTATGTTTACATCTGTACATTAGCAGCAGTATGTGTACATCTGTGCATTAGCAGCAGTACGTTTACATCAGTGCATTAGCAGCAGTATGTTTACATCTGTACATTAGCAGCAGTATGTTTACATCTGTACATTAGCAGCAGTATGTTTACATCTGTGCATTAGCAGCAGTATGTTTACATCTGTACATGTTAGCAGCAGTATGTTTACATCTGTACATTAGCAGCAGTATGTGTACATCTGTGCATTAGCAGCAGTATGTTTACATCTGTACATTAGCAGCAGTATGTTTACATCTGTACATGTTAGCAGCAGTATGTTTACGTCTGTACATGTTAGCAGCAGTATGTTTACATCTGTACATTAGCAGCAGTATGTTTACATCTGTACATGTTAGCAGCAGTATGTTTACGTCTGTACATGTTAGCAGCAGTATGTTTACATCTGTACATTAGCAGCAGTATGTTTACATCTGTACATTAGCAGCAGTATGTTTACATCTGTACATTAGCAGCAGTATGTTTACATCTGTACATTAGCAGCAGTACGTTTACATCTGTACATTAGCAGCAGTATTTTTACGTCTGTACATTAGCAGCATGAGGCTCTGAGACACAGGGACTCAGTAAAGTGACAGTGACATGTGGTTATTGCACATTCTGATATACAGTGCCTTGCGAAAGTATTCGGCCCCCTTGAACCTTTCAACATTTCACCACATTTCAGGCTTCAAACATAAAGATATAAAAATTCAATTTTTTGTCAAGAATCAACAACAAGTGGGACACAATCGTGAAGTGGAACAAAATTTATTGGATAATTTAAACTTTTTTAACAAATAAAAAACTGAAAAGTGGGGCGTGCAATATTATTCGGCCCCCTTGCGCTAATACTTTGTAGCACCACCTTTTGCTGCAATTACAGCTGCAAGTCGCTTGGGGTATGTCTCTATCAGTTTCCCTGTCCCTGCTGAAGAAAAGCAGGCCCAAACCATGATGCTGCCACCACCATGTTTGACAGTGGGGATGGTTCAGGGTGATGAGCTGTGTTGCTTTTACGCCAAACATATCGTTTTGCATTGTGGCCAAAAAGTTCGATTTTGGTTTCATCTGACCAGAGCACCTTCTTCCACATGTTTAGTGTGTCTCCCAGGTGGCTTGTGGCAAACTTTAAACGAGACTTTTTATGGATATCTTTGAGAAATGGCTTTCCTCTTGCCACTCTTCCATAAAGGCCAGATTTGTGCAGTGCACGACTGATTGTTGTCCTATGGACAGACTCTCCCACCTCAGCTGTAGTTATCTGCAGTTCATCCAGAGTGATCATGGGCCTCTTGTCTGCATCTCTGATCAGTCTTCTCCTTGTTTGAGATGAAAGTTTGGAGGGACGGCCGGGTCTTGGTAGATTTGCAGTGGTCTGATACTCCTTCCATTTCAATATAATTGCTTGCACAGTGCTCCTTGAGATGTTTAAAGCTTGGGAAATCTTTTTGTATCCAAATCTGGCTTTAAACTTCTCCACAACAGTATCTCGGACCTGCCTGGTGTGTTCCTTTGTCTTCATGGTTCTCAATGCGCTTTAAACAGAACCCTGAGACTATCAAAGAGCAGACCATTTATACGGAGACTTGATTACACACAGGTGCATTCTATTTATCATCATCAGTCATTTAGGACAACATTGGATCATTCAAAGATCCTCACTGAACTTCTGGACTGAGTTTGCTGCACTGAAAGTAAAGGGGCCGAATAATATTGCACGCCCCACTTTTCAGTTTTTTATTTGTTAAAAAAGTTCAAATTATCCAATAAATTTCGTTCCACTTCACGATTGTGTCCCACTTGTTGTTGATTCATGACAAAAAATTAAAATGTTATATCTTTATGTTTGAAGCCTGAAATGTGGTTAAATGTTGAAAGGTACTTTCGCAAGGCACTGTAAGTTAAGGATATTTCCACGATGCATGACACGTGGGATCAAATTGGCAGTGATAAGCAATATCGTCCGGAAAAGGAGCATACAGCAGAGGTCTGTAACTAGCTCTCCACTGGTTGGCGACCCCCTGAGCATCAGGTAGCTCCCCAAAGGATTATAGAATTGAACACATGATCCTGAATGATTCAAATTTGAGTCAATACATATCTATTATAACTATACATCTTTTAATTATTGCAGGATTACTGTACGAGACTGTACTGTATGATGTAATGTATAATACTGATATAATTATGTATTGCGTGTTCTCCATGATTTATCATAGTTATTAGGTAGACTACAATTGTATTACAACTGCTAAAAGGTTGCAAGGTTTTATATAAGTAGCTCTCTAATCAAACTGACTCATTCAATCAAGTTGTTTCTGTGTTGCAGGTGGAGAGGAGTGGGTGAGCACCGGTCTGTATTTGGCTCCTGGGATGAAGACCTACTTGACCGTACCAGCAAATGTTATCGACAAGGGCTTGAAGGTATATCAAACAACACAGCACAAAGGTCCTGGGTTCGAATCCCAGTCAGAACAGGGCCTTTCTGCATGAGTTTGCATGTTCCCCCCCTCCCTCCCTCCCCTGCGTCTGCATCAGTGGGGGCGGGTCCCGGCTCAAAAGTGGCCAAAATGATGTGCGCTGACATGCTTGCAATACCACCCCGGGCCGATGGGGGTGGACCCGGAAAATGAATTAGCCAATGCTAACATATAGCATTGGCAGACCTCTCAAAAACGTCTTTACAGGATGCTCCAAAAGTTGGCTCTTGGCCCAAAGCTCCGTTCCACATGTGTGTCAATGCTGAGCTGCGTGGATTTTTTTGGACCACTCTAGTTTACTTGCTGTGAATTTTTGAAGTCTCTCGTTCAAATGAATGGAGCTTGCGCCGGGAGACGCGTTTTTTCACAATTTTCTTGTGGGCGGGACCTCTCGCTGCATTTTTGGATAGCTCCAGTAGAGCACATTTTTTGGCCCATTTGTTTGAACGACGGAGATAGGCGTGACTACGTCCATTATTTTTTTCGGTCTATGGTCTGCATAGGTTTCCTCCGGGTGCTCCAGTTTCTCCTACCTCTAAAAACATGCACAATAGGTATGAATGTAACGAATGAGTGGATGGATGGTGTTTGGTCAGAGGCTTCGATGCTCCAGTGTGTTTGGCGTCTCGCTTCCGTCATCACCGTGTCTGGAGAAAGTCCATCTCCCATCTGTCAAAAAATAACAATTGTAAACCGCTTTGTGACTCTGGTCTGTGAAAGGCGGTATATAAATAAAGATTACTTACTTACTTACTTAAAACAACCTCTGAACATTGTAACATTGCGCTTTGGGTGACCTTGATCTGTAAAAACGTACTATATAAATAAAGATTACTTACTTATGTACAGTACTTCTGTATCATTATTATTAACAGGATTACTTATGATTACATCATTAGGTGCAGATCGGATGCCAAATGGATTCAATCAGTGAGGCCAAGGTGTTGAAGAGAGCTCCGTGTGTCTGTGAGAGGTTCCCGGTCACTTCAGAGATGCTGCTGGTGCACAACCTGTGGGGAGGCCTCATTTACTTCATCGTTCCTCCAAAAACTAAAGTGGCGTTCACAGCCGTTGCTCAAATGGCCGTTCCTGCTCCATATTACAAATCAGGTGAGCATATTATATGCCATAGATGTTTACATTTTATTTTATTTCTCATGTCTTCACTTTGCTTTAGTGTGATGTGATGTAAAAGAGGTTTGTGATTGACTTCTGATTTCAAAGCCTTGATTCACAATCTCACTGAGAGGCACTAAGTATCCTACTGTTTCACTTCTCTCTTTTCAGGGGAAACCTCTCTGTCTGATTGGTCACTTCTGAGCAAGGCCCCATCTCCCTGGGCAGAGCTGGAGTTTGAGAACGTCATTCTGACGGTGCCCTCAGAGGTGATCCGGAATCTGGAGCGTCCTGATGAGCTGGCCGAGCTCTGGGACAAGATGTTGAGGGCCGTTGCAGACTTGGCTGCAATCCCACCCAAGTTTAAACGAAAAGAGAGATTTGTCTGTGAAGTGCAGATCTCGCATGGTAAATATTAGTACAGTAATACACACTGAGTGAGAAACCTTCCTTTGCTTTAACCCTTTAATGGTTTCCTCAATCATTTGATGGATCACTTTTTGAGTAACTATACATACTTGAACATGTTATCTACCTCTTTGGGGCATCTCACTTGGTTGAGGTACGTTAACCATTAAACTGCATGTGTGTAATTAGTGCTCCTTAGACAATAGAAAACAATACATTGCTTTCTTCAAGGAGTGAACATCAAAAGGTGAAAACATATATTCTCCAGGCTGGATGCATGCAGGTTACCCCATCATGGCACACAAAGCCTCCGCTCAACAGATGGTCAGTGTTAAACATGCAACAACCAAAGGTCTGTGGGGACCTTTACATGAGCTGGGACACAACCGACAGAGAGGATGCTGGGAGTTTCCCCCTCACACCACAGAGGCCACATGCAACCTGTGGCCTCTTTACGTGCACGAGACAGTGTTAAATCTCAAAGGATCAAGGGTACAGCGGAATATATGAAAGTTGAATGAAATGAACTAATCCTAACTATATGTCTTACAATCCAGGGGAAAGAACAACCGAAATATGTAGAAAAATATATTACAAACGGAAGAAATTTGTCTCAGTGGCACGTGTGGACAGCACTGGAGACATACTTGCAGGTAATGTCTTGTTTGAAAATTTTTCTGATTTCACAAAACAGTGTTGTCAAAGTTAAACGCTCTGAAAAGATCAGACCACATTATTTGGGGCCTCCAAGATTTCGCGCACTTGTGTGTCTTCATGGAATAACATGGGACATTTCATGCATTGCTACAGAAATAACAACAATTTGAGAGTCCGCCACTCGTAACCTCACTTCCTGAGATGATGTGGGACCATTTTTGGCAGAACTAAATTTTAGTCAAAGTTTGTGAGTTCTTGTGCAAGTTTAGATAATCAAAAAGCAGGAAAAAAAAGAAAGAAATAGGATTTGTTTCCCCCTGAAAACGATAGTATGAATATTTTATAAGACTGTGATTATGTGAAAACTGAACTTGTCACTTCTATATACAACCGTATATAGAAGTCATTACTTTTCCACTTGATCACCTGCAGCTATGGCAGATGCCGAGGGATTATAGGATTTTTGTCTTGAACGCTGAGAAAACTCTGGTCCTGTCGTTCACATTAATAAAACATGTCTTCTACAGAGACACGATCCCAGACCCCTACATCTTTTGACGTTTTCTTCAATAGTCTTCCGTGGCAACCTATACCACAAATGATAAATTAGGCAAACTGTTAATGCTGTTTTAACCACAGTCCAGCCTGACAAAAACCCATACACAAAAGACATCGTTCCTGCATTCTTTGTTCTTGGTTGCATTCCAAGTAAACAAGTTCTGAAGAGAAAGAGCACCAGCTCAGCTTAGCCTCCTTTCAGAACATGACCTTAGTCAGGCTGCAAGGCAGTATAGAAGGAGACCCACCTCCACTTCCACACAGTCACAGCTTCACAATGAGATCTTTGGTATTTAGCAAATTAATCAAAGAAACTGTGGACTTCTTACCAGTCTAGCCTGGTCCCATCTGCATACAACCCCCGTCTCTCAGAAGACTTAAAAATATTCCAATGACACAAACGTAATCACATTGACATTTGCATACACACACAAATCTCGGCTCCAAACAAACTGAATTGCTAAGTCTAACATGTTTTTTTTTAACCTTCTAACGTTATGTTCGATGCTATACTTCTCCAGCTGAAGGACAAATTTGGCTGGGATGCTCATAAGAAGGTGTTCGCTGCTTACCACAACATGAGTGGCTTTCCCAAAAACAGAGATGGGAAGATGAACCTTTACGCTGTGACCTTCTCCGAGATTGTGGGGATGGACTTGAGCGGGTTTTTCAAAGCCTGGGGGTGGCCTATAGAGGGCGACACTGAGAAGAAACTGTCCAACCTGCCTGCCTGGATCGACCACCCTATGGCCCAATACAACTGAAATGTTCACTCATTTTGAAATGTACACAGTCAGGTACAAGATGATCATAACATATAACTTAAGTGGTATAAGAGGTAATAAAGTAACTGGTGTTTCTCTATGCTCCACATGTGTGGCTTGGTGGCTAAAACATGATCAATAGTGAATTCTTCTACAGCTATATCTGATTATCTGGATCTGTCAGGTTGCCTCAGCAGGAAACAATATTCATAAGGGCTATAACGGTGTCCCGGTCATGATATGATATAATCACAAATATTTGATATTCAGATTCAGTATTTTGTCATTTGCAGTAAAAGCACATTGAGATGTGCAAAAGTACCATAGTGTGCACCAGAGAAGAACATGAAATCTAAAAAGTACAAGAAACAATTGTCACTGTGAGATCAATCAATAAAAACATTTTCAATACATGTTCAGGATCATTATTGTTTGTTTAAACTGATGGCAGGTTGTGGAAAGAAGCTGTTGGTATATCGAGATCCAAGTGAACGGTATCTTCTGCCATAAGGAAGAAGCTGAAACAGTTTTTTCCAGGAGCCAGAAGGGTCATAGATTATTTTAAGATCTTGATTTAAGAGTCTGGAATCATAAAGAACCTTCAGAGCAGGCGGCTCAGCGCTCTCTGTCGTCTTGATTAGAGCTCTTCATTCTTTAAACAAGGACTAATAATATAGTCATTTTTATTGCAATGGTTTTAGAATAAGGATAGACATTCAAAGCCCATTCAAGTTTTAAACTCTAGTGCTAGTCAATCTGATGTTTATTGTACCTTTCCAAAGTGCAAAAATGTTTAAACTGAAACAAACTTGAATAAAGCCTCATCCAAATGGCAGAAACACTTCTCAGTTCTTCATATTATCTAAAATTGAAATTCCTAAATACTTGAAATGCGTTTTCATGTTGCCAGTGTTTTCTGTTGTCTTCTGTCCACAAGATGAGATTGGGTTTGGTCATGATTGCTTTATATATATATTTTTGGGTTATACGTATACACCGATTCTAGAGGAAAATCAAAAAGGATTTGACTGGGGATGAAAGCATTGTATTACTGTATAATTAAAGTCATTGCATATTACTTACAGTGACTTGAATATATATATTTTACATGTTAAGCAAATTACTGAAAAGTGCCTATTATATATTATTATTATACGGCTCCTCACAGCAGCAGTAGAATGCTCCATTGATTTGAATGTAATTTCAAAACGTTCTACCGGTCATTATTTTCTATAACGGACCTCTCAAAACAATAATGAGTCTTTCAAATGCGTGGATAACTCCGCAAGTAGTTCTGGCCACTCCGGAGCTAGCCACGCTCAATCAACACACTTAAATGTTAATCGGAGAATACTTACACATACATTCTTCACACACGTGCACGGAAATTTTCAGAATTTTCTGGTCTTGTCTTCATGACAAAAATACTATTTCTCTGCGTCAAAAAGCGATCGTGAAAAACCCGGAAGTAGTTCCGGCCGCTCAATAAACGCAAATGCCAATCAATCAACGCAATGAAATGTTAATCGGAAAGTAATTTATACATATCCAGTCTTAATACAAGTGCACGGAAGTTTTCAGAATTTTCCGTTTACGTTTTCATGACAAAAACACTGATGTAATGCGAGAAAAGGCGATCCCGAAAAACCCGGAAGTAGATACCGGCACATTTTCGGACACATTTGCAGAGGATCGAATTATGGATTTAGGTTAGGTGTCAGGAATAAACCAGACAGAGACGGTCGTGGTGCGCCAAACTCTGGAAGTTTATTTAAGTTTCTCTCAAGTTCCAGTGGTTTCCATTGTTTCTTTCTCTCAGACAGAATGGAGTCAGTACACAGTTTATGTAGTCATTGTCACGTCACACATCGAAAGACGTACGTGTCACACAGAGACAGTCACATCATAGTCAAAATAATCAGAGTCCTTGTAGAGTCCTGCACGTAGGCCATATTGCTATCTAATACTAACACTCACCCCTTTGATCACATAATCACATGTGATCACTCAATTTGATCAATCAATAAAGTGGAAAAAAAAAACTTAAATAAAATGTTTAATTACAAAACTTTTTGTGACAAAAGGCCTCCTTTACACGTTTCCCTTTTTTAAAATTGCTTTTACTTTTACACCATGGTTTCACTAAGGATCCTTCTTCTCTATCTTTTCTCAAAGGGACTCTAACCCCGAAAACGTTTTCTCAAAGGGACTCTAACCCTGAAGCTTCTTCTCAAAGGGACTCTAACCCCGAGACATCTTATCAAAGGGACTCTAACCCCGAGACTTCTTCTCAAAGGGACTCTAACCCCGAGACTTCTTCTCAAAGGGACTCTAACCCCGAGACTTTTCTCAAAGGGACTCTAACCCCGAGACTTCTTCTCAAAGGGACTCTAACCCCGAGACTTTTCTCAAAGGGACTCTAACCCCGAGACTTCTTCTCAAATACAATTTAGAGAGTTTGACAGACCCCAAAAACAGACCAAAATTTTGCTAGTATCCAATTATACAGACTTTACATATAAAAAGGTGTCTGCTTACCTTATTCTTGTCAAACAGGTACCAAGGACTGTCCGAGAGGTCTGCCAAATATCAGCTTTTCCACGTCCAACCGGGTCTCCCAGATCATGAACCAGCGCTCACTAGTACCGGGAACTAGTTTCCATCGGCAGAGACCAATCACACGTCAAAAATCCCCGGAATGTGGACATGGGAAAACAATTTTAAATGCTTAGTCAGTCCAAAAAAGAGGACACAAAAAAATATAGTGAGAGAGCAAAAGAGTCCCGGAGCCGGTCGCCTCTCCAGCCTGCTGGACCGCTCCCAGGCCCCAGATACTCTCAGCTCTCCCACGCCGAGAAAAAGAAAACAAAGGAAACTCCCTCAAAACAATCCAGAGAATGGTGCACACTGAGCCGCGCATTCTCCACCAAATCTGTCAGGGATGAAACAGACAGAGACGGATCGTGGTGCGCCAAACTCCGGAAGTTTATTTAAGTTTCTCTCAAGTTCCAGTGGTTTCCATTGTTTCTTTCTCTCAGACAGAATGGAGTCAGTACACAGTTTATATAGTCATTGTCACGTCACACATCGAAAGACGTACGTGTCACAAAGAGACAGTCACATTATAGTCAAAATAATCAGAGTCCTTGTAGAGTCCTGCACGTAGGCCATATTGCTATCTAATACTAACATAGGTTTCACTCACCGCTGATGTTCAGAATTCTTTGTTCAGTTTTCATGCAGTTCCAGAGAGTTCTAGTTTGGAAGTTCCCAGCCTAACTGCTGCTAGCATAGCCACGGGAAAGCCTTTGGGAACTATTTTATTTTCTGTCATTAAATAAACCTTTCGGCATTCCTAAAAGTGGACTGAAGTTTGTGTTGTGTGTTCTGTTGGTATAAAGCCGTATAATAAGCGGGATAACGTATATTACGCAGGTCATTATCGGAAAATAAGTACCTTCAGGGCGGAAGCAGACCCCTCCGCTGCACCCTGTCGGTACTTATTTTCCGATAATGACCTGCGTAATATACGTTATCCCTTACTTATGTTCTCTTTCAATTATGAATATTAAAATATTAAAAACAAATCACTGACTTTCGTCTTCATTAAAAGCTGGGATAATGTGTTGTTGTACAATCCTTTGTCACATGAACTGGCCTGAAACAGTTTTGATGGGTTCATAACTCATGCTGACTGTGTGTACTGGTATATGACACGTTGTGTAGTTGCATAACCGGTTTCCTGCGGTGGATCCGTGTTTAGAAAACATTTGAATCCTGCCGCTTGTCTGGGGTGGGGCAAAACAAATAACTCCTACTTTTATGATAATCACTGGGTCTGACTCCTGTGTCAGTCGCCGGCGTCGCTGCTCTGAGGCTGTTTCTGTGGCAACTCTAGGTGAGCTGTTTTTTCTTTTTATTTACACATCTATTTCAGGGTGTGTATTTACCAGTTATTTTGTAGAATGTTAATTTTATAAGTTTTTCAATTTACTGACCTTGAACTGATGATTCTTGTTTAATTGAATCCAGTGTCGATAAAGAATTCAAAGTGAGAGAAATGTTTAAAATATAAATCACTTTAAGGCAAAAAGCCACTGTCATTATGAAATTATGTTTTCTTTTTTAAAGTAGATTGTAGCTTTTGCATTCATTTTAACGTCTACATTCATCTGCACATCTGCATGCATCAAAGTTTGTTCTTATCGGTCACATGGCAATGGACATGCAGTTAAAGCCCCTTATGCTGGTCTGGGACGGGTCGTGGTCCTGCATGAGTTACCATAGCAACACTCTGTTTACTTGCAGCAGTTAGCATTTAGCCTTTCAACAAACTGTTTCTGTATTTCAAGTTTTATACAACAGTTTTTGCACATATTACCTTACATTATTTTAATAAAACTGGTTTAATCTTTTTTCAGAATTTCATTGGTTTGAATGGGGGCCATCAAGATGACTGCTGTGGGAGTTGTAGTAGTTTCAGAATTCTTGGAGTCCTAATGTTAAAGTAGTATGTGCATGGGGGACGATCTGACATTTTATCTGTTTTTGCCTTGCCATTTCTCTTGAAAGCCTCCAATAAAAAAAAAAATACTGATGCTTAAAGGCACTTGACGAATAGATTAAGTAGAAAGGTAAAAGTTAACTATAATCATAGCTCAAATGTGCTATTCCTATGGACTTTTGATAACGTCGGTCATAAAATGTGAACATATTTTGTCTTTTCAGAACCACCCACCTCCACTCCACTGACAATTCAGTCTCTACTTTTTCCTCTTTCACCATGTCCACCCCACATTCAACCTCTGATCATGAAGAGGCCTATGTCTCTCTGATGAGAGGAATAAAGCAGTTGGATCTCTGTGGTCCTTCTGTCCCAAGTGACTTGATTTTGACTGGAGACCATGCATTTCCGTTGGCGATGAACAGCCATGGACAAGTGCTTATGGCGGCTTCAAAGTACGGCTCAGGGCGCATTGTTGTTCTTGGGCACGAAGCTTTCCTGGGCTCGCTGCCTGATCTAGTAGAGAAAGCTCTACATTGGCTGAAAGAAGGAAAAGAGCAAAATGTACCTGTTGCAGCGCACCAGTATGTGAAACATGTGTCCGATAAACACAAGTCCAAATTTCAATTTCAAGTCATGAATGAGTTCAACAGTAGTCTGGGTGATGGGGTGTATGTCACTGATGCCTATTGTGTAGAAGGCAAAGAGAAGGAGCTGATAGCCTTTATGAAATCTGGTGGAGGGGTGCTCATCGCGGGACAGGCCTGGTCGTGGGCAGAGGGACGTCCCAAAGATTACCCACTGCTGCATTTCCCCGGGAATAAAGTGGCTGGAGTGGCAGGAGTCTACTTCTCTAAACATAGAGGAGACGCTGAGTGCATCCCAGTCCACCCCACAATCCCTGCGTCCTGGATGTCTGTCGTGTAAGTACTGTACTTTGGCCACGACCACCAAACATTAATCAACACACCAGACTCAAACTGAGCAATCGAGGTTACAGACTCGACAGGATCAGGCTTTCACTTGTAGATAGTGTCACAATAAACACATGCAACTTGGTCAGGTGAATAACACACATTCAGGTGAAATGGTTGAATTTTCAACTAATCTATTTTTGTCGCCAACTACAGTGAATTGGTCCTTCTCATTGGTCAATTCAATATCAGTTTAACCAATTAGATTGGTTGGCCCACAACCAACAGATTTACCAACATATTAGCCAGAGATTTATTAATCACAGCTTAATCAATTAAAATTGGATTTGTTTTTGGACCACCATGTCTTTAGAGTGCAGAAAAAAGGAGGAAAAGGGAAATTTAATTAATTAATATGGCCTCAACTGGTTTTGTCACAGAAAACCCTTAAAACAAATTGTTCCCACAACTTAATTGGCTTTACGTGTCAAAGAGATGGTTTATAAGTCGGCAATAGTTCAAATGTGTTTTTGTCTATAGTCACTACAAGCAGGTTTGTGAACTGAAAGAAGTTACCCATCACTTTCTGAATATCAATGTCTTCGTTATGTTGTTTAAGGAAGCCATTTTTATTCCATTGCATATTTTCATTTTAAATGCTTTAGAATTGGAAAGGATTTTGAGGATGACCTGGAATTCTTACTTCACGGCGTCTCTGAGTTTGACCTGATGAATGGAGTGGTGGCTTCTGAGATCCTGATCCACGGAGCGCTGGCCTTCCCCATCGGGACCACGCCAGACGGACGCGCCTTCTTGGCCGGAGCCTACTACGGACAGGGCAGAGTGGTGGTGATCTCACACGAAGGACTGATGAAAAGAGAGGTAGGGAATTGCCTTCTTGTTTCAAACATTTCTCAGTTGAACACACCAACGCGTTTAATGTAGGGCTTTCATCAGGGCTTGTGAGAAAGTGCATGACCATTTATTTAAAGAGGAAGTAATGTGACCCATCAGTCATGTGACAAACATGACAGAAAAATACATTTTAAAACATTAAAAAAATTATGTCAAAGATAAACATAAAAATAAATAAAATAAAAAAGGGCATTGAAATTATTGAAAATGACAGTGAAGAAAATAAATAAAAATACATATAAAAAATTAATAGATAAAAATACATATAAAACTAAATTAAAGTGGAAATAATAAATACATACAATTGAATATAAATATAATCAAAATAAAATCCAAATAATAGTGAACAACTATTAAATGAAAAAATAGAAATAAGAATAAATACATAATGGTTTGTTGTTTTCAGACTCTTGCTCCCTTCTTCACCAATGCCCTGCACTGGTTGGACGAGGGCAGACAGGGTGTGGTTGGAGTGGTTCCTGACCTGCACCAGGCCTTCAATGTGTTCAAGACGTTCGACCTAAAGTGTGAAAAGACCAAGTTTCGAGAGGATCTGAGTGTGTACGTGTGCACGGCCTATAAGGAAGACCAGGTGGAGGAGATCCAGGAGTTTGTGGCTGAGGGAGGAGGCTTGTTGATCGGAGGACACGCCTGGCACTGGGCACAATGCCACAAAGACAAAAAAAGCATGACGGACTTTGCAGGTGTGTTTGTCTTCTCGTTTAAAAGTAATAGAAAAATGTTTGTCCTGTGGCCACCTTTAATTCAACACACATTGCCAAACTTTTCAGCAGATTGTTTTTCTGTCTCATTTCCAGCAGTTCCAACATCCAACATGATTTATTTCATACAATATTGATAATAATGATTCTAGCTCCTGGGTGCCTTCGCTGGGGGTATAATGTAAGAGAGGGATCAGTATAATAAAAAGAAAAAAAAATCTGTGCCACAGGTTTCTGCCCTGTCCTCCCCTGAGACCAATGGTATGCAGTATAACATAAAACAGCTTAGAAAACCATTTGGCATAAGGAGTGTCAGGCCATGCAGATTAATAGCATTAGGAGAAGACGGACAAGACATACCAGACAATACCGCTTGGAAAAATGAATGCTTGTGTTTCTTTGCAGCAACTGAAATTGAGTCATTGGTTTCCATTTCAATATAGATATGTCCAGGACTTTCTTGAGTCATCATTACGAATCCTTCATGGTGTTGTCCATCATCTTGACCTGTGTACTTCAAAGTCTCACCTGATATTGCTCTTCTTAGACCCACATGACCATCTACCAACTATGGAGATCACATCTTTGCATTTCGGACACTAGTTTTCTCTGTTATAAGGGCCCCCAATCTTGCTGGTTGTCTTGCAAACTCGGAGAACCAGTGGTTTTCTGTCTAGGGTGCCCTTCTCTTCGCCAGCGGGATCCAGGAATCTAAAATACTTTAAATTTACCTTTCGCCATTGTAATTAAAGTATTACCTGGGCCTAATGACACTAGTGAAATTTAGTGTCCGCCCTCGTGGCCCATATACCAGCCATTGATCCTTGCATATTTTCTATATAGTAAAAATGTCTATAATCCTTCATTTAGGAAACAAGATCTTGAACAAAATGGGCATGACTCTGTTAGAGACGTACATTACGGACGGGGCCTACAAGCCTCCGGTTCCGAGCCAGGCCATCAGTGACACTTACCATTTTAGACATGTCCTGCACAAGTTTGCTGGCCACGTGACCCAAGGAGAAGAGCTCGCCGCACATGAAGAAGAGTGGCTGAAAAAACTGAGTGGGGACTGCACCAAGTATCTGAACCTGGACGCCGGCAACAACAACTTCAACCAGATCATGAGCACTTTCACAGAGATCATCAAGAAGGCGGGCTTGCCAAAGGTACATTTCCTCCAAGTCACTGTTTCTGCCATTGGTAATTTATCAAAACGTACCATATTGTTCCACATACTGTATAGTTTATCTCCGGTTTTAGCACTGTTAATGTTCCAGGTATGTGAGAGCTGCCCCGTGAAAACTGCAAGAGACAAGTTCCTGTTGAATATCGGGACAGAACTGTACAAGAAACATCAAAACCCGGAAGAACTTCTGCCGTTCCTCATCAAAGACAATCCCCTGCTGCCCGTCATTTACAACCACAAAATCAGCGTAGACACAGATACAAGAGGTAAATATGTCTGAGGTAAATAAGTTAAATATATATAGTCCTATTAGTAGAAAACAATCTATTTATTTGGTGTTCCGAATCTCACGAGACATTGGACAAGATTATGCTATTTCAAATGTATTTTCTTTGTTTAATGATACAGCCCTCACAACCACCGATCCTGTATGTTATACCTCCTTTTAGAGATCAGAATCTGCAGAATTCAATTCATGCATTGTAAACCATGTAACAACTACTTACTATTTGTAATAAATCCATGCAATTTCACAGTGCCATTATATATATATATATATTATATGTATATGTTTTTGTACCCATAAAATCATTATTGTGTTGGTTCCTAAAAATTCAAATCAGTGCCAACAGAGATTAAACACCTCCAAACTATAATTGAAATGTGGCTTTTTACCTAGTATACCAACAGCACTCGACAAATGAGGATATTGTGGAATGTTTCATGGTTTCAATTCAGTTTTTGCTAATATCTTGCAGCCCTTTTCTCCATCTACGTTGTCAGAGACTGTCAAACTATAAAATCAATAAAGTGACTGTTTAACACTCACTCAACAGCTGCTTCTGAACAGAGGAGTGGAGAGGAGTGGGTGAGCACCGGTCTGTATTTGGCTCCTGGGATGAAGACCTACTTGTCCGTACCAGCAAATGTTATCGACAAGGGCTTGAAGGTGCTTTGAACAACACAGTATCTGATGTACAGAACTTGTAGCATTCATATTAATAGGATTGCTTTCCTTTATATCAATAGGTGCAGGTTGGATGCCAAATTGATTCACTCAAGAATGCTAAAGAGTTGAAGAGAGCTCCGTGTGTCTGTGAGAGGTTCCCGGTCACTTCAGAGATGCTGCTGGTGCACAACCTGTGGGGAGGCCTCATTTACTTCATCGTTCCTCCAAAAACTAAAGTGGCGTTCACAGCCGTTGCTCAAATGGCCGTTCCTGCTCCGTATTACAAATCAGGTGAGCATATTATATACCATAGATGTTTACATTTTATTTTATTTCTTATGTCTTCACTTTGCTTTAGTGTGATGTGATGTAAAAGAGGTTTGTGATTGACTTCTGATTTCAAAGCCTTGATTCACAATCTCACTGAGAGGCACTAAGTATCTTACTGTTTCACTTCTCTCTTTTCAGGGGAAACCTCTCTGTCTGATTGGTCACTTCTGGCGAAGGCCCCATCTCCCTGGGCAGAGCTGGAGTTTGAGAACATCATTCTGACGGTGCCCTCAGAGGTGATCCGGAATCTGGAGCGTCCTGATGAGCTGGCCGAGCTCTGGGACAAGATGTTGAGGGCCGTTGCAGATTTGGCTGCAATCCCACCCAAGTTTAAACGAAAAGAGAGATTTGTCTGTGAAGTGCAGATCTCGCATGGTAAATATTAGTACAGTAATACACACTGGGTGAGAAATCTTCCTTTGCTTTAACCCTTTCATGGTTTCCTCAATCATTTGATGGATCACTTTTTGAGTAACTATACATACTTGAACCTGTTATCTACCTCTTTGGGGCATCTCACTTGGTTGAGGCACGTTAACCATCAAACTACGTCTGTGTAATTAGTGCTCCTTAGACAATACAAAACAATACATTGCTTTCTTCAAGGAGTGAACATTAAAAGGTGAAAACATATATTCTCCAGGCTGGATGCATGCAGGTTACCCCATCATGGCACACAAAGCCTCCGCTCAACAGATGGTCAGTGTTAAACATGCAACAACCAAAGGTCTGTGGGGACCTTTACATGAGCTGGGACACAACCGACAGAGAGGATGCTGGGAGTTTCCCCCTCACACCACAGAGGCCACATGCAACCTGTGGCCTCTTTACGTGCACGAGACAGTGTTAAATCTCAAAGGATCAAGGGTACAGCGGAATGTATGAAAGTTGAATGAAATTAACAATTCCTAATTATATGTCTTGCAATGCAGGGAAATGAACAACCGAAATTTGTAGAAGAATACATCAAAAACGGAAGGAAATTGTCTCAGTGGCACGTGTGGACAGCACTGGAGACATACAAGCAGGTAATGTTTTGTTTGAACATTTTTCTGATTTCCCAAAACAGTGTTGTCAAAGTTAAACGCTCTGAAAAGATAAGACCACATTATTTGGGGCCTCCAAGATTTCGCGCACTTGTGTGTCTTCATGGAATAACATGGGACATTTCATGCATTGCTACAGAAATAACAACAATTTGAGAGTCCGCCACTCGTAACCGTTGAAAAATCTGCGGTTAACTTTTGCCTCACTTCCTGAGATGATGTGGGACCATTTTGCTAAAACTAAATTTTGGTCAAAGTTTGTGAGTTCTTGTGCAAGTTTAAATAATGAAAAAGCAGAAGAAAAAAGAAAAAAATAGGATTTGTTTCCCCCTGAATACGACATAGTATGAATATTTTATAAGACTGTGATTATGTGAAAACTGAACTTGTCACTTCTATATACAACAGTATATAGAAGTCATTACTTTTCCACTTGATCACCTGCAGCTATGGCAGATGCCGAGGGAATATAGGATTTTTGTCTTGAACGCTGAGAAAACTCTGGTCCTGTCGTTCACAATAATAAAACATGTCTTCTGCAGAGACACGATCCCAGACCCCTACATCTTTTGACGTTTTCTTCAATAGTCTTCCGTGGCAACCTATACCACAAATGATAAATTAGGCAAACTGTTAATGCTGTTTTAACCACAGTCCAGCCTGACAAAAACCCATACACAAAAGACATCGTTCCTACATTCTTTATTCTTGGTTGCATTCCAAGTAAACAAGTTCTGAAGAGAAAGAGCACCAGCTGAGCTCAGCCTCTTCCAGAACATGTCTGACCTTAGTCAGGCTGCAAGGCAGTATAGAAGGAGACAAGACCCACCTCCTCTTCCACACAGTCACAGCTTCACAATGAGATCTTTGGTATTTAGCAAATTATCAAAGAAACAGTGGCCTTCTTACCAGTCTAGCCTGGTCCCATCTGCATACAACCCCCGTCTCCCAGAAGACTGGCTGGAGCCAACAGTGAATTTCAATACAGTCTATATCAAGCCACATATAGAAATTGTTAAAAATGATGACTTAAAAATATTCCAGTGACACAAACGCAATCACATTGACATTTGCATACACACACAAATCTCTGCTCCAAACAAACTGAATTGCTAAGTCTAACATGTTTTTTTTTAACCTTCTAACGTTATGTTCGATGCTATACTTCTCCAGCTGAAGGAAAAATTTGGCTGGGATGCTCATAAGAAGGTTTTCGCCGCTTACCACAACATGAGTGGCTTTCCCAAAAACAGAGATGGGAAGATGAACCTTTACGCTGTGACCTTCTCCGAGATTGTGGGGATGGACTTGAGCGGGTTTTTCAAAGCCTGGGGGTGGCCTATAGAGGGCGACACTGAGAAGAAACTTTCCTACCTGCCTGCCTGGACCGACCACCCTATGGCCCAATACAACTGAACTGTTCACTCATTTTGAAATGTACACAGTCAGGTATAACTGTCATTATATTATACATATAACTTAAGTGGTATAAGAGGTAATAAAGTAACTGGTGTTTCTCTATGCTCCACATGTGTGGCTTGGTGGCTAAAACATGATCAATAGTGAATTCTTCTACAGCTATATCTGATTATCTGGATCTGTCAGGTTGCCTCAGCAGGAAACAATATTTATAAGGGCTGTAACGGTGTCCCGGTCATGATATGATATAATCACAAATATTTGATATTCAGATTCAGTATTTTGCCATTTGCAGTAAAAGCACATTGAATTACATGTGCAAAAGTACCATAGTGTGCACCAAACAAAAACATAAAGTCTAAAAAGTACAAGAAACAATTGTCACTGTAAGATCAATCAATAAAAACATTTTCAATACATGTTCAGGATCATTATTGTTTGTTTAAACTGATGACAGGTTGTGGAAAGAAGCTGTTAGCATATCAAGAGCCAAGTGAACGGTGTCTTCTGCCAGAAGGAAGAAGCTGGAACATTGTCTTTTTCCAGGAGCCAGAAGGGTCATAGATTATTTTAAGATCTTGATTTAAGAGTGTGGAATCATAAAGAACCTTCAGAACAGGCGGCTCAAAGGAATAATGATATAGTCATATTTATTGCAATGGTTTTAGAATAAGGATAGAGATTCAAAGCCCATTCAAGTTTTAAACTCTAGTGCTTGTCAATCTGATGTTTATTGTACCTTTCAAAAAAGTGCAAAAATGTTTAAACTGAAACAAACTTGAATAAAGCCTCATCCAAATGGCAGAAACACTTCTCAGTTCTTCATATTAGCTTAAGTTGAAATTCCTAAATACTTGAAATCAGTCAGTTTAGTCACATGAACTGGCCTGAAACAGTTTTGATGTCTGGGTTCGTAACTCATGCTGACTGTGTGTACTGGTATATGACACGTTGTGTAATTGCATAACCGGTTTCCTGCGGTGGATTAGAAAACATTTGAATCCTGTCGCTTGTCTGGGGTGGGGCAAAACAAATAACTCCTCCTGGGTCTGACTCGGTCACTTGGCAACGGACATGCAGTTAAAGCCCCTTCTCTAGATGCTCGTCTGGGACTGGTCGTGGTCCTGCACGAGTTACCATAGCAACACTCTGTTTACGTGCAGCCGTTAGCATTTTGCCTTTCTACAAACTGTTTCTGTATTTCAATTTATAACAGTTTTTGCACATATTACATTACCTTACATGATTTAATTAAAACTGGTCTTTTTTCAGAATTTCATTGATTTGAATGGGGGCCGTCAAAATGACTGCTGTGGGAGTTCTAGTTTCAGAATTATTGGAGTCCTAATGTTAAAGTAGTAAGTACATGGGAGAAAATGACCATCCAAAATTTTATTTATAAACTAGGACATTCCAAAGCACTTTATTCTTACCTGTTTTAGCCTTACCATTTCTCTTGAAAGCCTCCAATGGAAAGTCTTATTTTAACATTACTGCTGCTTGAAGGCACTTTATGAATGGATTCAATAAGGAAAAAGTTCACTATAATCATAGTACAAATGTACTACTCCTATGGACTTTTGATAACGTCGGTCATAAAATGTGAACATATTTTGTCTTTTCAGAGCTTGTCCAGAACCACCCACCTCCACTCCACTGACAATCCAGTCTCTACTTTTTCCTCTTTCACCATGTCCACCCCACATTCAACCTCTGGTCATGAAGAAGCATATGTCTCTCTGATGAGAGGAATAAAGCAGTTGGATCTCTGTGGTCCTTCTGTCCCAAGTGACTTGATTTTGACTGGAGACCATGCATTTCCGTTGGCGATGAACAGCCATGGACAAGTGCTTATGGTGGCTTCAAAGTACGGCTCAGGGCGTGTTGTTGTTCTTGGGCACGAAGCTTTCCTGGGCTCGCTGCCTGATCTAGTAGAGAAAGCTCTACATCGGCTGAAAGAAGGAAAAGAGCAAAATGTACCTGTTGGAGCGCACCAGTATGTGAAACATGTGTCCGATAAACACAAGTCCAAATTTCAATTTCAAGTCATGAATGAGTTCAACAGTAGTCTGGGTGATGGGGTGTATGTCACTGATGCCTATTGTGTAGAAGGCAAAGAGAAGGAGCTGATAGCCTTTATGAAATCTGGTGGAGGGGTGCTCATCGCGGGACAGGCCTGGTCGTGGGCAGAGGGACGTCCCAAAGATAACCCACTGCTGCATTTCCCCCGGAATAAAGTGGCTGGAGTGGCTGGAGTCTACTTCTCTAAACATAGAGGAGACGCTGAGTGCATCCCAGTCCACCCCACAATCCCTGCGTCCTGGATGTCCGTTGTGTAAGTACTTTGGCCGCGACCACCAAACATTAATCAACACACCAGACTCAAACTGAGCGATCGAGGTTACAGACTCAACAGGATCAGGCTTTCACTTGTAGATAGTGTCACAATAAACACATGCAACTTGTTCAGGTGAATAGCACACATTCAGGTGAAATGGTTGTATTTTCAACTAATCTATTTTTGTCGCCAACTACAGTGAATTTGTCATTCTCATTGGTCAATTCAATATCAGTTTAACCATTTAGATTGGTTGGCCCACAACCAACAGATTCACAAACATATTAGCCAGAGATTTACTAATCACAGCTTAATCAATTAAAATTGGATTTTTCTTTGGACCACCATGTCTTTAGAGTGCAGAAAAAAGGAGGAAAAGGGAAATTTAATTAATTAATTAATTAATATGGCCTCAACTGGTTTTGTCACTGAAAACCCTTAAAACAAATTGTTCCCACAACTTAATGTAGCCTCACGTGTCAAAGAGATAGTAAGTCAGTTATATAGTTACCGGAGCACTCGGCAGGCATGATAAGATCGGCGATGAAGACTATTCCTCTCACACCCACTGTAGCCAGATCAAGAGTCCTATCTAACCTTCAACCCATACCCATACGTACCTCCAAAGCCACCTAGGGCGTCCAACTCAAATTCACCCACAAAATCCACCCGTCCCTCATCTAACCCCAAAAGTATTCCACCCCCCCTCCTGCTCATTTAGCCCACCTCCCCCCTAACCCATCACCAAGAACCCCTCCACCTCCACTCCCCCCTCGTCCACCACCCAACTCAGCCTGCCCCTCCCCTAACCCATCACCAAAAACCCATCCACCTTCAACCCCCCCTCGTCCAACTCCCAAGAACCACCCGCCTCTCCATCCTCCTCCCCCGCTTTCCCCCTCCCCTCTTTTCTCTAAACACTAGGATGCACAGGGTCTGTGCTTCGCAGCCACTGGCAGTCTAGTTAGAGGAGAAACCCGGCTGGGGCCCTGTCATGAAGCCACCTGTGCCATTCCCTTAGTGATAACACAAAGAATACATTACAGAAAAACATCTGAAGTTAGTCAGTCTAATCAGGAAAATCTAATTCTTGTTCCGTGTAAGAATCAGCCGACCACAACCGCTGATCCTGAAACTTTGAAACTTGCTATGCTAAATGGTAGATCTCTTTGTAACAAGTCTTTTTTAATCAATAATTTTATTTGTTCTTATAATCTAGATCTTATGTTCATGGCTGAAACATGGCTTGACCAAAATACAGAAAATGCAGTTTTAATAGAAGCATCACCACCAAATTTCAAATTTGAATCTGAAATACGGGGAAACAAAAAAGGAGGAGGCTTAGCTGTCATTTTCAGAGACCACTTTGTCTCCCATAGAATGCCTCTTGGGAAGTTTCCGTCTTTTGAATATGTGTCTTTTAAAATACAACAAAAACAATCTCCTCCAATACTTTTCGTTGTCCTATACAAGCCACCGCAGTCATGTCAGAGTTTTATTGATAATTTTACAGAGTTGCTTTCAGTTGTATGCACAGATTTTGATAGCTTAGTTATTACAGGGGATTTTAATATTTATGTGGATAATGTTAATGACAGAAATGCAAAAGAGCTCTGTTCTTGAATCTTTTGGTCTCACTCAGCACGTGAGTGGCCCCACCCACAGCAGAGGGCACACTCTAGACCTGTTAGTTACTAAGGGGGTGAACATTTCTAATGTAAACGTGGTCGATGTTACGCTTTCGGATCATTTCTGTGTATTTTTTTACTTGTGTTTCACTAACAAACCACCAGTGGACTCTGCAACTGTTCGAAGAAGACACATAAATGAAAATACGGGTGAACTATTTATGGGAATGATAAACTTTGAGAATGCATCGTATTCTACTGTAGATGAACTGTTTAACTCTGTCACCTCTAGTGTTTTGAATGTTCTGGACACCATCGCTCCTGCGAAGGTTAAAATAGTGAAAAATAAGCAGAAGGCGCCGTGGGCTAAAGCAGACTCGGTCAGGGCACAAAAGAGAGAGTGCCGGAGGGCCAAGCGGAAGTGGCGCAAGTCCAACCTCCAGGTTGATTACGAGATCTTCAAAGATAAGTTGTGCGAGTTTAACCGGGTACTACGTAGTACGAGAGAAAGGTATTTTTCTGAAATGATTGAAGGCTGCAGCAACAATCTGCGTGTTCTGTTCTCAACAGTTAATAGATTAACGAACCCCCCTGTTCAGCTGCCAGTAGGGCTAACTTCCAAACGTAAATGTAATGAGTTTGCACATTTTTTCAATGACAAGGTTCAAGGCATCAAAAACGCTATTGTCTCCAATCCACAGATAACCATCCAACAGCCAGAAAGGCTCTCTGAGCTAACTTACTTTGCACCTGTAAATGTTCAAACTGTCCAAGAGATAATCTCCAGTCTGAGCTCCTCCACATGCAGCCTGGATGTACTACCCACTAGATTTCTAAAGTCTGTTCTGAGGAGTCTGTTACCTTCACTCACACAGATAGTAAACATGTCCCTTAATTCTGGAATATTTCCAAAGGCCCTGAAAACTGCAGTCATCAGGCCCCTGCTGAAAAAGAGCAGGCTGGATGCTACGGTACTTAACAACTATCGTCCCATCTCAAATCTGCCATTTATGGGGAAAGTCCTTGAAAAAGTTGTCTACCAACAGCTAAATAGATTTCTTATAATCAACAACTCATTTGATATGTTTCAGTCCGGCTTTAGACCCCACCACAGCACTGAGACTGCTCTCGTCAAGGAAACAAACGATATCCGGCTGAACACTGACGCAGGCCAAGTCTCAATCTTAATCTTGTTAGATCTAAGTGCTGCCTTTGACACCGTCGACCATGAGATCCTCTTACAGAGACTAGAGGACTGGGTTGGCGTCGCTGGCATCGCTCTAAGTTGGTTTAGGTCTTACCTTGAAGACAGGAAGTACTTTGTGGAGATTGGAAACTGTGTCTCAGATCATATGGCCCTGACCTGTGGAGTACCACAGGGGTCGATCCTGGGACCTCTTCTGTTCAATCTCTACATGCTGCCGTTAGGTCAGTTACTACGCAGAAACAAAGTGTCCTATCACAACTATGCAGACGACACTCAGATCTATGTCTCACTGATTGCAGGAGAACATGGACCAGTGGACTCACTCCTTCACTGTATCCAACAGATCAGTGAGTGGATGCAAAACAACTTCCTTCAGCTAAACGCAAACAAAACTGAAATGATTGTCACCTACAGTCTCTCTCCCTAAAACCTTCAAACAAGGTCAGAAATCTAGGGGTAATACTGGACTCAGACTTACATTTTAATAGCCACATCAAATCAGTAACATCAGCAGCTTTTTACCATCTAAAAAACATTGCCAGGATCAAAAACATAGTGTCTAAAGCAGACTTGGAGATTCTTATCCATGCATTTGTCTCCAGTAGGTTAGACTACTGCAATGGCCTGCTCACAGGTCTGTCCAAACAGGCTGTAAAACAGCTGCAGTACATTCAAAATGCAGCAGCTCGAGTCCTGACTAGAACCAGGAAGTACGACCACATTAGTCCAGTTCTCAGGTCTCTGCACTGGCTTCCTGTGGCTCAGAGAATAGACTTTAAAACTGCTCTGCTTGTGTACAAGTCTCTCCATGGCCTCGCACCAAAATATATTAGTGACATGTTAGTCCCATATGAACCAGCCCGGACTCTGAGGAGCACAGGGACTGGACTCCTGTTAGTGCCCAGAGTCAGAACTAAACATGGGGAGGCTGCTTTTCAGATTCATGCTGCTAAAATCTGGAACAATCTTCCTGAAGATGTGAGACAGGCCTCCTCTCTGACAATGTTTAAAACCAGGTTAAAAACAGTTCTGTTTAGCTGTGCATACAACTGAGGGATTTTATATTTTTATCTTTATTTTTAATGTTCTGTGATTATTTATGATTTTAATGCTATCTTGTTCAGCACTTTGAGTTGCCTTGTGTATGAATTGTGCTATACAAATAAACTTGCCTTGCCTTGCCTTGCCTTAAGTCTGCAATCGTTCAAATCAAATAGTTTCAATCCCTTTCTGAATGTCAATGTCTTCGTTATGTTGTTTAAGGAAACCTTTTTATTCCATTGTATATTTTCATTTTAAATGCTGTAGAATTGGAAAGGATTTTGAGGATGACCTGGAATTCTTACTTCACGGCGTCTCTGAGTTTGACCTGATGAATGGAGTGGTGGCTTCTGAGATCCTGATCCACGGAGCGCTAGCCTTCCCCATCGGGACCACGCCAGACGGACGCGCCTTCTTGGCCGGAGCCTACTACGGACAGGGCAGAGTGGTGGTGATCTCACATGAAGGACTGATGAAAAGAGAGGTAGGGAATCGCCTTCTCGTTTCAAACACTTAGGGTTTTCATCAGGGCTTGTGAGAAAGTGCATGACCACTTATTTAAAGAGGAAGTCATGTGACCCATCAGTCATGTGACAAACATGACAGAAAAATACATTTTAAAACATAAAAAATGTATGCCAAAGATAAACATAATCATAAATGAAATAAAAAAGGCATTGAAATTAACAAAAATAATAGTGAAGAAAATAAATAAAAATACATATAAAAAGAAAGAAAGAAATGAATATGAATATAAAATAAAGGTGGAAAAAATAAATAAAAATACATATAAAAATGGATAAAAATATATATACAACAAAATTAAAGTGGGAATAATAAATAAATGCAATTGAATATAATAATAATTAAAATAAAATAAAAATAATAGTGAAACTAATAAATATGAAAAAATGATAAATGTGAAATAATAAAAATAAGAATAAATACATAATAGTTTGTTGTTTTCGCAGACTCTTGCTCCCTTCTTCACCAATGCCCTGCACTGGTTGGACGAGGGCAGACAGGGTGTGGTTGGAGTGGTTCCTGACCTGCACCAGGCCTTTGATGTGTTCAAGACGTTCAACCTAAAGTGTGAAAAGACCAAGTTTCGAGAGGACCTGAGTGTGTACGTGTGCACGGCCTATAAGGAAGACCAGGTGGAGGAGATCCAGGAGTTTGTGGCCGAGGGAGGAGGCTTGTTAATTGGAGGACACGCCTGGCACTGGGCACAATGCCACAAAGACAAAAAAAGCATGACGGACTTTGCAGGTGTGTTTGTCTTCTTGTTTAAAAGTAATTGAAAAATGTTTGTCCTGTGGCCACCCGCAATGAAATTTATGGGCTTCCTGTTTGTCAGAGGGCTTAGCCACAATAACATTTTTTCCATGTCTTGACTTGAGGAACATGTGTACCAAATTACATGGTTCTACGACAATTTTGACCTCAAACCCCTCCCATAGGCGTTTTTAAATTGGCTGTTGTAGGTGGCGCTATAGAGCCAATTTCTAAATTTTAACTTTCAAATGACCTAGACCCAAGAGTTGAACCATGGATTCAAGTTTTGTGCAAATCAGACTTTGTTTGTGCAAACGGAAGCAATTTTTCTATTGTCAAAAACTGAAAAAAAAACCGCCACTTTTTGGCGCTCCGCTGCTCAAACAACATTTTACTGATCAAAAGTCTGTTCATGGTTCATGTGTTTAGACGATGTGGAGGGAAATCGGTGAAACGGCTGAGGAGAAGTCGCTTTCCAACCGTCACGTGTGAAAAGGATCATGTTTCATTTGTCCATTTTGAAGTGAAATTTATGGACTTCCTGTTTGTCAGGGGGCGGGGCCATAATAACTTTTATGTCTTGAGATGAGGAACATGTGTACCAAATTTCATGCCTATACAGCAAACCTGACCTCGAAAGGCTCCCATACTAAAAACTTTGACCCCATCTGTAGGGGGCGCTAATGAGCCAAGTTAAATTATTTCACTTTCAAATGAGCTTTCAAATGAGCTATAGTTGAACAATGTATTAAAGTTTTGTGCAGATTAGACTTTGTATATGCAAACGGGAGCAAATTTAATGTTGTAAAAAACGGCCAAAAAAAGGTCACATTTTGCCGCTCCATTGCTCGTACATTTTTTCCCTGATCAAAAATCCCTGAGGTCATTTTGAAGTTACATGTGTTGAGATGATATGGAGCAATTTTGAGGCGAATCGGTGAAACGGCCGAGGAGGAGTCGCTTTCCAACCAACATGTATGAAAACTTTTGCTGTTAATTTTTCCATTTTGCAGTGAAATTTATGGGCTTCCTGTTTTTTCAGAAAGCGGGGCCATAATAAAAAAAAATGTCATGTCTTGACTAGAGGAACATGTGTACCAAATTTCACGGCTCTACGACAAACTTGACCTCCAAAAACTCCCATAGGGGTATTATTTTGGCTGTTGTAGGTGGCGCTGTTTTGGCATTTTTTGAGTCCCATAAAAATAAACACCAAAATATCAAATTTTTCACCAGGTCTGATTTTTGGGCAAAATTTAACAACTTTTCATGCATGTTCAGGGGGTCAAATTAAGGCTCAAAGTGCAGAATTTGACATCTCTCGAGCAAAAACAATAGGCCCTTTCCCCGTTCGGGGCTCGGGCCTAAAAAAGAAAAAAAAAATTGTGCCACAGGTTTCTGCCCTGTCCTCCCCTGAGACCAATGGTATGCAGTATAACATAAAACAGCTTAGAAAACCATTTGGCATAAGGAGTGTCAGGCCATGCAGATTAATAGCATTAGGAGAAGACGGACAAGACATACCAGACAATACCGCTTGGAAAAATGAATGCTTGTGTTTTTTTTTGCAGCCACTGAAAGTGAGTCATTGGTTTCCATTCCAATATAGATACAGTGCCTTGCGAAAGTATTCGGCCCCCTTGAACCTTTCAACATTTTGCCATATTTCAGGCTTCAAACATAAAGATATAAAATTTTAATTTTTTGTCAAGAATCAACAACAAGTGGGACACAATCGTGAAGTGGAACGAAATATATTGGATAATTTAAACTTTAACAAATAAAAAACTGAAAAGTGGGGAGTGCAATATTATTCGGCCCCTTTACTTTCAGTGCAGCAAACTCAGTCCAGAAGTTCAGTGAGGATCTTTGAATGATCCAATGTTGTCCTAAATGACTGATGATGATAAATAGAATGCACCTGTGTGTAATCAAGTCTCCGTATAAATGCACCTGCTCTTTGATAGTCTCAGGGTTCTGTTTAAAGCGCAGAGAGAACCATGAGGACAAAGGAACACACCAGGCAGGTCCGAGATACTGTTGTGGAGAAGTTTAAAGCCGGATTTGGACACAAAAAGATTTCCCAAGCTTTAAACATCTCAAGGAGCACTGTGCAAGCAATTATATTGAAATGGAAGGAGTATCAGACCACTGCAAATCTACCAAGACCCGGCCGTCCCTCCAAACTTTCATCTCAAACAAGGAGAAGACTGATCAGAGATGCAGCCAAGAGGCCCATGATCACTCTGGATGAACTGCAGATAACTACAGCTGAGGTGGGGATGGTGTGTTCAGGGTGATGAGCTGTGTTGCTTTTACGCCAAACATATCGTTTTGCATTGTGACCAAAAAGTTTGATTTTGGTTTCATCTGACCAGAGCACCTTCCATGTTTGGTGTGTCTCCCAGGTGGCTTGTGGCAAACTTTAAACAAGACTTTTTATGGATATCTTTCTTCTTGCCACTCTTCCATAAAGGCCAGATTTGTGCAGTGCACGACTGATTGTTGTCCTATGGACAGACTCTCCCACCTCAGCTGTAGTTATCTGCAGTTCATCCAGAGTGATCATGGGCCTCTTGGCTGCATCTCTGATCAGTCTTCTCCTTGTTTGAGATGAAAGTTTGGAGGGACGGCCGGGTCTTAGTAGATTAGCAGTGGTCTGATACTCCTTCCATTTCAATATAATTGCTTGCACAGTGCTCCTTGAGATGTTTAAAACTTGGGAAATCTTTTTGTATCCAAATCCGGCTTTAAACTTCTCCACAAGAGTATCTCGGACCTGCCTGGTGTGTTCCTTTGTCTTCATGGTTCTCAATGCGCTTTAAACAGAACCCTGAGACTATCAAAGAGCAGGTGCATTTATACGGAGACTTGATTACACACAGGTGCATTCTTTTTATCATCATCAGTCATTTAGGACAACATTGGATCATTCAAAGATCCTCACTGAACTTCTGGACTGAGTTTGCTGCACTGAAAGTAAAGGGGCCGAATAATATTGCACGCCCCACTTTTCAGTTTTTTATTTGTTAAAAAAGTTTAAATTATCCAATAAATTTCATTCCACTTCACGATTGTGTCCCACTTGTTGTTGATTCATGACAAAAAATTAAAATTTTATATCTTTATGTTTGAAGCCTGAAAAGTGGCGAAATGTTGAAAGGTTCAAGGGGGCCGAATACTTTCGCAAGGCACTGTATGTCCAGGACTTTCTTGAGTCATCATTACGAATCCTTCATGGTGTTGTCCATCATCTTGACCTGTGTACTTCAAAGTCTCACCTGATATTGCTCTTCTTAGACCCACATGACCATCTACCAACTATGGAGATCACATCTTTGCATTTCGGACACTAGTTTTCTCTGTTATAAGGGCCCCCAATCTTGCTGGTTGTCTTGCAAACTCGGAGAACCAGTGGTTTTCTGTCTAGGGTGCCCTTCTCTTCGCCAGCGGGATCCAGGAATCTAAAATACTTGAAATTTACCTTTCGCCATTGTAATTAAAGTATTACCTGGGCCTAATGACACTAGTGAAATTTAGTGTCCGCCCTCGTGGCCCATATACCAGCCATTGATCCTTGCATATTTTCTATATAGTAAAAATGTCTATAATCCTTCATTTAGGAAACAAGATCTTGAACAAAATGGGCATGACTCTGTTAGAGACGTACATTACTGACGGGGCCTACAAGCCTCCGGTTCTGAGCCAGGCCATCAGTGACACTTACCATTTTAGACATGTCCTGCACAAGTTTGCTGGCCACGTGACCCAAGGAGAAGAGCTCGCCGCACATGAAGAAGAGTGGCTGAAAAAACTGAGTGGGGACTGCACCAAGTATCTGAACCTGGACGCCGGCAACAACAACTTCAACCAGATCATGAGCACTTTCACAGAGATCATCAAGAAGGCGGGCTTGCCAAAGGTACATTTACTCCAAGTCACTGTTTCTGCCATTGGTAATTTATCAAAACGTACCATATTGTTCCACATACTGTATAGTTTATTTCCGGTTTTAGCACTGTTAATGTTCCAGGTGTGTGAGAGCTGCCCCGTGAAAACTGCAAGAGACAAGTTCCTGTTGAATATCGGGACAGAACTGTACAAGAAACATCAAAACCCGGAAGAACTTCTGCCGTTCCTCATCAAAGACAATCCCCTGCTGCCCGTCATTTACAACCACAAAATCAGCGTAGACACAGATACAGGAGGTAAATATGTCTGAGGTAGAAAACAATCTATTTATTTTGTGTTCCGAATCTCACGAGACATTGGACAAATGTATTTTCTTTGTTTAATGATACATTCCTCACAACTGTATGTTATACCTCCTTTTAGAGATCAGAATCTGCAGAATTCAATTCATGCATTGTAAACCATGTAACTACTCTTACTATTTGTAATAAATCCATGCAATTTCACAGTGCCATTATGTATATATATTATATATATATATGTTTATGTACCCATAAAATCATTATTGTGTTGGTTCCTAAAAATTCAAATCAGTGCCAACAGAGATTAAACACCTCCAAACTATAATTGAAATGTGGCTTTTTACCTAGTATACCAACAGCACTCGACAAATGAGGATATTGTGGAATGTTTCATGGTTTCAATTCAGTTTTTGCTAATATCTTGCAGCCCTTTTCTCCATCTACGTTGTCAGAGACTGTCAAACTATAAAATCAATAAAGTGACTGTTTAACACTCACTCAACAGCTGCTTCTGAACAGAGGAGTGGAGAGGAGTGGGTGAGCACCGGTCTGTTTTTGGCTCCTGGGATGAAGACCTACTTGTCCGTACCAGCAAATGTTATCGACAAGGGCTTGAAGGTGCTTTGAACAACACAGTATCTGATGTACAGAACTTGTAGCATTCATATTAATAGGATTGCTTTCCTTTATATCAATAGGTGCAGGTTGGATGCCAAATTGATTCACTCAAGAATGCTAAAGAGTTGAAGAGAGCTCCGTGTGTCTGTGAGAGGTTCCCGGTCACTTCAGAGATGCTGCTGGTGCACAACCTGTGGGGAGGCCTCATTTACTTCATCGTTCCTCCAAAAACTAAAGTGGCGTTCACAGCCGTTGCTCAAATGGCCGTTCCTGCTCCGTATTACAAATCAGGTGAGTGAATGGAAGTATATTTCTACTGCCAGTTACATAATTATCATTGTTCCGCCCAGTCAGCTTACAAACCATTTCAAACTATCTAAACCAGAACTAAAAAGTAGATATGGAAATAATGCAGAATTGATTCCATTAAGTGTGTAGTCACTATCAGACCCGATCTTCACACATGATGATTACTTTGCCCCTATCACATTACAAGTCTTATTACACCACCGCTGCAATCATCGCCAGACACATCACATGATGATGACTTTGTGTATTCAAATAATGCTAGTCACACAAATGATCTCTCTTTGTGTACTCAGTATTAGACATTGTTTGCTTTCACATGATCCTTTGATGCTGGTGAACAGACTTTCAACATCCTATCACTTCACAAATGGTTTTTTGGAGTGTAGCATCTTTGGATCAGGGTTTCCCGAGCAGATAAGTGAAAAACAGCCAATCAGCTCTCGGCTCAAGGCGTCAGATTGAGACTCTGAGGGCAATCACTGACTCAATGTTTATGAATGTGATTGTGAATAGATCCTGTCAGCGCCAAACCCGCTTCCAATGAGATATGTGTCTAAACGAGAGTTTAAACATGAATCCAATTGAAGTGAACTCTGGATCATTTGTGGAGATGCAAAGCTCCACGTCCGGTAGATGAATAACTGACTCCACTGTTTTGGTGAGTCCAGGAGTGACGTCTGTGCAGGAGTGGCAGCAGCTGCGCTCGGCCCCGTCTCCTTGGGCAGAGCTGGAGTTCGACAACATCATTGTGACAGTGCCTTCAGAGGTGGTCCGGACTCTGGAGCGTCCTGATGAGTTAGCCGCATTCTGGGACGCTAACATGAGGGCCATCGCAGACCTGGGTGTGATCCCACACAAGTTTAAAAGGAAAGAGCGATTCGTCTGTGATGTGCAGATTTCACACGGTAACGAAAAGGTTTTTCACTCATGGCTTCAGATGAGTCATATGTTACAATCTATTGGTTTGATTTATTACTTTGAATTTGCATCTTCACTTTTCCCGAGTGATTTTGTGTCCATCACCAATGTGTCCTTTTTTTACACCACTACACCATAACTACACCACTGCACTAAAACAATGGAAATGCTTGCCATCTTCTGGCCACTTGCAGAATTGCACACCAGAGGTTACACATGTTTTTAAGCTATGATTTTTTAGAATTTCAGTTTTGCCTATGGTTTTTTGATTGTGTGGATTAGATTGAAGGTAAATGCCCCCCCAAACTTGCAAAGCATTATGGCATTATGATAGATATGATCTATATATCTACATGTACTTATCATAAACAATGACATTTGTTGACTGAGGTATTTCCACAAATATAATACATGGAAATTAAAATAAGCCCTTTTTGTGGTTTGAAAATTTTAAAAATAGTGATTAAAATGACTCAATATAAGTAGATGGATAGATAGCGGGAAATAGTTGGAAATAGACAAACAATATTGATCTACATAAGGGTAACTTTTCGAACTCTCGTATTGTGTTTTAGTGTTTTGCCTGTAACTCTTGCCTTCAGGCTGGATGCATGCAGGGTACCCCGTCATGGCACACAGGGCAACAGCTGCTTCTCTGGTCAGCGTTAAAGATGCAAAAACCCAACCGATCTGGGGGGTCATCCACGAGCTGGGCCACAACCAGCAGAGAGCATGCTGGGAATTCCCTCCGAACACCACCGAGTGTACATGCAACCTGTGGTCTCTGTACGTGCATGAGACGGTGCTGGGATTCAAGAGAGAGGAGGTATTTATGAACGCATCGTACAGTAACTAGATGTATTAAAGCTCAAGTACCTAACTTTGAAACCACAAAAAAATTATATCTAAGTTACTGGCAAAACTGTTTTGTCTTATCACTAGTTTTCAAATGAATATATTCTTGGCCTGATCTAAATATTAGCTTTTTAAGAGGGAATAGAGAGGCCCCTCACTCAGTCAATCAGATCTCAGTATGTAAAAGACAAAGATAAATACATAAATAATTAAACAAAACTCTTTTTTTGGGACAAACCAAATGAATTGATAAACAAAAAAAGTTGAGAGCTCCAGCTTTAAATTATACTTTGTTTATTTTACTGTTTATTCAAATAGTTGGAGCAAGCAGCTTTTGACTTAGCAAAAAGATGACACTACAAGACTAGATTGTTCTTGAAAATTGCGAAGACAAATGGATCATAATAATCTTAATATTTCCCTGAAAATCCTTCAATTTGACAAGTGCAATGTAAGCAACACTACAAAAACACAGATGATATTTAACTTTTTTGTTTGCGTGAGTTAGATGTCTGCAATTGTAGGTATTTTCCATAAAGTCACTCTCATGCCCTACAATATCCCATGTTGAGTGTATACGTAGGTTTGTTATCCCATTTACTATTTCTTTCAGTGTGAACCAGCGATGCCGATGGCGAAGCGCCGCAGTAGAATAGAACAATACGTGAAAGATGGAAAAGATCTGACAAAGTGGAACACATTCGTGGCTTTGGAGACTTACGTTCAGGTTTGTGTTTTATTCCTTTAGACATAATTTTTTTTATAAATAATTGAATTTATTTATTGAAAATGTATAAACAAAAGTAACGCCTCGTCTATTGAGGCATTACTTTTGTTTCTAAAAATAGAAAACAGCTTTATTACTGACATATGTAAACGATTCTTTATAGCATGTCAAGTATAGATGGAGCTATAAACTCTTATAGCTATAGGTGATTTTTATGAAGAAAAAAAAAATCTTTATTTTACATGATTGGAGACAGTTGCTTTATGAATGACAATTACCACGTAGCCGGTAAGCCATAGACATAAATTAATTGTAACTTTTCAGACAATAGTGATCTATGTATTTCACTATAATACTAACATCTGATCTTATCTAATTTTCCTCTGCAGCTCCAAGAGAAATTTGGCTGGGACGCCTTTAAGAAAGTATTTGCTGCTTACCACACAATGAAAGACGTGCCCAAAGACAACAAAAGCAAAATGAACTTGTACGCTGTGACCTTCTCTGAGGCCGTGGGGATGGACTTGAGCGAGTTTTTCAAAGCCTGGGGGTGGCCAATAGAGGGCGACACTGAGAAGAAACTCTCCAGATTACCAGCCTGGAATGACCACCCCATGACCAAATACAACTGAGGCTTTAAACATTGTAACACTGGTGCTGGATTTGATGTCAACAAATGTATGAAGCATTGGGAAATGAAAATGTTATATGATAAAGAGCCATAATTCATTTTGAGTTTTGGTGGAATGTCATCTACTGCTATGGTTTTTTTTTTACAGCAAAAATATAGCTGACATCTGAAACTTCCAAAATGTGGAAGAAACACAAATAATAATAATTGGAAGAAATATTTGAATTTATATGTACGTACATATGTTTCAATTTGTCAAAGAAATTCTCAATTCTAGATTAGAGGAGTTTAGTCCCATGTACATCAGGTCTTCAATCATCAGATAAAATGATGAATTCTATTTTTTTGAATAGAGACAACCAAACTGGAACAATATTTCTGAAAGCACGGAAATCTACTTCTAAAGTTGCAGTTCTATCAGATCTCCTCCAAAATCTAATCAGTTTTTTCATGAATATTTTGTCCATATCTTCCCATAATTGACAAATAAACAAACACAAATATTTTGTGAATACTTTACCTCCTGGACAAAGGTAATATTTATGTTAACAATGTTTTCGGGAAATGTTTTGCCTTAACAGCAAGTAGTTTTTGCACTACTGTTCTGGTCCTCCTATGTTCTGTTATTGTTTTGCCGTTGTAGCTTCTTTACACTTTATATAATGAATTGTCTAAATGTGAAAAAATCTCAAAACAAAATTGTGTTTTTTAATTTAGTTTTCAGGTTTAAGAAGTCACTATCACAGACAGACAAGCGTTCATCACAAAATGTATTGATAAAATGCTTATCCATTGTCATTAATAAATTAGTACATCATTTGTTACATCTATCTACATAATCAGTATCTGCATTACTCTCCTATGGCCTGCAGTCATTGTAGAACAGCGCCCCCACTGGCTGATTGGAGAATTGCTGCAAATACTCTCCCATTTCATCCAGGGTCATCTTCTCCACCTTGTTCTCCTCCGTGTTTCTGGCCGCCGCTGCTCCGCTCTGGATGGGATGTCCGTTGTTGTCCAGGCAGCACCAGGCATTCCAGATGCGGTCCGGGATGTTGACGCGCTTCACACCGTTCTTGACAATCCAGTGATCCGCGGACGGGACGGCGCCGACCAGGACGAAGGCCTTGGAGCAATTGGCTCTGAAGAGGTCCGTCAGCTGGGACTCGTGGATCCTCCAGGAGTTCTGGTTCAGTTTGGGGTTTTGGGGAATGACGTTGGTAAGAGTGAAGGTGGCGTTGCGGCTCGGGACTGTGAGAAAAAAACACTCAAAAAGTTAAAATGAAGATAGACAGCGTAACCTTGGAAACATGGATCCAGCGGGGCTCCAATCTCTCTACACTGTTTAACTGACTGATGTTACGCCCCTGTTCTAAAACGCATCAAATTTAAAAAAATCTGAGTTATTATTAGTAGGTAAATCATATTTATTTATAGAGCGCATTATTACAGATCAACATCACCCAAAGCGCTTTACAATGTTCAGAATTCAGCTATTTTTCCATTCATACCACGAGACGCCAAACACACTGGTGCATCCAAGCCCCAACCATCACCATCCATCCATTCTCTCAATTACAGTCATTTTTGGGTTGGGGAAACCGGAGCACCCAGAGGAAACCTATGCACTGTGCCACCCAAGACTTAGAGTTAGACTTAGACAGACTTTATTGATCCACAAGGAAAATTGCGATGTCACAGCTCGCACAATACAAAATAAAAATAAATAAAACATTAAGTAATCTGAAAATAAAAATAAGATTATATTGAGGGAAAAAAGGGCTATACTTTTCATATTTAATTTGCAATTATTAGGCCGTACATTCTTAGATATGAGTCAATTATGGTGTAATGCCCATAAATTCACAGGGGTGGGAATTTATATGATTTTTTCTTCCTCCTGCTCCTTTTTGAGTTTGTGCAATATTGTAATAATTTGCTGAAAAGTTTTATGTAGTGACGTCCAATAATTAATGTTTGATGTAGATTGAAGTCGAAATAAATAAACGCTCAACTCAACTTAATGCGTAATATGAAAAATCGAGGATATTTTGATATAAGCTATGGTGGCATTAAAACATTTTCTCTCTTCACAAGTTGAAAAGTTAAATTCCATACCTAAATACTTTGAGTTGGCCTGGGCTGTTTACCTGGGTGGTGTCCGTTGGGGTTGAGGTGCCCTCGGTCAAACCCGGAGTGGGTGTAGTCCTCGTTCAGAGCCTGTTTCTCTCCCAGATAAACCCCAGGGTTGTCCTTCCCCAGCCAGTACCCGTCTTTCATCTCAGACTGCAAGCTGCTGTTCACCAACTGTAAACATCACTATCACGTGTCACCTTCACAGCCTTGAAAGAAATTGGGGGAACCCGCTTTCAAACCATAAGAATAATCTAATAAAATCCATATAACATTTTTGTCGCTCTCAAAACAGTTTGGTATCATTCGTTTTCACAAGCTTGTATTTTTAACCTCTGTCACAACTTCAGACCAGATTTTTCAAACTTTTTTTTGCAAAATATAATAGGTTTTCTGATAATATGAGAACAAAATTTTATGTTTGCAAGACGTTTCATGTTATGTTTCTGCAAAAAGGTTGGGTACCCCAGCTTTAATAAATAATTGTCAATTTGATGTAGCTCTAGAGATAATCTTTCTATCCATTTCATTTGGAAGGTTAGAGGATTAGGTTAAAAAAAGGTTGTGGTTAAGGTTAATAAATCAGATTATTTTGACAGAGAATAATGTGGAAGTTGTAGAGTTTCCACTATAAATGATGTGCTGAAATCTCTATTATTCAAACAAACAAACGAACACAAAAGCAGACAAGATAGAAAACATATTATGAAATCAATATAGCCAACCTGAGGCTCAACAAACCACCTCCGCTCTCTGCCTCCTCCGTTACTTGGTTGGAAGTAATAGGCAGAATAGACAGCGATGCGGTGCTTGGTGTCATACAAAGTGGCAAAGTGGTACCTAAAACACACAAACTTGTAAATTAATAATGCTGAAGTTAAATTATACAGGTGAAACTAGAGAGACTAAATATACATACTGCTTATTGTTTTACCTGTTAGCGAAGCGCTGACAGAGCCGAGCGGCATCAGGTGTAGCTTCTCCCCACACAGGAACTTTCTCTTTGTAGAAAAACTCCAGACATTCGGGCTCATCCTGCAACGAAAAGGTACAAAATAAAGGTTAGTTATAATAATTGTGGCGTGGTCTATTATAGTATGTTATGGCAGAATCATTTCAATAATCTCACTCTTGTTCCCAGACCCAAACTCAGGCCTCATCATGTCTGACCAAAGTCTAGAGATCTCCCAGTACATATCTCACCTAATAGTTATGTGTTGTTATATTATGAGGACATATAAGTTTCCATGAGTGTGAAGGCAACACTCAATCATGACCAATCCCGAACTTGCTGATAGAATGCAAATGACAAGAAGTATGGGACAATTTCTATTTTTTCTAGAGATATTTTATTTCTCATCTATTGTCCCACCTGTTGGTCCCATAGTATCAGCAAACAGGCTTCAGATAATGAATACAAAATAGAGCCATGCAAAATAGACAAAATTCATAATAATGTTACAACAATACTCTGTTGCTAGGTTTCGTGACACAATTTTCTACAGTAGAGCTCCCCAATGTAGAACGATGGTCTTTCTACATTGTATTGTATAGCTTTGAGTTGTGTCCACTGCAAAACAGATTTTAGAAACGTATTGAAAAACATGATTTTTGCTTATTAAAGACTGCACAAAATGAACTTCCTATTTATATAGATTTTTGCACTCTATGTAAACCAGTACGTTTGAAGTTAGTTTTTCCTTTGCGTGACATTTACCTCAAAGCGCTCTACCACATCTGCATAGACCCATAAGACGAGTGAGAGAAGCGCACACACGATGGCCGACGTCCCCATTTTGAACAGAAACAGCCCTTAAAACAATAACATGTTTAAATTGCCATTAAGCACAAATATTATATCTTCTAGTGTCCACTCACCTGCTCTGCACCTGCTGTCACTGACCACAGCCTCAGCCTTTATATAGCACCACCTCTCCTGATCTCACACCCACAACTGACATTTTTTACAGCCTTGTCCTTAAATGTCCTTTTATTTAATCTCTTATACATCATTCATATTTGACTATTTCAGCTTGTCATATCATCAGTTATATTTGTAAAAACACACTAAGTTGTACATTCTCTTAACCCCTTCTGTCCGTTCAAAGCGACAACACTTGGAAACAAGATAAAAGTATTTGTAGTTTCAGAGGCAGCATGTGCTCAAACTCCCACGACCAGAGCATGTGGTGGGTTTGAAAACACGTGAGGACAAGAACCATGGCCGGATCTAACCCAGTGATACTTTAACAAATAGGCAAAGGGTTCTCTCACAAAAATAGAAGCGATTCCCTGTTCTATGGTATTTTACGTGTGTCCTTGGGCAAGACACTTAACCAATGTCTGTGTAAACTGGGGTGTGAAGGGGTGATTGGTTCATTGATGTGAAGTACTTTGAAATAATTGGCTGAGAAACACAGTATAACAGTAACCATTTAGCAACACATTTATCTGATCTGTGTTGTCCACATATCAATAACTGGGGCTTCAGCCATCTACTCCACTCTTTCAAATAAATTAATAAGTCAATTTTTTTTTACAATTTGGGCAAGACAAGGAAGATATATAATCACCAGACAACAAGCCATCGCACATTTTTACTTTAACTGAACTTACGCTGAACTGAGAAAAGACAGGCCGGCTCGAAAATTCCTCCTCTTTTTATGTTGATGGGTCCATTAGAATTCCACAGATGCTTATGTTGTCAGGTTGACCGATGCATCACGTGACGCATTCGTTTTTGCACCTTTTTGGGCTTGTAACTCTAGAAATAAGAGGTGTATGAATAAAAATATCACTACATTACAATCTGTCTGAGATCTTGTCTGAATTTTTTTTCATTGTTACATATGAAGGAGGGACTTTCAGAGCTCTAGAGCAGCCCGGCCCCAGAGGACAGAGACCAGAGAAACCAGTAAAACCTGAAAATGATTCTCTAACCACCTACAACACTTTATCTGCATTCAACCATTTTTGTTCTATTTTAGGGTCATTCTGATTGATCGAATACTGTACTTTGAGCCAAACAAAATGATAACATTCTGCACGATACAGAAATCACTGTACCCACACATGGGCAACAAATGAAGTTCAAAACAAAGAGGTACAGGGAGGATCTGTACAACATATATTACTTGGCCCAAAAAGGAGTGGGAAGAAGAAGTCTTGATAATATTCTCATTTAATATTGAGTACATTTTACAGTGTGTAAGAATCGGATGTGTTTTAACAGTAATACCTGCAGCTGCCATCACCATAGCAACACGTTTAAACGATTGCAATGACCCTGGTTTGGAGGAACAAGCTTCAACGTAACTCCATCTTGATCTTTGAGGAGAAGTCACACATTCACATGTACAGGTGAAATATTTGTCTTTCTAATTGTGGTGAAAGTGCCTTAAAAAACCTGGATCTGTGTGTTGTGTAGCTTTAATGATGCAACTTAATGTACTCTGTTTAGAAAACCTTCGAACATGACTCCTTGTGGAATATGTGTGTGAATGCTGTTCACGTGTTGAGTTAAGATTAGGAGATCCTTTATTCGTCTCCCTGTGGGGAAATTTCAGTGTTGCATCCCTGGTTACAGAATGGTAGGAATGAGGAGCACACAACAGATGCTAAAATCAATGCGTCTCCTGGCCTCCTCTTTTTTCTAACCAATTTACTTCCTTACCCATTCACTTTAAATTGGTCTTCAGCCATGTTCAGGCATGTCCAAACCAAGGTCCACGAGCCAATTGCGGCCCTCTGTGTCATTGTGTGTGGCCCTCTGCCTTGCTAACACATAGTAGCCTTTATAAGTTCACAGTGTCATCCAGCTAACTTCAGCTCTACAAATATATTCACGTTATACCTAATCTCAGTTCCTCTAGAATTCAGAAAATGACTTTATTTTAATTCACCGACATTTATTTTTGAGTCAGAAAAATTATAGCGCTAATGTAGCTGGTGAGAGGGAAAACATTCAGCCAACGTCAGCTCTGTCAAAATATGGACATGGCTCTTGAAAAGTCTGAATCCTGTCAAAACAGTTTTACGATCCATAATGTCGACCATTCTGATTGGCAACAAAATTGGCTCTCTTACTAAAGAATTTGGGAATCCCTGCAGCATATGAAGTAAAAAGAATACAAAGGCAAACAGTATTAGACAGAAAACATTTAATTTGTTCAGCTGAATACTATCGCAACTGCTGTAACTGCATGTGTGCTTGTTGGTTTTGTAGCTAGCTAGTTAGATGTGTTCCCAAGTAATAAAGAACTAGAAAACATAATAATCATAATAAAAATATTGGGGGAAGAGGGTTAAAAGCTCTTGGCATTTTTATCTTCTTTAAATCTGTTTGAGCTGCACACTGTGACGTCCTTTGACTTCCGATCAAAGTGCTGTTTTTAATGCCTCACTTAGAACATGCACAGAAGCTTGTCTGTGCTCCTCCTGGTCGTGCCTCTCGTGTGGAGCTACGTTGCACCAGAAAACAAAGAGGACGTGTTCGCTCAGACGGCCTGTCCGGGGTTTCTCACCTTCAAGAGCGCAGCCTACGTTTCAGGGACCACCGTGGAGCTGCCCTGCCTCTGCAAACCCAAGGAGGTGAGTCCAAACCAGGGCAGAGTACAACCACTATACTTCAGGAGCCCCGAGAGCACAAACACAAACGCCAGACTATATTGAACTATTACTAACTTTCAGCATTGAGGTGAGGTTAATAGGATATCAGATCTTTCTCCCTCCCACTCCTTTTCGGGTTTGAATAATGTACAATATTGTAGTAAGTAAGTAATTGTTAATGAATGATTTGCTAGAAAATGTGATGTAGTGACGATTAATGTTTGATGTACATTGAACTCGAAATAAATACACACTCTACTGTACTCAATATGACTCTTTTTTTAAGCAAATTTCTTAACAAAACAACCATATAATTAATTTTCTTCCAAATTGAGAACCATTGGCCCTATCATTTACAACCAAACTTATTATGAATGTTATTACATGCCAGTCGTTTGTTTGAAAACGATATACCCCAGCTTTAAAGACAAAAAAAAACAAACAAAAAACAGTTGAAACAGTCTTATTTTGCCTGTTTTGATATATAAGTAAAAGATGTTTCATATTTTGTCAGGTGCTGTCTGTGGTCTGGTACTTCGCAAAGCACGTATCCAACTCAGAGCAGGTATGGAAGATCATTCATTTGATTACATTTTATTAAATGTCCTTTGGCAAGACACTTCACCCAGAATGAGTATGGTGTGTGTGTGTGTGAATGGATGGCTAGTGGTTGCCTCGTTTCTGTCAGTGTGTCCCAGGGCAGCTGTGGCTAATAGTAGTTTATCATGACTGTGTATGGAGTGAAAGAATAATGACATGTGAAATGTCTTTGAGTGTCCAAAAAAGTGCTGTATAAAACAATGTTATTATTATTATTATTATTATCATTATTATCATGAATTATCCACTGACCATAGTTTAGTTTGACAAAGCTTCAACCTCGACCGTCCTTGTGTGTTCAGGATGAGTACCAGCCGGTGAAGGTGATGGCGGCCAGCTCTCTCCCTCACAGAGCAGAGGGAGAGACGCACTTCTCCATCCGCCTCTTCAGCCTGCTCCTCTTCAGCAGCAGCTCGGCCGACTCCGGACTCTATGTCTGCGGCTCCAAACAGCGAGACTTCTTCTACGCGTATGACCTGGACATACAGGAGGCACACAAAATCACCTTCACTGACAGGTTAGGGCAGAGGTGGGAAAACCTGGGCTCATGGGTCAGATGTGGCCTTCCGAACGTTTCTATATCAGGCCCCTGAGCTCTCCTTGGTTTATGTAGTGTAAAAACTATGAAATCCCTGTGTGCTGTGTGCAGAGCTCTGGAGCCGCAGTCGCACTCCTCGCTCTGCAGCGAAATATTATGTTTATTAAAAATGTATTTATGTGTAAAAGGCTCATGCCTGGCTTAGGACGTGTGCTGCTGTTGATTCCAAAACAACATAACTTTTCTTTGGAGCATAGAGAATATGTGTAAAATTTGACCTAAGCACTGCCATCGAAGTGTGTTTTTGTAATGACAGCTTCTCATTGTGAAACACAAAAAGAAGGCCAGAGAACTTATTTTCTGTTTTGAGTCCACTAATCCTGATTTCTGTTGTCAAGTGTATCCAGTATTTTACCGATCCCAGTTTTCTCACTCCCAACAGCCCTAAGAAAAGGAAGCCCCGTCAGTCCGACCCTGCTTCTCTGTACAGAACCTTCACCAGTTTCCAGCCCTGGTCTGTGTGTGACCGCTGTGGACGTTCTGCAGAGCAGGTCTCTTCTTGTTTAAATAATGAAAAGATTCTTCTCTCCTAATCTATAGGAAACTCATATGGTAAAGGGGAAGGAGAAATTGCAAATATTATTAATAACTACAAGTATTCATAGGGATAGTAGTAAAGGTTAGTGTAGTAGAATGTTATACATCATTTCAAAGCCATGAATGTATTTTCTTATTGATAATAACAATACTCCTTTACCAAAAAAAAAAACCCAAAAAACCCACCCATGATTAGCAATAGCAAAAGATTAGCCCACAACAAACTTTACATAAAGACATTTTCAAAACTTTCAAATGAATTTGACACTCCTGTTCGAGACAGTTGAAATTGTTAATTTTATGTTTATGGTTAAATTGTAGTGTTGTCAAAAACAGTTTGAATATGATTTTACATTGCAATATCACAATATACAATATACAAACCAAAATAGGCTTACTGCGACCATTAATAAAGAACAGTTATTTTAGTTGTATATAGTTTTGTATATATATATATAACCCAGAACAATCAACAATATACAAATGCAGTGGCTATTCAACAAGGCAATCCAACATTAGGTTTTGCCTGCCCTGTGAAAATAAATGTTTCTGTGTGGTGTAACCGCAGTCCCTCGTCTTATCCCCACAGGTGCGGGTGGGACTCTGCTACGTGCTCTCCTCTTACCTCCACGTGAGATACCGAGGAGCCAATCAGAACGTCAGCTCCTGCGGCTCGAAGGCGGTGCTGAAGGTGTTTGGACCAATTGAGAACGAGGGCGCGGTGCTGGAGGTCAGGAAGTGTGAGGAGGCCTGCCCCACACAAGCCCCTGCTCCCTCCAAAGTGGCATCACTCATGGCTTTCCTGGGATACGGGTAAATCGCATACAAACGTCAAGATTTGCGTTGAAATAACGGCAGCCACACAGTCATCAGTCTGCCCCAGGGCCAATGAGGGCAGTATCATGAGTATCCAATCAATTTTTTTTATTTTATCTCCTGTTTTGATAACAATCTTTTCATCAAATGCATAGATGCTAGTATGAAAATGAACTCTGCTGAGGTCAAAATGTTTTACTTCAAACACTTAATACAATATAAAATACAATAAAATACTTGTTAGTTGCCAATTTAGATTAGCTTTTGTTTAGTAGTTATTATTTATTATATTTATATACTATAATATATATTTATTTTATATATTCTATGAATTTATTAGACCCACTTTATTTATTATTTTGTTTTGATTATTATTATTAATAATATTTGTTTTATTATTAGTATTAGTTGTAGTGGTAGCAGTTGTAGGAGTAGCCTGTATAATGCTATATTCCATTTACTCTAACATTTAAATATTTGACTTATGGTTTATGGTTATGGTTTTAAATGTGTTTCCTATGGAGGAGCCCTTGATGTGGTTTTGCCTCGGTTTTGTCCCTCCTCTGGGTCCTGTGTTGTCCCCTATGAAAAGCTTTATAAATAAATGTGATTGGTTCATTGGTAGATTGATTGAATGATTGATTGAATGATTGATTAACCTGTTGATGTCACTCACATGTGTTGCAGTTCATCTCATCCTGAAGTGGTCACTGTGTATTACCTGAAGCACCGGGCGGAGACCGCGCTGACCATGGGCTGTCCAGGGGCCAAACCCACCATGGCGGTGGCCTGGGACAAAGAGGAAGCTCCTATCCTCAGGACAGAGCACACAGCGCCCCCTGGAGGAGCCAGCCCCCGCATCAGCATCGACACAGGACACCATCTGGTCTTCAACCCTGTGCAGACACAAGACTCAGGTGAGGCCAAGCAGCTCACAGCCGCTGGACGCGGCAACCGCTCAATACTGCCCCGGAACACTGCGGCCGCTGAGGTGACGGAATCCCGTTTGAGTACATACAGCAGTTTCCCCGAGGATACGTGCGCCCCCCTCTAACAGTTCTCAACGGATTTACACTTTTCACAAGCATGTTCTATTTCATCCTTCCTGACCGCCAGAGGCGGTGCTTTAAGCACTGAATGATCATCTTTGAGCATGCGCAGTTCGAGAATTAAATGACAACAAAGTCACTTGTGACCTCCTCGTGACCCCCGTGAGTCTATATAGGTCACGTGACACGAGAGCCCAGCCTCTTTTCTTCTTCTCGCAGCGCAGGTTTGAGTTGTGCGTGTGTGTTTGAGCGTTTGAGCTACCTACCTACCACATACGTACTGCTTGCACACCAGCTCCGTGACTCGCGTCGAGGTAGCGGGTGGATCTCGCCCCTGAGCGGCTGTTCTGTCCACGTGTGTGCGTGTGATTCTTAGTTTAAGCTTTTCGTTTTCGGAGTGAGCTGACGTTTGCTATCCAGTTATACTGTTCGTTTTCTGTTCAGTTTGTGTTTATGCTGTTTGGCCGGTGTTAATTGAGTCGTGTGTGTGGCGTTCCTTGCCCCGACCATGTTGTGTGTTTGTACACTTTCGTTAGCTCTTCTGTTTTCAGTGCATGCTAACATTTGTTTTTCTTTACCAACAGTTAGACTGTTCGCCCTCTGTTCAGTTGTTTGGTTTTCTCTGTGTGCTTGAGTCGTCTGTGGCGTTTTCAGCTCGACCCGACTCTGCTTGCATTGCTCCACCAGTTCAGGAGCTCTCGTTATGCACGAGTCGCTGGGCTGCCGTGGGTGCATGGCACCTATGCCCCGCGAGGATGGCCATGACCTCTGCCCTGCGTGCCTGGGTATCGAGCATTTGAGACAGGGCCTGACGGTGGACGCCTGCTCCAATTGTGCTTTACTGCCACACTCTGTGCGCGTGGACCGCCTGGCGGCCCTGGATTCGGATGAGGGCTCTTCGGAGGTGCCGCCCTGGCTGCCGCCTGCTGCCCAGCCCTCTGGGTCTAAGCGTGCGGCTGTGTCCTCGGCTCCGCAGAGGAAGCGTAGGGTGCCTGCAGGGTTGTCTGCACGGATGGACCACCTTGCGTCCGAGATGGCCCAAATGAAGGCACTTCTGCAGGATGTTCGTCCGGTTTCGGGGGATCATGTGCTGGGCCCTCCTGTGCCGGACCTGGCCCCGTTGTGGGAGTACGATGTGATGTCTGTGGCTGCATCTGACACTCATTTTCGTCTTGACCCTGAGGAGGTTGACTCCAGGGCCTCTGACGCTGGTTCCTTGGCGTCCACGGGGTGCCTGGACAGCGAGGAGAGTGGGGCTTCCTCTGCCGTCCGCTCTGCACTCGCCCACTTGGGGCTTGATGTCCCGCAGGGAACTGTCCCGTCTGGTAGCGCCTTCTTTAAGCGACAGCGGCCCCTTCCCTCTGTCTCTGTGCCTCCTTCGACGTACGTGAAGGAGGTACATGCATGCTGGACGGATACGAAGGCTATGTCCAGACTGACGTCCGATGGCCAGGCTTTGGCTTCAATGCAGGATGCCCCCCAATTTGGCTAGGGCCACATCCCGCCCGTCGAGCCGGCGGTGGCCTCCTTGATTGTTTCGCCGGAGGAGGCCCTCCGGTCTGATCCGAGGTGCCCCAACCCCCAGTGTCGCCTCACAGATGAGCTGCTGTGTCGGCCGTACGATACTGGTGCGCAAATGGGGCGCATGGGGAACTCTCTTTCCCATTTGTTACTGGGCCTTTCAAACGCATTGGAGGTTTCTACAGTCGAAGCCCCGACCCAGGGACTGTTGGATGCGTCCCTCCACGCTTTTGCCCTTATGTCGCGGGAACTGGGCCGCCTGCTGTCAACCCTGACTCAGACACGTCGGCAGGTGTGGTTGGCACAGTCACCCCTCACTGAGCCCTGTAGGAGGACTCTCCGGAGTGTTCCGGTGCTTCCGGGGGAGCTCTTTGGTGCGGCTGCGCTTCAGGCGCTAGAGCGCACGGCGCAGGCCACCCGGACGCGTGACTCCGCGGGTTTATGGTGTACCACAGCCCTTTCCTAGGGGTTCGCGGCCACCAGGTGTCCCTCCGCCTGACCATAGGGGATTTCGGCCTTCTACCCGGCGGCCTCCCCAGAACGCACGGGCTCTCGGGTGTTCTGGGGAGGGGTCTCCAGGCCACAGGGGGCTCGGAGATGAGGTCAGGCCGCTGACGGTGGGTTCTTTTACCCGGGAGCAGTTGGACTACTGGACCGCTCACACCTCAGACCTCTGGGTATTGGGCTGGGCTGCCTCACACATCAGACCTCTGGGTATTGGGCTGGGCACGCTCTCCCGGGGGTACACTCTCCAGTTCCACCGTCGGCCTGCGGTCCCTGGCCCCGTCAGGTGGACTGTGATCCACGACCGGGACAGGACACTGGCACAGAGATCGCCACCTTGCTGGACAAGGAGGCTATAGTGCCTCCTTAATTTTCTGGTTCCGAAGAAAACTGGCGACTTGCGTCCGGTTTTGGACCTTCGGGGCCTCAATGTGTTCCTCAAGACGCTATCGTTTCGGATGTTGAGGACCCCGGAACTGTTATAGGCAATATGTCCGGGCGGTTGGTTCACATTCATCGACCTGAAGGATGCTTATTTTCATGTGCCGATTGCCCCGCATCACCAGCGGTTACTGCGTTTTGCTTTCCAGGGGCGGCATTATCAGTTTCGGGGGCTCCCCTTCAGGCTGTCCCTGTCCCCCAGGGTCTTTTCCCGGGTCGTTGCGGCGGCCTTGGCCCCTCTTCAGGCAGGGGGGTTGAGGGACCTGCCTTAACTGGACAACTGGCTCGTGTGCGCCCCCAGTCGTGCCCAGGCCGTTCGGGTCTGCGAGTCAATGTTGTCAAGAGCAATTTGGTTCCGGCTCAGGCAACGAATTTCTTGGGGGTGTACCTAGATTCGGTTGCCATGACCGCCCGTCCGTCGGCTCTGCGGGTCAATGGCATTGTGGACATGCTCCACAGATTTCAGCGGGGTCGGGCGTTGCCGTTCCTGCTGTACCGCAGCCTCTTGGGGAAGTTGACGGCGGCCTCTGCCGTTGTGCCGCTGGGCCTTCTCTCCCTTTGTCCCATGCAGATGTGGCTGAATGGCTTGCGTTTAGATCCACCACGCTTCATTCACAGGCGACGCAGACTCCTGCTCTCGCCGCAGTGCCTAGAGTCCCTATCCTGATCGAGAGAGGTGTCCCACTGGGCTCCCTTCCGTCTCGGAGGGAGGTGGTGCACACCGATGCGTCCCTCACTGGTTGCGGGGCGACGTGGCAGGGCAGGATGGCACAAGGGACGTGGTCCGCCTGCTGCATGTGAATGCCCTGGAGCTCATGGCGGTCCGCCTTGCTCTCGCGCACTTGTCATGGTGAGGTCCGACAGCACCACGGTGGTGCATCACATCAACCACCTGGGGGGTACCCGGTCCGTGACGCTGTTGCGGTTGACCCGGGAGCTACTGCTGTGGGCGGCCCCTCGCTTGGCAAGCTTGAGGGCCTCCTACATTCCGGGGGTGCACAATGTGGTGGCGGACCTCCTGTCCCGCCAACGCCCCCAGCCCGGGGAGTGGCGTCTCCACCTGGAGGTGGTGGCCAGCATTTGGACTATGTTTGGCCGGGCCGAGGTGGACCTGTATGCGTCGGAGGCGTCGACCCACTGACCGCTGTGGTTTTTCCTGGCGGACGTGGCTTGCCCTCTGGGCATGGATGCGCTGGCGCACGATTGGCCCAGTACTCTGCTCTACGCTTTCCCCTCTCTGCCACTGATTTTCCCAACCCTCCTGAGGGTTCTCCAGGAGGGGCACCACCTTCTCCTGGTAGCTCCGTTCTGGCCGGGCCGGATCTGGTTTCCATTGCTGCACAGGCTCTGTTGCGGCTCTCCGAGACCGCTGCCCGGACGGCGGGATCTCCTGTCCCAGCTGGGGAGGAGGCTCCTGCACCCCAGTCCCGAGCGGCTTCAGCTCTGGGTGTGGCCACTGAGGGGGCGCTCTCCCTCTACACTCAAGGTATATGTGGCGGCAATATCTTGTTTTCATGAGGGTGTGGCCGGTTCTATGGTGGGGAGTAACGGGGATATTTCCCTGTTCCTGAAGGGTGCTCGACGTCTTCATCCCCCGCGACGGCCCATGGTTCCACCCTGGGACCTGACGTTGGTTCTGGAGGCGTTGCGGGCTCCCCCGTTTGAGCCCCTGGATCGTGTGGACCTGAATTGGGTCTCCCTTAAGACCGCTTTTCTTCTGGCTATGGCCTCGGGTAAGCGTGTGAGTGAACTGCAGGCTCTGTCGTTTCACGAGTCCTGCTGCAGATGGGATCCCAATGGTCTGGGGGTTACGCTTTGGCCAGATGCTTCCTTCCGCCTAAAGGTGTTCACTGGTGCGGTCCTTCCGCTTAGTTTGGCCCGGTTTGGTACTGGGACCTCTGTAGAACCACTTTGTCCTGTCAGGGCATTGGAGGTTTACCAAACTGCCACAGCCAGTGTGCGGGGGTCGGATCGCCTCTTTGTGTGCTATGCCGGCCCCAGGAAGGGCCAGGCTCTGTCGTCCCAGCGCCTCTCCAAGTGGGTTGTCGAGGTGATCAGGCAGTGCTACCTATCCCATGGGCGCCAGCTGCCTGCTGGGGTGAGGGGTCATTCGACCAGGGGCGTCTCTGCCTCCTGGGCTGCTATGAGCGGTGTGCCTCTGGACGCCGTCTGTGTGGCTGCCTCCTGGACGTCGCAGTCTACCTTCGCGACGTACTACAGGGTCAATGTGGCGGTCCCTGGTCCGCTGGAGGGGGTGCTGCGGCACCATTCGACGTTATGAGGTGGGTGTGTACCTCTCGTTGACCCCTCGGGACCTTGTTGGTATTTGTCATCCAGTGCTTAAAGCACCGCCTCTGGCGGTCAGGAAGGATGAAATAGAACGAAAGTTACGACTGTAACTATGGTTCTATGAATCCTGGATGACCGCCAGAGCGTCCAGTCCTTCGGGGCCACAGTCTGCTTGCGAGGTGAAAAGGGGCTGGGCTCTCGTGTCACGTGACCTATATAGACTCACGGGGGTCACGAGGAGGTCACAAGTGACTTTGTTGTCATTTAATTCTCGAACTGCGCATGCTCAAAGATGATCATTCAGTGCTTAAAGCACCGCCTCTGGCGGTCATCCAGGATTCATGGATTCGTAGTTTCAGTCGTAACTTTCGTTTTTTGTATGAGGCAGACAGACCGGCCCAAATATGGGCATCGGCCCTTCGGGCATTGCCCGGTACGCCCGATGGCCGGTCCAGCCCTGGTGATACGTCTCTAAGTGTTTCTCCCTGTCTGCAGGAGTGTACTACTGCTGGCTGCAGGGGCGACGGGCGGCTCAGATCCGCCTGCTGGTGTATTCCGGTTTGGGACAGGGTCATGGCCATTTCCAGTCGGTGCTGTCTGATCCAGAGCTCCTGCCCGCTGTGCAGTGGATGCTCCGGTGCTGGGCCTGGATGACACTGGCGTTTATAATCGTCATCGTCATCAAGGCGGGGATCGAGGGTGTGATAGAACATCAGGTGAAACATCAGGATTAGGACCAACTTTGACCTTAAACTTAATAAATGTATTTTTTATATATTAACAGTTTATTGCACTTTACTTTTTCTGTTAGTTGACTTTCCCACTCAGACAGTGTATTGTAAATGTGAACCCTTTAGACAAAAGATAGACAGGTAAACACAGGCTTCATCAAATGTCTGTATCTGGTTTGTTTCCATCTGTTTGAACATGAGTTTAGTCCCAGTGAAGAGATATTCAAAACACTGCGACACTTTTGTTCTCTTTCAAGACGAGAAATCCTTTATCTTATCTTATCTTTAATAAAAGTAATTGTTTCAGTAACAATGTAAGCTTGAGTATTCATTCAACTTTGATTTCTTTTAAATAGGCCCATATTTTGTGTCTCAAACATGATAAATCCACATTTTTGATCATGTGCAGAGCTATTTGCTTCCTCTAAAAACAAATTGGGAATTTCTCCAGTGGAACCTACACAATAAGAGTGTGATTTCCTACCACCACATTGAGGTGTTTGACCACAAGGATCATAATGAGACAAATGTAGAAACTTGGAAAATAGAATAGAATATTGTTCAAAAGTCCATTCACTTTTCAAGACTTTATCAGTTATGATATTTGTCTCACAGCTTGTAAAAAAACGTCAAAATCTCAGATAATTGTAATATTATTAGTTACCACAATCTTTGGTTTAAATACAGAAAAATATTCTACATGCCCAAGTTTCTCCTTTCAGCTGGGCATACACTTTTTGCAAAATGCTAATGAAGAATTTAGCTTTTTACTTTGGACTAGAGCAGAGAAAATGGTCCGAACCAAGAAGCTCCTACACTTCTGCTCCTGTGACCTGAAGGGATTCTGCCTATTATTACTATTTTTAGCTTCTTAAAATTATCTTTTATAGTTTTTTTGTTTGTTTGTTTTTTTTGCTGCTACTGGACACCTGCATTTCTCCTACAGGGGATCAATAATTGGGCGGCACAGTGGCTGAATGGATAGCACTCTCAGCAAGAAGGTCCTGGGTTCGAATCCCGGTTGGACCAGGGCCTTTCTGAGTGGAGTTTGCATGTTCTCCCTATGTCTGAGAGACTAATGTTCAAAAATAACAATTGTAAACCGCTTTGAGACTCTGATCTGCAGTGAAAAGGCGGTATATAAATAAAGATTACTTACTTACTTACTACAATAAATCTATCTATCTATCTTGCAGAATTAGCTTTTTAGAACTTTGAATTTCCCATAGTATTCCAGCTTCTCACTTATGCGTTGTAGCGCCCCGTTGTGGAGGATATTGATATGACAGGGTATTTGACTTTCAAAATGAAAGTGAAATCTACACTGCTGTGGAGCGCGACGTCTAAAAACAGATGGATTTCTTATGCTTCAAAATAGTTATTTTTGTCTTCATGCTTAGAGGTGAGTAATGGTGTTTGACTTTGTTTTACCGGGGTCAAAGCATAATTCGGTGAAATATTAATAGAGGCAAATCTGAAGTATCATAGTGTCATACTATCTCAAACTATACTGTAAGTGACTAAATGTTAAAATGTTGTCTGGGTATTTGCAGATTTCCTGAGTGCGTTTCAGATGTCCTTGCTGCCCTGTAGATTCACTGATGAGAAAGTGAGTTTGGATGCTAAAGGTCGCATAAACACTACACACATTCCCAGATCAGCTTTTCTGCAGTTTGGACTCAAAGACGATCGTCCAGTGAAGCCTGACGCTGTCACCTTTCTCATCACCCGTGAGTTTGTGCTGTATATGTTTCTGTTTCTGTATAAGTTACTTGTATATTATTTGCACTGGGGCTGGTCGTCTGGGGCTGTGGGGGTCTGGCTCTGGGACCTCGGCTTCATATCTCCTCTGGGTCCTGTGTCGTCCTCTGTGGCTGCAGGCGGCTCTCTGCTCCTGGGGCAGACGGCTCCTCGGATGGTGTTTCCACAGCTGGATTTACCTTCACTTTATAGTCTTGTCTGTAGTGTAGAAGTGTCCATGAGGCCTGATCTGGTCAGATCTCAGGAGCAGTGTGGGGAATGCTAGTGTTGTGATGTGAAACCACTGTGACATCCAGAGGTTCAATGGGCGCTTTCACACTGGTTCTCTTTAAACGGACCAAGGCGGGTTCACTTTTACAGGACAAATCTTGTTCAGTTGGGGAAATATGCTTCACAAACCTCTTATGTAAAGGAGAGGTTTCCCCACACAAAGAATTGGTTTAGTAGTCTACCTGCCAAGTGAGTGAATCATTGAATTGAATAATTGAAGTGAGCAGCAGTGGCCTTACCAGCCAGACCGTCAGAAAGTAGAGGGTCTGGCTGGTCTGGCTACATCAGCGGGGCAGATGATGCAGATTTGCTGCCCCACTTCTGTCAGTCTACCCTAGGGCAGCTATGGCTACAGTACTTGCCTACCACCTGTGGGTGTAATGAAAGGTTCTTAACTTAATGAATGCCATGTCTACCCTTTTGGTGTGTGCATCTGCGTTTGACTGATTGACAAATGTTGTTTTATTTTTGTCATTATTATTAGCTTCTAAGTTGGATTTGCGTCGGGTGCTGGCGGGAGCAGAGGTGGGTCAGTTGTCCTGTGAGCTGAAGCGGTACAGTACAGATGGGTCCCACGTCCGCTGGCCTGTCAAAGGAGAGCACGAGTACAATCGCTGGTTCACAGTAACGATCTCTCACACCAAAAAACTGTTTAAAATCATGGCTTTCATCCGGCAATCCACTGACCAGCCTCCGACAGGAGAGGACGACTTCAAGAGCTGGGCAGTCATCAAAGACAAAGAGGTGCTCACCACATCAGGTAAAACTCTTAACACTAGGAGCGCCCCTAGCGGTCAACTGACCGTCACTCACTTTAATATGCTAATTAGTGTATTCAAAACAAAACGCCAGAAGTTGAAATTTTATGACTTTTACTAGGTACTTGTTTTTTATATTTTTGTGTGTTTTGGAAAAAGTAAAGAAAACAAGATTTACACGCATTTTAACTTTTCTAAACCACAGCTCTTTCTGCTGCCCCATGGAGATACATGGCGCAGGGGCGACTGTTGTCATAGTAACCTTTCCCGGGGGTTTTTCGCGCCTTATACAAATGTATCAATATGTTGTCATTAGACTCTAAAGGGACTTTTTTATTATTATTTGGGAGAGAGGGAGGAGTACAAAATGAATAGAGCTGCAAGTACACGGTATGAAGCCCTGACAGTGCTTCAAGACATTGAATGAGAACAGTCTGACGGAGGTGAGAGATGTCACATTTTGAGGTAGAAAGTGACAGCGGGGAGAACACCTATAATATTCTAAATCTGAACGTAAACCCATAGTGCATTCACGGCACGGACAGCAGTGTTGTAACAAGTCCAGAAGCAATAATGCACATGACCCGCGTAATGCCAGCCATACGCAGGTGTCTGTGTGCGCGCTGTCGCTCCATTCTGCCTTTTCATTCATCATCAATTACATTATTATATTTATACATACAAGAAGGCAATACAGCAGAATACAATATCGCAATAAAATAGAACAATTAGATGAACTATCAAGGCAGAGTGCAGAGAGAGCGCTGTGAGGCCTCTCGTCACCCGCGGACACCTGCAGGAGGAGAGCGACTGTGGGGCAGAAGCGGCCCTCATTATCAATAAGGATATCATTCTTATTTCATTCAGATAACACTGTTTGTTATTCTGCACAGCGCGCACTGCAAGGCAATGATTATAATGTTGTTCTGAGCATAAAGAGCACTGCTTGTCTCAAATAAATACAAATATATATATACATATATTTGTCTTTCTAACGTGTCCCGTGTAAAATTGAAGATTGTACATTGGCGATGGTAGCCTAGCTGATGATCTTGTGTCAATACGAATATTATTATTATCTAGATAATATTTCCCACGGTGATTTCGGCCTCTAAAAAGAAAACAGTCTGGAGATGACGTAAGAAGTAGACGCATAGCAGCGCGAAGACGTTATGGTCCCGTGCTTTTCTAAACTATAATTTATATTGTTTGAATTTACATATTGTTATTGAGTCAAATATAACATATAGTGACCGACCTTTTAGGTGTTTGCAAAGTTACAAAATAAATCCAGCCTGAAAAGTCATAATTTTGATGGATCAGTACACGCACAATGTGTCGTCTTAGTCTTTTATTTTGGCTAGAATTACAATTACTTAGCATATTTAGACAAATAATTTACACAGTTTCATTATGATCACGATTCCTTTGCAACATCAAGTTCTGGTTTAGTGAACAATCAATTTGGCAAAAGGCTGTATCAGCGCAAAATACATAGCGGTCAACTGACCGCAGGGGGCGGTGCAAGGTATGTTTAGAGCACGGCGGTCCTAGTGTTAATGAGACGGGTGTTTGAGTACATCTTCTGTAAGACGTTTTCACACTGACCAAAAGCTTGTGTTTTTTGACCAAAATTACCTGTACACCTTGGCAAGGCAAGGCAGGTTTATTTATATTGCACAGTTCATAAAAAAAACCTTGTGTATTGGCTCAGGTAGAGTCAATACACAAAAGAAGGAACAAGATAAAAGTGTAATTTAATGAACCAAAACCTAATCCAGGATAATAATCAAACACAATAATTCAACTCAAAAAACAGGAAAAATTTGTGGGGGAAAGAGAGTGGACATTCAACAGGGTGAGGCAGGAAATAAAACAAAACCAATATTACAAAATATAATAATAATAGAGTATCAAATCCTAATAGATCTTCATCATCACAACTCATACTACCTGTTCCTCAACTCTACACTTTTTTAAACAGAAAAAACAATACATATAATTATGCATAATGCATCAATGAAGCAACCAGCTTTGGTGTTATTTCAAGCACAGATCCAGAAAATGTATTTATTGTTTCATTGGCAAGATCTTGTTTTAAGACTATCAAAAATGTCTCTAATTAATTTAAGCCTTATAGTATAGTGTTATACCCACAAAACTATCCATCGAAAATGTTTTGTGCAAAAAAATGACATTTTTTATATTTACTCAAAAAGTATATCCTTTGTGGAGCTACTTTGAGGAGGGTGGAGCTTCTGGTAGCTCAGGAGCTATAGCTTGGAGACCCCTGGGGTATACCATTTTTGGGAAAGCTCATAAGAAACAAGGCAGCTACTAAAATGTTTTTTTTCGGGCTACCCGTGTGCACTCACTACTGCTCTGTATGTGCCCTGCAACATTGAAATATACTCACTGTGGGATGAATAAAGGTTCTTTTATCTTACATTCTCTTATCCAACAACCATCTCTCACGTTATCTTCATTTGTGTTTCCTGTGCAGTGGCGATGATGATGCAGACCCAGACCCCAGTGGTGAACTCCACTCTCAAATTCCAACCTAAACTACACTGTCAGTTTGAGGTTGACCATAAGTCCCCTAAAGTCATACTGGAGTGGCGGAAACATCACAGAAGGAAGGCTCTGTTCAGTTCCCAGCTTCCTTCAGGACAAGGCCAGGGTTCTGGAGTGTCACTGGAGCAGCTGAGAACAGGAGACGCCTCGTACACAACGGCTCCCACTGAAACCAGCAGCGAGGGCACGTACCTCTGCAACGTGGACGTGCATCCTCTGCTGGGGAGTCTGTCTGTGGAGCTGCAAATACAAGGTCATTAGATACACTTTTATACCATTAGAAGTGGCATACTGTAACATGTTCAATCAGAATCAGAATTATTCTTATTAATTGTAACAGGAAGTCACAAAAACAAAAAGGCATGCATAAAAGGAAATTAAAAATCAACATAGCATTTCTTGAAATTACTACTATATACTACTGGTATAGAGAGCCTCTTGCTGGTTATGATCATGGATCTATAATAATAACTGGATAGGGTATTACTAGCTTTTAGCTGTCCCACCTATGGGCACAGGGGGCGCCCGTGGTACTGCAGACTAAATTTACTTGGGCTACCCAGAAATAAGTCCCTCAGAACTCCATCCATCCATCCATTTTCTTCCCCTTAATCCATTTCTGGGTCAGGGGGGTGGCAGTCAGAGCTGCACTTCTCATAGCACTCAGAACTCAATGTAAACTAAAACAGCTCGACCTCCGCTGACAGAAAACCTCCAGTTTTCATAAAAATCGTATTTTGTGGGGATTTTAGTGTCCCTTTTCATCCTGAACTTTTTTTCTTCTTAAATCCTTCGGTTTTCTTTAAATCCACACTTTACTGCCACAAACTCTGCTCCTTTCCTTCCCGCTCTGACTCCGCTCTACCACTGCTCTGATCAGCAGCTTTGATTGGTCTGAGCGCGGTCGAACCCCTCTGTGCACGTGCATGAGAGCCACTCACGCGTATGTGGCGCAATGAATCATGGGAGCTCGTCCACTGCACAGAACCTGAACGATGCCCAAATATGGGCGAGTTCTGCTAATCTCTCGGTCTCCGTGAAGTCCCATGCGCTACTGAGCACAAGCCATTCATTTGAATAGGGCGCCATCTTGGATCACCGGGGCTTGGTTATGGAGCAGGAGAGAGGAGCTGGAAGCCAGGGGGAGCTGATGGCAGTGTCTTGGCCACCGCTGCTGACCCACCAATGTTGAGGGTGTTGCAGTTCAGGGTTGAAACACTCAATGATCATTGGATATCACCTGACGACATCAGTTCTCCCTGGCCAAGTCTGCATTTACCAAAAGTAAATGAAGAAGAAGCATGTTCGGATGTATTTGCAGTCATGTAATGATTATGAGGAGACCCAAGGAAGAATAGCCACTGTACCTCAGTGGCTCATAGGTATCTTAATAAACAAAACAAAACAAATACAAGTTTATTTAATGATAAATGGACCTAGAGTCTGAATAAAGAAATGATGATGACAATTTATCCTTCCTACAGAGCCTCCTCATGTTTCCTTGAACGTGGACTCCACTCTAACTTTGTCTGAAGACGAGGTGAAGAGAGTGGTTTGTGAGGCGAATGGCTTCTACCCCCTGGACGTGGACATACACTGGGCCCACAGGGGGAGCACAGAGGTGGGCCCGAAGGCTGTGAAGGCGATTTGGTTCTCCAGTCACTCCACTCACCGCAACGGGACGTACCGCCTCTTCGCCTTCTTCCACCTGCAGGCCAAACTCTGGAAATCAGGGAGAAAGTTCACCTGCTCTGTGTCGCACCACGCTCTCGCTGCTCCCATCAGGAAAACCTTCACTATCATTGTTACAGGTACTGGCTTTGGAGCAGTTTTGTTTCACTGGTTTTTAGAGATTCAACACGATGCACAATTATTGTGCAAAAGAAACTGCACAATTTAAATCCAGGTCCCCTCTTTTTCACTTTTCTGTCTGAAAAATTGGATCGAAAGAAGCCAAGTTGCAAGCATGTAAAAAACGAGTGAGAAACTGTTTTGAGAGCGAGGGAACACGGTAATTATTGCATCGTTCATTTTTGGTGGTTTTAAAAGCCGTAAGCAGTGCTATTCCATAAACTGAACTTTAGCTGTTCTAAAGCCTTGCACATGGGCAAATATGAACAATTTGAAGAAACGGAAATGGTTGGAAAGATTGCAATTATTGTTATTATACTTATTAAGATTGAAATAAGAATAATTTTATATCTGTTTTTTTAAAGAAGGAGTGTTGAGATAATAAAGTGATTGTTGTTTTTCAATGTTGAGACTTTTTCTGCACTTAACAAAAACAACCTCAAGAGAGCAGCACAACCAAAGTGTATTTTTCTGTGGGTCTGTGTGGACCATAGACTGTAAAGTGTGGACCATTATTGGATTGACGCTTTTACTACACATTTCCTAAGATATAATAATGCTTTGTATAACCGTGCTAACCTCAAATGACAACATAATATATGGTCTAAAAGGGTATCAAAGACCCAGGGCTGGGCAAGCTCAGAAAAAATCATAAAAATTCAGCATAAAAAAAATAGTTAGGGTATTTTTTAATCACTGTGGCAAGTGAAATTGACACGAGGCTAGCACAAGGAACTAACTAGCTTCTGATGAAAACCTAATAACCTATTTTTTGCATTTGTGTGGTCCAGAGCCTGGTCAGTGGATACTGATCTTCAATGTCTTCCTGCTGGTGGTTGTCGTGGTCCTGAGTCTACGCTACTGTCTCAGACGTGAGCAGTGCACTCTTCTCTTGTGCTAAGTGAGAAGACGGCTGTTCTTTTGATAAGCCCTGGGACTTTCTGGAATTTATGGATCAGTCGCTCCATCCACTGAAGTCCGGCTTTAGCTTGATTATTTGAGATTTTCAGATATTTGGGACTGGTTTGTTTTGGTCATTTTGTCCTCACTGTACTTGGTTTGTTTGTTTTTCCAAAAGATTTTTTTCTCAGGGAGATTTCTCATTGCTGACTCTGATTTCCTCCTCTCTTTTCATTGTGCTTATTGCTAAAATGTTTGACCCCCAAAACGGTAGAAAAATAATTAATCTAGTTTTGTTGTGAAATGAACTGAACACTACATTCATAAGACACCAGCTCATGTAGAGTGATAACGCACTGACTAACTATGCACTGACCTGTTATTTATTTTTCTATTGTTTGCATTGCTGTGGATTGAAGTGCTGTTTTGTGTTTTAAGATATTAATACAAGTGAAATAAAGGATCTCAGGACACATAGGAAAACTGTGAGTCTATTTATTGCACATTTATTTCTCTGTTAGTTGACTTTCCCACTTAAAGCTGTCTCCTCAGATAGTGTATTGTAAATCTGAACCATTTGGACAAAAGACAGGCTTAGTCAAATGTCTGTATCTGTTTTGTTTCCATCTTTATGAACATGTATGAGTCCCAGTGAAAAGAAAGTCAAAACACTGCAACACTTTTGTTCTCTTTCCTTTGATCAAAGTCATTGTTAAGGTAAAACATGACAATTATCTTTGGTCTCCTTGAAACAGACCCATGTTTTGTGTCTCAAACCTGATAAATTCACAATATTTCATCATGTTCAGAGCTATGTTCTTCCTCTAAAAACAAGAATATTGCCTCCAATTGAGTTTTGGGAATTTCTCAGTGGAATCTATACAATAGTCAGAGTGTGATTTCCCACCACCACATTGAGGTGTTTGACCACCAGGATCATAATGAGACAAATGCAGGTGAAACTTGGTACAGGACTTTAACTACTGTACAACTGTAGACTTGAAAGAAGTCCGTTTGTTGTGCTTTGGACAGAGCTGTTTGGTTATAACGACTTTTTGTGTGTTTTTCTGTTTCGAAAGCCAATCTAGGTTAGTACTTATTACTTATTGTGGTTTGCTAAGTGAGAGGAATGGGTTTTGTAGATCCTTTCTTTCACTGAAGCCAGGGGCACTTCAGTTTGTATATGTGCTTATCTTCAGCAAACCAAAATATCACTTTTAAAAACATTGAATGAATGCTATGTTAAATATTATATTATATGTATTGTATTGTATCTCATTTTAGTGGGTTTTTTTTCCTTTTGGATAAATCTCTCCCATTTATCCATTTGTACTCCAAACACAACACAAGTTAAAGGACTCATTATATTATGCAGAATTTGCTTTTTGGAACGTTGAATTTCCCAAAGTTTTCCAGCTTCTCACTTATGCGTTGTGGCGCCCCGTTGTGGAGGATATTGATATTACAGTGTATTTACGTTGCAAAAGTGAAAGCAACAATGCTGTGAAGCGCGACGCTTTACACAGATGGATTTCTTATGCTTCAAAAATGTTTTTTTTGTCTTCATGCTTAGAGGTGAGTAATGGTGTTTGACTTTGTTTTACCGGGGTCAAAGTATAATTCGGTGAAATATTAATAGAGGCAAATCTGAAGTGTCATAGTGCCATACTATCTCAAACAAAGAGCTACGAAGTATACTGCACTGTACATGTAAGTGACTAAATGTTAAAATGGCACCATCCATTCAGATTTTAGACTTCACATTCAGACTTTCATAGCTGCTTGATGTTGCTGAGCCTCCTTCATTTTAGTTGTACTAAAGTTGTTTGTGTTTTTGCTAATGTTGTCTGGGTATTTGCAGATTTCCTGAGTGCGTTTCAGATGTCCTTGCTGCCCTGTAGATTCACTGATGAGAAAGTGAGTTTGGATGCTAAAGGTCGCATAAACACTACACACATTCCCAGATCAGCTTTTCTGCAGTTTGGACTCAAAGACGATCGTCCAGTGAAGCCTGACGCTGTCACCTTTCTCATCACCCGTGAGTTTGTGCTGTATATGTTTCTGTTTCTGTATAAGTTACTTGTATATTATTTGCACTGGGGCTGGTCGTCTGGGGCTGTGGGGGTCTGGCTCTGGGACCTCGGCTTCATATCTCCTCTGGGTCCTGTGTCGTCCTCTGTGGCTGCAGGCGGCTCTCTGCTCCTGGGGCAGACGGCTCCTCGGATGGTGTTTCCACAGCTGGATTTACCTTCACTTTATAGTCTTGTCTGTAGTGTAGAAGTGTCCATGAGGCCTGATCTGGTCAGATCTCAGGAGCAGTGTGGGGAATGCTAGTGTTGTGATGTGAAACCACTGTGACATCCAGAGGTTCAATGGGCGCTTTCACACTGGTTCTCTTTAAACGGACCAAGGCGGGTTCACTTTTACAGGACAAATCTTGTTCAGTTGGGGAAATATGCTTCACAAACCTCTTATGTAAAGGAGAGGTTTCCCCACACAAAGAATTGGTTTAGTAGTCTACCTGCCAAGTGAGTGAATCATTGAATTGAATAATTGAAGTGAGCAGCAGTGGCCTTACCAGCCAGACCGTCAGAAAGTAGAGGGTCTGGCTGGTCTGGCTACATCAGCGGGGCAGATGATGCAGATTTGCTGCCCCACTTCTGTCAGTCTACCCTAGGGCAGCTATGGCTACAGTACTTGCCTACCACCTGTGGGTGTAATGAAAGGTTCTTAACTTAATGAATGCCATGTCTACCCTTTTGGTGTGTGCATCTGCGTTTGACTGATTGACAAATGTTGTTTTATTTTTGTCATTATTATTAGCTTCTAAGTTGGATTTGCGTCGGGTGCTGGCGGGAGCAGAGGTGGGTCAGTTGTCCTGTGAGCTGAAGCGGTACAGTACAGATGGGTCCCACGTCCGCTGGCCTGTCAAAGGAGAGCACGAGTACAATCGCTGGTTCACAGTAACGATCTCTCACACCAAAAAACTGTTTAAAATCATGGCTTTCATCCGGCAATCCACTGACCAGCCTCCGACAGGAGAGGACGACTTCAAGAGCTGGGCAGTCATCAAAGACAAAGAGGTGCTCACCACATCAGGTAAAACTCTTAATGAGACGGGTGTTTGAGTACATCTTCTGTAAGACGTTTTCACACTGACCAAAAGCTTGTGTTTTTTGAGTAACATTACCATTGCACCTGGGCAAGGCAAGGCAGGTTTATTTATATTGCACAGTTCATAAACAAGGCTACTCATGTCAGGTAGTGAAAACAAAAGATGGAACATGCAGGACTGCAAATAAAAGTGAAATTTAATCCAAACCAAATCCAGGATAATTATCAAACACAAAAATTCAACACAAAAAAACAATAGACTGACAACAAGAGGAGAGGAGTACAGGGGACAGATACACAAACAGAGACACAGGGGATATACAACAGGGTGAGGCAGGAAAAGAAACTCAAAACAAACCAGAATTACAAAATATAATCCTAAAAGACCCTCACCATGACAACTCAAACTGCCCGTTCCTCACTCAATCCCTACACTTTCCCTAAAAGCCCTAAATGTTTCAATATTTCGATCTCACGTTATCTTCATTTGTGTTTCCTGTGCAGTGTCGATGATGATGCAGACCCAGACCCCAGTGGTGAACTCCACTCTCAAATTCCAACCTAAACTACACTGTCAGTTTGAGGTTGACCATAAGTCCCCTAAAGTCATACTGGAGTGGCGGAAACATCACAGAAGGAAGGCTCTGTTCAGTTCCCAGCTTCCTTCAGGACAAGGCCAGGGTTCTGGAGTGTCACTGGAGCAGCTGAGAACAGGAGACGCCTCGTACACAACGGCTCCCACTGAAACCAGCAGCGAGGGCACGTACCTCTGCAACGTGGACGTGCATCCTCTGCTGGGGAGTCTGTCTGTGGAGCTGCAAATACAAGGTATAAAATAAATACAAATAATACAAAATATACTCTTTTATACCATTTAGAGGTGTTACATCAACTTCATACGGCTCTTGACCTGTTCAATGTCCATCTAAACTAACAAGGAATGCAAGTGCAAAACTCTTGAGCAGAGCCCGGGGTAATCTGTACATTGGGGAAAATATTAGTCATACACCACACATCTGGCCTTTATGGACAAGTGGCAAGACTGCATTCTCGCCTTAAGTCATGTGGGGGACACATTCAACATGTGGAAGAAGGGGCTGTGGTCCAAAATGTAATGTTTTGGCACAAATGCATTACATTAAACATGGCACAAAACTTACTGCTCATCACCCTCAGTGTAACATCATCTGTCAAATGGGGGGGTGGAGCATCAGAGCATCATGCTATGGGGCTGCTTTTCTTCAGCAGAGACTGGAAGGATTGTAAATTGATGGAATTGATGGTGTGAGTCAGCAAAACACAAGAAAGAACTACAATTAAGGAATTGCTGCTGAGCAAATCGTTCAATCTCTAGATCCTCAAAAAACTGACTGTGATTGCAGCATTAGGGGTTTCCACAAAGTAGGCAAGGCAAGGCAAGGCAAGTTTATTTATATAGCACAATTCATACACAAGGCAATTCAAAGTGCTGAACAAAATAAGAAAGCATTAAAATCATAAATTATCACAGAACATTAAAAAGAAAGATGAAAATATAAAATCCCTCAGTTGTATGCACAGTTAAACAGAACTGTCTTTAACCTGGTTTTAAACATTGTCAGAGAGGAGGCCTGTCTCACATCTTCAGGAAGACTGTTCCAGATTTTAGCAGCATGAATCTGAAAAGCAGCCTCCCCATGTTTAGTTCTGACTCTGGGCACTAACAGGAGTCCAGTCCCTGTGCTCCTCAGAGTCCGGGCTGGTTCATATGGGACTAACATGTCACTAATATATTTTGGTGCGAGGCCATGGAGAGACTTGTACACAAGCAGAGCTGTTTTAAAGTCTATTCTCTGAGCCACAGGAAGCCAGTGCAGAGACCTGAGAACTGGACTAATGTGGTCGTACTTCCTGGTTCTAGTCAGAGTTCAAGTATGAACTCATTTTGTACAAATACCTCCAAGCGCCACTTTTCAGCTTTTAATTTAAAAGAAAATAAATCATATAATAGTATATAGTATAATTTTGCTTTCACTTCACAGATGTCTGTTGTGTACTTTTTTGATATTTCTAGAAAGCAAAAATACAATCTTGTATGTTTGTGGTCCTAAACATGTCAGAAGTTGCATTAGTACTTCTGCCTGCTTTAAAAATACTCAAATAAAATCCAACTTCAGGGAAGTATAATATGGACCCAGAGTCTGAGTAAGGACTTGATGATCTCTCTTTGCTACAGAGCCTCCTCATGTTTCCTTGAACGTGGATTCCACTCTAACTTTGTCTGAAGACGAGGTGAAGAGAGTGGTTTGTGAGGCGAATGGCTACTACCCCCTGGACGTGGACATACACTGGGCCCACAGGGGGAGCACAGAGGTGGGCCCGCAGGTGGACACGGCTCAGCTCTCCAGTCACTCCACTCACCGCAACGGGACGTACCGCCTCTCCGCCTTCTTCCACCTGCAGGCCAAACTCGGGAAGTCAGGGAGAAAGTTCACCTGCTCTGTGTCGCACCGCGCTCTCGCTGCTCCCATCAGGAAAACCTTCACTATCATTGTTACAGGTACTGGCTTCTGCTTCACTGGTTCTTAGGGATTCAACGATTTAAAATGTTATTGTTTACAAATTATTATCATGCTAAAGCTAGAAATTACTCTTGCTTTACTTACTAGTGATACTTGCTTCTTTTTAAGCTAACGTTAGAGATTTTATTTCTATGTTATTTTATGCAGTATAGAGTTATTGTTAATTTATCTAGTGCTGTGTGCTCCTCATGCCTACTGTTCTGTAACTGGTGATGCAACCTTGAAATTTCCCCACTGTGAAATGAATGAACTACTGTATCTATAAAAGGTACTTAGGAGGATTTTCCCAAATTTTAGGAAAGAACCGCTCTTTCCACTTTTTGAACAAAACTTTCTGGTCTTATTTGACGAGCACGTATCACCAGAATAATTGACAACTGGGAAGCCCAATAGTCTTGATGATCCACCCGGAAGTAGAAAATACTCCTTTTTTGTGGTTTTTAAAAGCAGTAAGCAGTGCTAAACTATTAAAAGAAATATTAACTATTTGAAAAAAAACTGCTATGTTTGGGAACACTTAAGATGACTGTAAAATAGGAATACTTTTATATCAGTGTTTTCTCAGTCGCTTTTCAATATTTAACAATTTAACTTATAATGAAGTGTTGGGTAAAAACGTTAGAATAAATTAAATTGGTTGTTTTCCTTAGAAAATAGATTATATATAACCTGTCTTGAAAGTCCATCACCATCAAGGCTGAAAGTTATTGATAATAATTGAAAATAATTTTAGGAGCCTCTAAAAAGAGTGTCTGGTCTAAAGTTTCCAGTAATAGTTGTCTTTCAATGTTGATACTTTTTCTGCACCAACAAAAACAACCACAAGAGGGCAGCACAACCAAAGTGTAATATTCTGTGGCGACCATTAGTTGATTTACGTGTTTTTCTGCACATTTTAAAAGATATAATAATACTTTGCATAAATAACTAGCTTTTGATAGAAACCTAATAACATATTTGTGTGGTCCAGAGCCTGGTCAGTGGATTCTGATCTTCAATGTCTTCCTGCTGGTGGTTGTCGTGGTCCTGGGTCTACGCTACTGTCTCAGAGGTGATCAGTGCACTTTGCAAATGAAACTTTAAATGTATATGAAATGTATTTATGATTTCTCTTGTGCTCAGTGAGAAGACGGCGGTTCTTTTGATGAGCCCTGGGACTTTCTGGACTTTATGTAACAGTCGCTCCATCCACTGAAGTCCGGCTTTAGCTCGATTATTTGTGAGGTTCAGATATTTGAGACTGGTTTATTGTCGTAATTTTGTCCTCACTGTACTTGGACACGTCTGTTTTTCCAAAAGGTTTTTTTCTCAGGGAGTTTTCTCATTGCTGACTTTGATTTCCTCTTCTCTGTTCATTATACTTAGCTCACAAAGTCAACCTTCGTTTTTGAATGTACACATTGTGTTGTGTGATTGAAGCCAAATCACATCTGGGAGTACAAATGTTTTGACTAATTATGCTGAAAATCATCTGCTATTGGAAAATCGTTTGGCCGCAAAAACATTTGAAAAATTATGAACAAAATCTGACTTTGTTGTGAAATGAACTGAACACATATATCTATCCAGCTCATGTATAGGCTGTAATGCACTGATTTGTTGTTATTTATTTTTCTCTTGTTTTCATTGCCATAAAATAAAAAAAATAAAAAAAAGGATTTACTAGGATATTACAGTGAGTCCCTCTCACTGTAATATTACAAATAACTGGTGTGCTCATCAGTAAACTATAACGGAAATATCACAGATTGTGTTTTATTCAGAATTAGTAGCTCTCAGTACATTTCTCGTTTAATTAAAGCAACAGTACGTAACTTTCAAATGTCACCTGCATCAATGGAAGCAAAACGTTTAAGCAATTCTATACGACTCTCAGACAAATACATTTAAATTCACTTACCTTGTGTTGTGTGCTCCTTATTCCCTCTGTTTTGTAACTTGTGATGCAACACTGACATTTCTCCACTGTGGGACAAGTGCAGGATGTCAGGGCCAATAGGAATCAGCTTCAGAACACACATTTTAATGCAAAAGTCAAAGAGAACATGCATCATTTTTAAGATAATATTGAATAGGCTCTGATTTTAAAGCTGAGATACCTGGCTTTAAAACCACAATACAAATGGACTATGTTATAATATCCTTCAGTTTGGCTCTATCTCTAGTCTTCACATGACTTTTCCCTCTGCCACTTTTGTAGATCTGATTTTTTCCAGACAGAACAGAGAAAAGACAGGACCATCCTCTCTCAGCCAATCAGCTCTCATCTCAAAGTGTCTAATAGTGACTCACGGGGAAAGTATGCAAAAGATGACATGTTTTCTTATCAGACGAAGACGTGATGTTGAGGTCTGATTTGACGTTTTACTTTGAAAGAACAATCTTTGAGTTGAATACAAAGTTAGGTATCCCAGCTTTAATAGCTCTGTCTAACGGCATAGCAGAGGTTGACATGAACAGATGTGGTCTTTATGTGGTATATTGAACATAATTTTGGACACGCATTTGATTCAAACAAGAAAATACCACAGTCATTTATCATATGTCATTCTTGTCCAGTCAGGTGTCATTTGGAATGTGAAAGCAATCTTAGAGCACTCCAAGAAAAATGTCTTGGGAACCACCATCTACAGCCGATGCTTAAAAGTTATGGCTAAAAATATAAGCCCACTATAAAATCTAATTGAACCCTCGGGAAATAGTGTTGTTGTAGCATGTAAAACTAGAAATTGTACAAAGGTTGAAAACATTCTCAGTGACTTCATACATTAAACAAGATCAAAGTACTAAAAAACACAAAAAGCATTTGAAACCTAACATTATAATAGACAGGAAAAAGGACAACTTGTAGGACTGCGAATAATGCGAAAACTACAAAAAGGTAAAAGTCCCAAAAATATTGAAACGAGTCCCACAGTTATGAAGAACAGAAAAGTGAAAGAAATACGGAAAATAAAAACTCAAAAGGAGCTGAAGACAAAAGAACTTTCTGTTGAAATCAATGGCAACGTGAAGTACTTGAACGTACTGCAAATACTGAAAGACTTATAGTAAAAAAGTGAAGTTCAAACACAAAAAAATATTCAAAAAACAAAAATAATTAAAAAAACTAAGAATTGTATAAGATTTTAAAACCTCCCATTATAAAAGTTTGGAAAAAGTAAGACTTGAAGTACAAATATTTCAAATACTACAAACAATACACAATCTAAAAGTCAAAGCCCGCATGAGACGATGAAAACAAACAAAACGACACATTGATCACGCCATAACCTGACGGAAGACGATAGAAGAAGAATCACACTACAAAAACCTTATACCTGCTTCTTATGCCAACTGTAGAGATTGTGTACTTCTTTATTACGCTAAAGTCAGAGTTTCTGTACTCCTTATGGTAATGATAGAGATTTTATACTTGTTTCTTCTTCTTGCATAAGTTAGAGATTTTTTGTATTTTATTTAATTTTTTACAGAGTTATTTAATTTTTTAGAGTTACAAAGTCCAACTGCTTTGTAACTGGTGATGCAACACTGAAATTTCCCCGCTGTGGGGCGAATAAAAGATCTCTTAATCTCAATCTTAAAAACAAATATTAATAAGTATTTGTAGTCACTTGATGTAACTATAGAAATGACTTAGTATGTGATAGATCCATGGTATAGTCCAGTCAGGTCTAATGGGCAGAGGAGTCCTGGCCTCTGTACTTCCTGCTGGGATAAACACTGCTGTGGTCTGGACTGGTTCCAGATGGGACCCGACTGCGAGTGTGAGTTTTACAAGATGGTTATCAGAGAAATGGTGTGTCTTTGTAAACGGATGGACGGAGGAATCACTTGCATGTAAACAGAAAAGATAAGATTTTACAAATGTTTACATCTCCACAGCCCACGTGCAAAGATCTTAATGTCAGTTGGTCGAGCATTGACCTTTGAGCCTATAGGTTGTGGGTTCGAGCCCATCGTAAGACCTACTTCATGACTCCCACTGATGTCTGCTGTCGTTGTGTTCTTGGGCAAGACACTTAACCCCACTTTGCCTGAAGCCCCTGCTGAAAGATCAAGTCTCCTGTGGACTCACCACCTGCAGGAGAATCAGTGAGGGGCTGGTGCTTTGTGTACTGGGTGCGGCTCTGACTGCCACCCTCCCGACCCAGAAATGGATTAAGGGATCTTTGCCAATACACTACAAGTAGTAGCTTGCATTAAATACTAGTAGCCATGTAGATTTAAATTGCGCAAGAATCCTTCCCCTATATCCAGACTTACGTATGTTCAATTGTCAATTTTGCGTCGTTCCGACTCAAGTAGCTGCATTAATCTAGCCGTAGATTAATGCCAGAACCTCCCTATCCAGACGTCATGTCAATTTCCGACTGCCTGGTCGTTCCAGGCTAAGCTATGCAATTATTATACATATAAACAAATCTGTATAAATAATATAAACAAAGAGCATTGGCCTTAAGGCCAGAAGGTCGTGGGTTCAATTCCCACCTCTGCACCTTCTCCATCGACTCCCACTGATGACTGCTGTTGTTGTGTCCTTGGGCAAGACACTTAACCCCACTTTGCCCAAAAGCCCTCACTGAAAGATCAAGGCTATGCTCACACTCAGAGAGCAGCCGTCCTCCTGTGGACTCACCACCTGCAGAGGGTCAGTGAGGGGCTGGTGCTATGAGACTTGGGTGGCATCTCTGACTGCCACCCCCCTGACCCAGAAATGGATTAAAGGGTAGAAAATGGATGGATGGATGGATAAACAAATCTGCAGTGAAATTCCTGTGGTACCAGTCTGAGCTCAGTACAACGTTCACTCAAGTGTAAACAGGTGCATCTGGAGACTGTCCATGTCTTTAAATGAGACTTTCAAAATGTACAAACTCATTCATCTTGTAAAGGGTGTTATGAAGTAGCTGAATCCTCCCAGGAAATACACATGTAAGGCTGGGAATATTCCACAGGATCTATGGCATTAAAATCAGTCCAACTTACAAGTTAGATCTATAGAGAGGCGATCACACTCACAGTATGATTTTATTTATTTTATTTTATTTTATTTATTTATTTGTTTCAATTGTGGACAAAAACAATACTACACATATTACAATTAAATTTCAAATAATTGTCGTCTTGTCGCACAAATGAAAAGGAGCAGAAAGAAGAAAAAAAAATCTTATGTTGCCTGCCCCTTTCTTCATACATGTACAAATTAAATAAAATAATTAAAAAAAAGAAACAAATAAGATGGCCTTTAGCACTTCTTCAAACTGTTTTTATTTTATGTGTTTTTGTTTTCATGATTCTTTGTTTTTTATTGTTTTTTATAATCATTCATTTCGTACGATTTCACTGTTGTTGCTTTGATTTTTTTTTTATTTTAGCTTAAGATATCTGAAGTCTGGCTTACGTTGGCTAAAAGATGGAGGCCCCCTCACTTGCCATCAATGGGCCATGACATCTGAACATATTGCCTATTTTGAGCAGTGTGTGTTTTGAATTGAACAATACATTTATTTTTATTATAAGCAATTAGGAGCCATAATTCTAATCTAATTCTAGATGGACAATGCTAACACTCTAGCTCAAAGTTTTTCCAAACTCCCTACGGCTCCTAATGACTTACAATGAACATGAATTTAGTATGTGTGTGTGCGTGTGCGTGTGCGTGTGAGTCTATTTGGAGCTCTCTACTCACATAAAAATATCAAGTTATTTCTGTACATGTTATGTATGGGTGGCACGGGGGATGAGTGGATAGCACTTTTGCTTCTCAGCAAGAAGGTAATGGGTTCGAATCCCGGTCAGAACAGGGCCTTTCTGAGTGGGATTTACATGTTCTTCCCGTGTTTGTGCAGGTTTCCTCCGTGTGCTCCGGTTTCCCCTATCACTAAAAACATGTATATTAGGTCTGGCATGCGCCTCCTGTACTGGTGACCCCGCTCCCATCTACAGTAGGTGTAGAGTGAGGGACAAATGCCCACAAATGTAAATTACATTGTGACTCTGGTCTGGTTTTTTTACTACGTAAAATTTGTTTTTGTCTAATATAAAATAAAAATGGTCAAAGATAAATATATTTGAAGTCATAAATGCACCCACAATTAAATTCCAAGAAGAGCAGTGACGTCTTAATAGAGAAATAGTGACACGTGACATAATTACAGTGATTTTCCATTGTTTTCAGGGTGTCTGTCAGTGATTAGAAACCAATCAGAGTAAATTGTGTGCGACACGTGGCTCTCGCACACAGTGACAGGTCGGCAATAACACAGCTGAGTTCAACACAACGTTTATTTTTAGAAGCAAATCAGTTCATTATCATCAGTGCTTTTCCCGACAGACCTTGAAAAGTCTTTAGGCCCACGCTTCACTGACCGCCTCATGTGTGACCAGCACCACCTTATCGGCAAAACGTTCTTGCCTGAATTAAGGTTAAGGTATATTTAACTGTAGTAAAATCTGTCCTCTGTATACTGTATGACCGAGCCTTCAACTGTCAGGAGCAGCGGTCAGGAGCAGTGGTCAGGAGCAGTGGTCAGGAGCAGTGGTCAGGAGCAGCGGTCAGGAGCAGTGGTCAGGAGCAGTGGTCAGGAGCAGTAGTCAGGAGCAGTGGTCAGGAGCAGTGGTCAGGAGCAGTGGTCAGGAGGAGTGGTCAGGAGCAGTGGTCAGGAGCAGTGGTCAGGAGCAGTGGTCAGGAGCAGTGGTCAGGAGGAGTGGTCAGGAGCAGCGGTCAGGAGCAGCGGTCAGGAGCAGCGGTCAGGAGCAGCGGTCAGGAGCAGTGGTCAGGAGCAGTGGTCAGGAGCAGTGGTCAGGAGCAGTGGTCAGGAGCAGTGGTCAGGAGCAGCGGTCAGGAGCAGCGGTCAGGAGCAGCGGTCAGGAGCAGTGGTCAGGAGGAGTGGTCAGGAGCAGTGGTGTCGTGGGAGTTTCTATCCACAGTAAGGAAAAAGCTGGAAAGGTATTTGTCTTAATCAGGAGCGTAAGTTTATTGTAACACACGTGCGGAGAACTCACATACACAAAATAGCGTACATCAGTTCTGCCGGGGCCAGTCCCAGGTCCCCGTTTACATAGGCAACACATGAAAGACAGTCACGCCCACAAAAGGTGGGAGGGGTCACAGTTTGAGACGGGCATCCAGATGGCGGGGCGCCTTGCCTGGTGAGAGACAATCTTTGTGCCATGGAGATGCAAACAGAAGGGACAATAGACATGCAGAATGTAAAAGGGACATAGAGATGCAGACATACGGACCGATAGAGATGCAAAATGCAAAAGGGGCAAAGGTGAGATAGTAATTTGCGTCATGTCTGTCGGTGCAGGGGGGAGACCGGTTCCTTCCTGCAGGTTAATTGAATAGAACAGCGGGGGGTGAGTTGGCGTCCTTGAGGCTAACCAACTTGCCATAACACTCCTCTCCCGTGATAATGTAGAAACCCCAGTTTTACAGAAATCACATTCAGGTGGGTGAGTTTTGACCTTGGTCTCTGAGCAAAACAAGAGTTGTTGATGGACAGGCTACGCTGCCGTCACCCAAGCCTCTTGTATTACGAGGGTGTGGTCAAAGCTCTTCACTGTGATACCCTCCCCCTAAATTGTAGGCGGAACAAGTGGAAAAATAAAAACAAGGTAAACAAAAAAGAAAAACGTTAGACAAAGTCGTCGTCCGAATCGCTGATATAATCAGGATCGGGGTTCAGTGGGACAGCGGCCAGGTCCGCCTCAGGGTCTTTGTATTGAATGGACACAAAGTGAGTGGATATCATTTTACCAACGGCCCGAAACACCATAGGTAATAAACACGGTCAGCACGGAAAGTACTGTCAGCGTGGCCAGCATAATAGTCCAAGGGCCCATGCCGGTCTTAGCCGGACTACATTCGGTAGTCTTTTTCGCGGGAATGCTCACGAGTAGTGCCGTCTTGCAGTCAGTGGCACCGCTCCCTCTGAGCGTGTGTGGAGCGTTAGTGGTCATGGCGATGTTTGGTCTTGGAGCGGCAAGACTCTAATCGCGTTGAAGCCTTGGCCTCAGCACTCGGTTGGGCAGAGTGCTCGGGGTTTGGGGTGTGGCCTTGGGGTCCGGGGGCTGGGGAGTTGGGCAAAGGGGGGTCGCCTCGGGATTCGGACGCAGGGGAGTTGGGGCGATGTGTTCTTCCGGGGGTTGCGCCTCGGGAACGCTGGGATTCTCTGGGTGTTGTTGTTGGCCTGCTTCACCGACGGTGGTCGCACGCCGGCCGACCTCTTCAGCGTAGGGAGCCGCGGATGGGCCTGGTCCGCCCCCACCCTCGGTGTCCTCGTCTATGGCCCTCAGTGGCAGCACCGCACGACAGTGGTTGGCGTGGATCCAAGTTGTCCTCTCCGCGATCTTAACGGCAGTGTCCGTCACCAGGAGGACGAGGAATGGGCCCAGCCAGCGCTTGGACCGCCAATGTTTTCGTCTCGTTTCCTTCACCAGGACCCAGTCGCCTGGCTTGATCTTGTGCAGAGCCGCCTGCGCAGCCTGTGGCAGGGCGCTCCTGACCTGGGCAGAAATAGAGGACAAAAGTGCATTAATTTCCTTACAATAGGACAGCATGTCGTCATCACACAAAGAGGTGCTTGGCAAATCTCTGGTCGGGGGTCCCGCGCCCAAGTTGGGCGGTCTGGCAAAGAGGATTTCGAATGGGCTTAGGTTTGACCCTGACCTGACTCTCATGCGCATGTACATGAGGGCTAGCGGCAGAGCTTTGATCCAAGACAGGTCTGTCTGTTCGCAGATTTTAACAAGTTTGTTTTTCAGAGTGCCATTCTCTCGCTCGCACGCGCCTCCGCTCCAGGGGGCGTAACTGCAGTGTTTACGTATATCAATGCCCAGAAATTCACCTACTTCCTCAATGACTTTTGCTACAAAGTGACTGCCATTGTCAGAGATTTTTTCCGGGACACCCCATCGTGGCACAATTTCTGTGAGCAGAGCTTTCACCACCGCGTTGCTCGTGGCGTGTTTGCATGCAAATACTTCAGTCCATTTGGACCAGAGATCCACCAGAACCAGACAGTATTTCTTACCTTGGCATGGTGTGAGTTCAACAAAGTCCATTTGGACATGTTGAAATGGGCGCAGGGGCGGAGGATGGGCAGCCTGTTGGATAATTTGGGACTTACCCGGGTTGTGCGCGAGGCAGATAGCGCATGTTTGGCAGAATCTCTGTGCAAATGCCGCAAACCCCTTCGTATACCAATTTTGTGTAATTAAGTTACACATCCCTCCTTTTGAGGCATGGTCTCGACCATGTGCTAAAATTGCAAAATGTCTGAAGAAATGCCGTGGTAAGCACGGTTTGAGGTCTGGTCCCAGCCACACACCATGCCGTCGTTGAGCCCCATTTCCCTCCCACAGCACCGTCTCTGCTGGAGTAGCCAGTGTCTGCATTGCTGACAGAGAGGAGAAAATATCAACGTCTTGAGTGAGGTAGTGTGTGTGTGTGGGCAGAGGTGAGTATGCCGCTGCCTTCGCTGCCTTGTCCGCGCGCCGATTCCCTGCAGAGATGGGGTCAGTGGCATTAGTGTGGGCCTGGCATTTGCATACAGCAATCTCTAAGGGCATCATCACAGCTTTCAGCAGACGTTCAACCTGTGTGGAATTAAGAATTGGTTTACCATCAGATTTCATGAAATTTCGGTGTTTCCACAGTGCCCCCCAGTCGTGCACCACAGAGAAACCATAACGCGTATCACAGAATATGTTAACAGTTTTGCCCGCTGCCAGCTCACAAGCCCTGGTGAGCGCGACCAGTTCAGCGGTTTGTGCTGAATGGTGGTGGGGCAAACTACCAGAGTCTACAGTATCAAAATCAGAACACACAGCATAGCCGACTCGGTTCTTCCCAGTGTTGTCACGTGACGCGGATCCATCTGTATAGAAAATCAAGTCAGGATTAGTCAGAGGCACCTCTTTCAGGTCTGGCCTGGGAGTGCATATCTGTTCTATTGTGGCGATACAGCAGTGTGCCTCCCCTTCCTCTGGCGTGGGCAGCAGTGAGGAGGGGTTCAGCTGTGTGCATCTTTTCACCGTGACATTGGGGAGTTCAAGGAGCACCGTGTTGTATTTCAGCCAACGAGCCGCAGAAAGGTGAGAGGTTTTCTGCTCTAGCAGGATCAGGGAAACAGCATGGGGCACAAGCAAAGTTAGTTCAGTGTATCCCACAAGGTCACGTGATGCTAGGACCGCTTTCTCAGCGGCAGCCACAGCCCGCAGGCAGCGAGGCAACCCTGCTGCCACGGGATCGAGTTTTGCTGAGAAGTAAGCAGTGGGTCTCAGTGGCCCTCCGTGAGACTGCAAAAGTACCGACACCATGCACCCACACCGCTCATCCACAGTCTGAGTGAATGGCCGGGTTGGGTCAGGGAGACCTAGTGTGGGCGGGCTTTGTAGGGCAATTTTCAGATCACAGAAAGATTTTTCAGCTTCTGGGGTCCATGTGATCCTGTCACATGTGCGCAGACCCTTCCCATGTATGAGTGCACCGAGCGGAGTTTCCAATACTGAATAGTTGGGAATAAACTGTCGACAGTAGGAGCACATCCCTAAGAATGACATTAATTGTTTTTTTGTCTGGGGTTTCGGAAGGTTTTGGATTGCCGCCACTCTGTTGGTGGAAAGGCTTTTGCCGTGTTCAGAAATCACGTGGCCAAGGAAGACAACTTCCTTCTTCACAAACTGTAATTTGGACAAACTAGCTTTGTGACCTTCTGCATGCAGATGCTTAAGTAAGGTCACAGTGTCGGTTTCGCATGTTTTCTCGTCCAAAGCACAGAGTAAGAGGTCGTCGACGTACTGGAGGAGCGCCGTGCCTGGCGACAGAACCAACGGGGCCAAGGATTCACGTAAGGCCGCATTGAATATTGTGGGTGCATCGCGGAAACCCTGGCAGAGGCGGGTGAAATTATATATGCGCCCACCAAACGAAAACGCGAACCAGAATTGGGAATCTCTGTGCACTGGAACAGAGAAAAACGCATTAGCCAAATCAACAACAGAGAAAAATTTTGCCTCAGGCGGAACCTGACTCAGGATCGTGTATGGGTTTGGTACCACTGCCACCATGGGAGCCACAGCATCATTTACAGCTTTAAGATCATTCGTAAACCGCCATTTTTCAGGCGCTCCTGGTTCAGTGTGTTTTTTTACTGGGAGGATAGGGCTGCAAACACCCCCGGACTTGCAAGGGACGACTACACCATTCTCCCGTAGCGCTTCGAAGACTGGTGTAATTCCCTTGATAGCCTCCTCACGCAAAGGATACTGCTTCCTGCACGGACGGAAATCAGATTTAGGCACAATTATAACCGGCTCGCAATTTTTTATGAGGCCCACGTTGGTTGGACCTTTTGCCCAAAGTCCCTCTGGGACCGCGCGAAGTGCAGGCGTGGCCTCTGCATCCGCTGCTGACAGCATGAGCTCTGTCCCCCGTGGGACTGAAGTCATGCTGTCATGATCAAAACACACATGTCGGCTTGCTGCGAGAGAAGACTTAAAAGGGCTTCTCCATGCGTTAGCATTTTCAGAGAACCACGTGTCCTCATCTTGGACCTGTGTCCAGTCCCCAGCATTGCTACACTTATCAATAAGGACAGAGGCCTCACTCCACGCTGCAGTCGTGGGTTTGGACAAAGCTATGTGCAAAGCGGGGCATAGTGGGTCGATAAAATGTTTTTGTTGCTCATTAAGTAACACAGATACCATAGAGTAGTGCCTATCCCAATAAACATACTCCGTTTGTAGCCTATCTTCGCTACACTGAAGCCATGAGTTTTCAAACTCCAAGTTATTGTCTGGGAACGACCGGAGAGAGCAGCTTAGGTCGTTCGCGTGGTTGACCTCCAAATTTTGTGCGGGCTTAACTCTATCCACTGTTGTGGCTAATAACTTAGCAATCTCAGGGTTTGGTGTCAATTTCCAGTGGTAGTTAACTTTTGGGACCGGTGCCTCCTTGTGCATGCCGGTGAAACATGGAGCATTTGCTAGGTCACTAGCGTGTACCCACCGTAGGCCGCTTGGTGTTGAGAGCAGATTTAAATTGAGTCTGCACATAAGGTCTCGGCCTAGTAGATTAACCGGGCACAATGGGGAATATAGAAACGAATGTTTAAGCTGGTTGCCCTGAGAATCAAAACACGTTAGCGGTGACGTAAATTGCTCTTTTAGTCGTCTCTCCCGACGCTGCTAATGAGAATGTGAAACGGCCACTCATTTTAGGGGAGACAGAAAGGCTGTCACTTTTTAGCACAGAATTTGTTGCCCCGGAATCAACTAGAAAAGTAACTTTTTCGCCACAGATTGTTAGCGTATGTTCCGGAAATTTAGCATGAATTTTCTCAAAAAATGTGTACGTGCCGATTGCAGTTGGTTCAAACTTACGTGAAAGATGAGTGATCGCTTCGGTGACGTGTATGTGTGCGTTACCCGGTAGATGAGTCTTCCGTACGGTTTCCTTCGTGGCTCCCCTGTGTTCACCGCCAGCCCGCTGTCTGTCCCCGACTAGTCAGTCCGCCTCGTGGCGCATCTGGTGGTTGCCGTGTTGTGAGCCTTCATCCTTGTTCCGTTGTTTTTCTCCCATCCCTTTTTGTCCTTTTTGGAAATGTCTTCCAAACAAAAAATTGCATGTTTGGCGTGCATAAGTAGTTCCTTTATCTGTGGTCCGTCATCAAATGCGACATACGAGTCCCGCACCTTTAAAGCCACCTCTGGTAACAGTCCTTCGACAAATCTGGAGCATAAATAACCGTTGTAAACGGGATTGTCCTTCTCCTCCCCGTCCGTTGCACCTGGGAGCTTCGGGGGTACACCAGAGTGTTCATTGAACACAGACAACAGGCGGCTATAGTACTCCTCGACCCTTTCGCCTTTTTCCTGCTTGCATTTAGACAGGATGGTTAGGTCATATTTGCGTGGAAAAACTGCTGCCAGCCCGTCACACATTTTCTTTATGGCAGTCAAATATGCTCCGGAGTCTGACTCCACAATCTCTTTAGCCCGTAGTCCTGGCTCTGGCAAATATGGCTTAAATTTCCCAAAGTCCGCAGGCGACATCTTGTAAACGAGAACCCGAGCGCACTCCGCTCCTGAGGGCTTGTATTCGCGACAGAAAGCGAGCAGGTCTTCGCTGAATTTTGAGCAGTTTGTCTCTGGCCGTGTAGACAGCAGTTGCGAAGCGGATAAAAACTCGCTCGGCCCCCAGGGTCTGAAGACCAGCGCCGGTCCTTCTCGGCCCACCATCTCTATCATGGGGAAAGTGGCGACGAAGTGATTTGTGGGCCTCGGTTCCCGCCGGAGCGTTTCCCTGCTCCATCGCGGTTCTGCTTCCGGCGCTTCTCCTTCTGCTGCTGCCGGCGCGGGGCCCACTTCCTGTGGGGCGTCAGCAAGTGCGAGAGGCTTTGTGAGGCACTGACGTGGTTGGCTCTGGCGCGGCGGTGTTCCAGGCGTAGGACAGGGGCCGGTTTCATACAGCGGGGCCACGGAGGAAAGCGTGGACAAATCTGGGTAGAGAGAGAGAGAGGGCACAACAGTAGTCTGCACATTTTTTAACACAGCGCTTTGCTTGGGCGCGTACTTAGCATGGAGTTCTGCTCCTTCTGTGAAAGGGTTAGTAGGTGAGAAAGGGCGGTAGGGTGGGGGGTGTGTGGGATGTGTGTCCGCCTGTGTGTCCGCCTGTGTGTCCCCCCCCTCTGTGGAAGGCGGGGCAGCTATGGCTTTATTCGTCTTTTTGCGGTCCCGTTCTGTAGCTAAATCCTCCCACATGGCAAGACAGGTCTGGTGTTTCAGTATGGCCCTAACGTCTTCTGCTGTAATTTTCTTAAAACCAAGTATTTTTTCCCTTTCTTCTTCTAAATTTTCACGCAAGATGCGTAATTGATTCAAAGACATAGAACCTCCATCGGGAAAGCCGAATGAACTGCACCATATAGGCAGGCACTCCATTGCTTTAGATCCGAACCGTTTTTCCATTGCCATTGTTACGGGGGACGTTAACATTCCCCTCGGTGTGGCATCTCTAGATTGATTTTTCCCCATTTTCACGTACAGAACAATGGGCCTAGCCTCGCTTAGTCTCTCCCTGCTCTTCCTCACTTTGGAGCGATCCGTTCCCCCCCGTTAGTTCAATACACCTAACGGGCGCGCGTTTTTGAAACGGACCGGGCCTGGCTGAAGGCACAAAGAGTTCAGGCTTGCTTACAGAGCAATACTAACGCGCAGCCGCTAGGATTACCCGCACACAGTCTACGCTGTGGCAATGAATGAAATACCCCAAAAATACGTAAATAAATCAAATACCCGTGTACACTTAAGCGCTGCCCTGGGCTTGTTACGCAAATGAAAAGACAAAACTCACCAAATCAGGTTCTTTTATGGTCCTGTAGTCGAATAGTTTTTCCTGCGCGAGGCGAGCGGTGTCCCTCCCGTCTTCTCGTCAAATGCTAAGTGAGGTAGGGAGGCTGGTTTTTTGTAGTAAATCCCAGGTCGGCCAAACAACACACGATCGTCTCCACGCCGGAAAAAAAATCAGACATAGAACGTGCCAGCAACGCCAAATTGTCGTGGGAGTTTCTATCCACAGTAAGGAAAAAGCTGGAAAGGTATTTGTCTTAATCAGGAGCGTAAGTTTATTGTAACACACGTGCGGAGAACTCACATACACAAAATAGCGTACATCAGTTCTGCCGGGGCCAGTCCCAGGTCCCCGTTTACATAGGCAACACATGAAAGACAGTCACGCCCACAAAAGGTGGGAGGGGTCACAGTTTGAGACGGGCATCCAGATGGCGGGGCGCCTTGCCTGGTGAGAGACAATCTTTGTGCCATGGAGATGCAAACAGAAGGGACAATAGACATGCAGAATGTAAAAGGGACATAGAGATGCAGACATACGGACCGATAGAGATGCAAAATGCAAAAGGGGCAAAGGTGAGATAGTAATTTCCGTCATGTCTGTCGGTGCAGGGGGGAGACCGGTTCCTTCCTGCAGGTTAATTGAATAGAACAGCGGGGGGTGAGTTGGCGTCCTTGAGGCTAACCAACTTGCCATAACAGTGGTCAGGAGCAGTGGTCAGGAGCAGCGGTCAGGAGCAGTGGTCTGGCATGCGCCTCCTGTTCGGCGACCCCGCTCCCATCTCTGTGTGGAGTGAGAGACAAATGCCCAAAAAATAACAATTGTAAACCGCTTTGTGACTCTGGTCTGTGAAAGGCGGTATATAAATAAAGCTTACTTACTTACTTACTTACTTACAGGAGGAGTGGTCAGGAGCAGCGGTCAGGAGCAGTGGTCAGGAGCAGCGGTCAGGAGCAGTGGTCAGGAGCAGTGGTCAGGAGCAGTGGTCAGGAGCAGTAGTCAGGAGCAGCGGTCAGGAGGAGTGGTCAGGAGCAGTGGTCAGGAGCAGTGGTCAGGAGCAGCGGTCAGGAGGAGCGGTCAGGAGCAGTGGTCAGGAGCAGCGGTCAGGAGCAGTGGTCAGGAGAAGCGGTCAGGAGCAGTGGTCAGGAGCAGCGGTCAGGAGCAGTGGTCAGGAGGAGTGGTCAGGAGCAGTGGTCAGGAGCAGTAGTCAGGAGCAGCGGTCAGGAGCAGCGGTCAGGAGCAGTGGTCAGGAGCAGTAGTCAGGAGCAGTGGTCAGGAGCAGTGGTCAGGAGCAGTGGTCAGGAGCAGTAGTCAGGAGCAGTGGTCAGGAGCAGCGGTCAGGAGCAGTGGTCAGGAGCAGTGGTCAGGAGCAGCGGTCAGGAGCAGTGGTCAGGAGCAGTAGTCAGGAGCAGTGGTCAGGAGCAGCGGTCAGGAGCAGTGGTCAGGAGCAGTCGTCAGGAGCAGTGGTCAGGAGCAGTGGTCAGGAGCAGTGGTCAGGAGCAGTGGTCAGGAGCAGTAGTCAGGAGCAGCGGTCAGGAGCAGCGGTCAGGAGCAGCGGTCAGGAGGAGTGGTCAGGAGCAGTGGTCAGGAGCAGTGGTCAGGAGGAGTGGTCAGGAGCAGTGGTCAGGAGCAGTGGTCAGGAGCAGTGGTCAGGAGCAGTGGTCAGGAGCAGTGGTCAGGAGCAGCGGTCAGGAGCAGCGGTCAGGAGCAGTGGTCAGGAGCAGTAGTCAGGAGCAGCGGTCAGGAGCAGTGGTCAGGAGCAGCAGTCAGGAGCAGTGGTCAGGAGCAGCGGTCAGGAGCAGTGGTCAGGAGCAGCGGTCAGGAGCAGTGGTCAGGAGGAGTGGTCAGGAGCAGTGGTCAGGAGCAGTAGTCAGGAGCAGTAGTCAGGAGGAGTAGTCAGGAGCAGTAGTCAGGAGCAGTAGTCAGGAGCAGTAGTCAGGAGGAGTAGTCAGGAGGAGTAGTCAGGAGCAGTGGTCAGGAGGAGTAGTCAGGAGCAGTAGTCAGGAGCAGTAGTCAGGAGCAGTAGTCAGGAGGAGTAGTCAGGAGCAGTAGTCAGGAGCAGTAGTCAGGAGCAGTAGTCAGGAGCAGTAGTCAGGAGGAGTAGTCAGGAGCAGTGGTCAGGAGGAGTAGTCAGGAGCAGTGGTCAGGAGGAGTAGTCAGGAGGAGTAGTCAGGAGCAGTGGTCAGGAGGAGTGGTCAGGAGCAGTGGTCAGGAGGAGTAGTCAGGAGCAGTGGTCAGGAGCAGTAGTCAGGAGCAGTGGTCAAGAGCAGTGGTCAGGAGCAGTAGTCAGGAGCAGTGGTCAGGAGCAGTAGTCAGGAGCAGTGGTCAGGAGGAGTGGTCAGGAGCAGCGGTCAGGAGCAGCAATCAGGAGCAGCGGTCAGGAGGAGTAGTCAGGAGCAGTGGTCAGGAGGAGTGGTCAGGAGCAGCGGTCAGGAGCAGCAATCAGGAGCAGTGGTCAGGAGCAGTGGTCAGGAGCAGTGGTCAGGAGCAGTGGTCAGGAGGAGTGGTCAGGAGCAGCGGTCAGGAGCAGCAATCAGGAGCAGCGGTCAGGAGCAGTGGTCAGGAGCAGTGGTCAGGAGCAGCAATCAGGAGCAGCGGTCAGGAGCAGTGGTCAGGAGCAGTGGTCAGGAGCAGCTATCAGGAGCAGGTGGTCAGGAGCAGCGGTCAGGAGCAGTGGTCAGGAGCAGTGGTCAGGAGCAGTGGTCAGGAGGAGTAATCAGGAGCAGCAATCAGGAGCAGCAATCAGGAGCAGTGGTCAGGAGCAGTGGTCAGGAGCAGCGGTCAGGAGCAGTGGTCAGGAGCAGTGGTCAGGAGCAGCAATCAGGAGCAGCGGTCAGGAGGAGCGGTCAGGAGCAGCGGTCAGGAGCAGTGGTCAGGAGGAGCGGTCAGGAGCAGCAATCAGCATATAGACTTGTGAATTGGACCTGTGTGGCCCTCAGCCCAAAGTTTCCCAGATCTGCTTTATAAATGCTTCAATAGTAATGTCCAAGAACAGAATAATGGACTATTGCAGCAAGGCACAAAGTAACAAGTCGTATGGCTGTAGGAACAAAAACTGTTTACTATAGCCTTTGGTTTGGTAAAAAGGGTCTCATTTGCAAAATAATGGAACAGGGTTTATAAGATTGTATCTCAATTCCTGTTTTTTTTGTTTACGTAAATATTGTCGGTAAAAAATAAATTAGAAGCATTGTTCGACTGGCATCAACAGGAAAGAAAACAATCTGGCTTGATACTTTATTAGATAGTGCCACAATAGAATCAAATGTATCTTGAAATGACGGGGGGCAGCACGGTTGCGCAGCGGTTAGAGCTTGTGCGTCACAGCAAGACGGTTCTGGGTTCGAGTTCCACCTCCCAACCATTCTGTGTGGAGTTTGCATGTTCTCCCCGTTTCTACCTAAGTTTCCTCCTTTTAGCTTCTGTTCGGCGACCAGAGGGAGACAAATGCCCACAGCAATGGCTACGCGCTTTGTGACTCTGATCTGTGAACGGCGCTATATAGATAAATATCACTCACTCATGAAATAATATGCAAAAGAACGGAGCATTTCCTCAGACTTATCTTCCACTCGAGACATTGACCTCTGGCTGTGAGCGCTCTCCCAGTCGCCAACACTGTACTCAGACTCAGTTGCGTAAGAGTGAGAGTGAGAGTGAAACATGATTTATTCGGCCGCTTCAAACCGATGCTTAAGTCGGGTCATAAAAAAACAGGCCTGTGTCATCGCTTCACTATGCACCAGGCGTCACCAAAGCTCGTTTCGTAATCGTGTTTTTGAGAAATTGTGGCTGATCGGTTGTTTGTGTAGCGCTGCAGCTTGTAATCAAAGAGCAAGTTTTATTTAATGTGGAGACGGACTGGATGTGATTTAGAAATGGGCTGGTGATAAATGAGTGTATTAATAACTTTGCTTGTTTTTGTTTACATGGAGACTAAATGGCTAAATGTAATAGATAGCAGGGGTTTGAGACTGGACCAAGTGTGATGTGTGTGGTTATGTTTCAAGGATAAGTGCTCTGGATGAGTTTTGCAATGGGAAAAGTGTTTGTATAAGGCTGTAGTCCAGCTGGCCTGAAGCAAGGCTCTATATCTGATCAGATCAAGTTTTTTACGATGCTGTTTCTCTCACCAACGCATAATGAGTCAATTATTATGAACATTTTTCTAGGCAAGGCAAGTTTATTTATCTATTATAGCTCAATTCATACACAAGGCAATAAGTAATCACAGTACATTAAAAAGAAAGATGAAAATATAAAATCCGTCAGTTGTATGAAAAGCTAAACAGAATTTATTTTAACTTTTATTCAAACATTGTCACAGAAAAGACCTGTCTCATTTTTTCAGGAAGATTGTTCCAGATTTTAGATGCATGATACTGAAATGCTGCCCTATGACTCTGGGCACTAGCAGGAGGCCAATCCCTGTGCAGAGATCTGAGGACTGAACTAATAATAATTCAACTGTATATAAGAGTTTCTATCTCAGTGATCATCTTCGACAGACTTAGGTCATTATCATATATAAATGTATGTCTCTTCAGTCCTGAATCTGTAGCCTAGCCTAGACCTTTCTTTGTACTTAGACCCTCCTTCGCTGACAAAGATGATCCGGGACATTTAAGGACATTTATCAACATTTAATAACATTTTTGGTCATTGGTCATCTCATTCCCAATGAACCAATGCCTCATATGTGTTTGTCATTGATACATTTTATTCTCTTTTGTGACATCTTTGTTAAGTCTTCCGAGGCGACTGCTGTTCAATATTCAGCTAAAATGATGTCAGTTTTGCGTTATGGTCTGTGCTCTGCTCGTTTGGTCAACGTTGGTGGAAACATGGACTCCACACAATGGACAAACACAGACAGAACATGGAAGTGATCAGCTCATGACGACTTCAGTTTTACCTCTGTTGTTGTGACTAAACTAACACCTTTTGATGTGACGTGAATTGTTGTATAAATTGCATGCCCTGTTTTCATTTAGCCTGGAAGTAACTCTGAACAAACTGAGGCTGAGTTTACACGGAGACAATGTGGCAGTAAAACGGTATAGTTGAATGTCGGATGCTACCAACCGTTCATACGAAGACTGTGTTCCAGGGGGGTGAAAACGTAAGTGTTCAGATCCAGCCTGCAGAGTGGGACAACTCAGATACGCTGCACAGCGGGGAGCTTTTTCACACCCGCGAGAGGGGAAAAGGTGTGAAATCCCCCTCTGCTCTGACCCCCGCCTCCGCGCTGCTCCCTGCACGTAAATTTGGACATGCGCAGTAGCGGAGAACAAACATAAACAACAATGGCTTTTTCCTGCTTCAGAAGAATGTTGTTTTAAGGTATAATGGTCTGTAATTCAATTCCTGTGTTGTTCTCCCAAAGTACAGGCCTCATGACGCTGATGGTTGTTGACTCATTGTGAAGAGGAGCAGACTGAGGAGGCTGATGGTCTGGCTGCTGTGTGAAGACTCATAGTGCATGTCTCATTAAATCAACATTAACATCAACACGACTTAAAGCTGAGGAACTTAACTTTCACACCACACATGTTTTTCCTATGTTTTCACTAGAAGTAGAAGTGTAATTACTTAGCTCATGTAGATTTTGGCTTTTCAAGACTTTATAACTTTTTTAATTTGTAGTTTATTTGTATGTAATTATTTTTTCCATGAAATTATCTCTTTTTTATAATGGGTAAGTAGTTTTACCCAGAATTTAACCATTTTTTGTCGCTTGACCCCTGACTTTATTTAGCAGTTAAAGCAACTTTTCTCAAGGTGCTGGTCCTGGACTGGTTCTTCTTGACTGGTTCTGAGTCGGGTCGTTTTGTTTTATTCCACCAGAAAAACAGCACGTGCTAGTCACCATAGCAACACACTGTTTACACGACCGCAGTTAGTATCTGGTAGCCCTTAAGCAAACTGTTTTAGCTGTTTTTCGAGTTACATTAACCGGTTTTAGCACTTATTACAGGCAAAAAGCTTTCCTAAGTCTGAATAACTGTCAAAACAAGTAGTAGTTTATTTAGTAAGTAAGTAATGTTTATTAATATAGAGCATTTTACAGACCAAGTTCACCCAAAGCACTTTACAATGTTCAGAGTCCAAATATTGTTCTAATCATTCCACACACGGTGATGACGGAAGCGTCGCCGAACACACTGGAGCATCAGCTCCCACTCAACACCATCCATTCACTCTCTCATTTACATTCATACCTATTGTGCACCTGGAGGAACCCAGAGAAAACCTACGCAGACACGGGGAGAACATGCAAACTCCACTCAGAAAGGCCCTGTTCCGACCGGGATTCGAACCCATGGACCTTTTTGCTGAGAAGCGAGAGTCCTATCCACTCAGCCACCGTGCCGCATTCGTAGTATTAGTAGTTAAATTGAGCAGTTTTACAATGTATTTTTTACAGGTACATGTAATTTCAAGAAACAAAGCTCAAAAGGAAAATGCAAAAAAGCTTACATGTGTCTTCCCCATTAGTGTCCGAATTCTGGGAGTCCTTCATTGTTAAATCTGTGTGACTATAGTTCCTCGCTCTGAAAAAAGATTTGGTTCTATCCTCGTGTTTTAAATGTATGTATGTTTTGGCCTCTGTCACATCTTACAATCAACCACAAACAGCAAATAGCAACTCACAAGACTCTTTCTTCTGGTTAAACATTAAATTAGCTTTAAGCCCGTCCGCAGAGGTACATTCCTTCTCTCTGACGGACTTGTTTACATTTCTCAGATTTATAGAGAGTTTACGTCTATGTCCACACATGCACTTGCTCTCCATAAAATGATTTTCTTGTTTAACTACTATAATTTATGCTACAGCCGATTCTCTGCTGCTCAGGTCTGTGGCTTTTTTATGAGGAGGTGGATCTGAGCGCATCTGTTTGAGCAATGATCTCAATGACTCATGGTTTTAATGGAAGTGTGTGTGGCGTTTTCAGATGAGTGAAGTCACACAACATGAACTTTAGCAAAAATATAGTCAAATAAATCTTATAATTCACAATATTTTCTTTAGGGGCCTTGAAGGTGGATATATAAACAATAGACCACTTTCCGTCCCATTTCACCGTGACACAGACTTTGAAAGAGTTTTTTTTTCTTCCAACTAGAGCCAAATATATAGATGAAATTATGTAAACCATGTAAAAAGAATTATGATCAATCTATTTCTGTATTTATTTTTTCTGGAACAATCTTCCTGAAAGTGTGAGACAGGCCTCTGACAATGTTTAAAACCAGATTAAAGATAGTTCTGTTTAGCTGTGCATACAACTGAGGGATTTTATATTTTCTACCTTTCTTTTTAATGTTCTGTGATTATTTATGATTTAAGTGGAAATACAGATACATATATTCAAGGTTTTGCACTAAAATACCACACAACTTCTTGGTAAAGGGAAATTTGTAAGCCTTTCACATATTTTTCAATTTGAACTTCTCTTTCTGAAAATTAAACAGTACATTTAACAGCAGGGATTCACAGTGAACCAAAAATACCCATTATGTTTAGAGCAAACCATTTGACAATTTAAGATAAAAGAAGTTGCGTGTATTTATTTGAGTGAATCATAAAAGAGTCATAAAAACCTGTTTGTTGTAAATTACCGGTACAAGATGATGTGTATCGTGATGTCATCAGTTCTAGATCTCTGCTCCACTGTAAATCTCAAAAAAATATGTGTCTATGTTTTTTCATAA